AAAAAATCTTTAAAATATTAAACTTCATGAAATACCCAAAGAAATAATAAATGTTTATTTTTAATATGATAAGATGTTATATTATAATATTTAAGCTCTTTAATAAAATAATTCTACCTCCTTTCGCGTCATAATTAACATGTTATCATTGCTCTATAAAAATATGCTCAATTAGATATATATTAGAAACATCTAACTAATGTAAACACCATATCTAATTCATCGTCAAAGAAAGTATCACTCAATTAGAGTTGAGCCAAACTATTGGAGAGAATGTTTTAGTATAGTCAATGCTATAGGCCTATGTGAATCCATGAATAACTAAGCAAGCCTTGTGATGTGCAATAGATCAATTTGGGTTATACTTGAGTGTGAAAACCCACTTGCACATAATAATGTTGACATCGTGTGGATGAGATACAAGTGTCTAAGTTTTTTAAGACATCAAGGCATCCACCTCTAAGTCTATGGTTGTCTTTTATTCATGTACTTGTGCAGCCTCAACATACGACTATAGAATCAATCGAAGGACACGAAAAGAGTAAATATAATAAAAGAAAGAGAAAGGCGGTTGTAGAAAATAAAGTGAGAAATGAGATGTCTGGTGCATGCACACATACCTTTGTGGAGAGCAATAGGAAAATGAAGGTCATCCAATTGAGTGTTAGGAGAGATGACCGAAAGAGGCTCATCAATAGAAGGTGAAGATGAATTTGATCTCAGAACAAAGGAGTTCGAATGGTGACAAAGTCGAAGGTGTTGGAGGAGGAGCTAATGAGGGAGAAATTAAACAAGTAGAAAGAGTAGGAGAGGGATCTGCAATGGTCACTACAGGAGGAAAACCAAGTGGTGAAGATGTAGTGGATCGAGAAAGAGTAAATGTTGGAGAAAAGAAGAGAGACTCCTCATGAAAAGTAACATTAGCTGATGTCATAGAGTGACAAGTATCAAGAAAATAAATCTGATAACCCTTTTGTGTACGTGAGTAGCCAACAAAGATCCCTTTGAAAGCATGAGGGGTTAATTTAGAAAGAGAATGAGAGTGGTCTTGAACGAAAGTAATACATCCAAAGACACGAGGGGGTAGGCTAGTATGATGATAAAATAGTAGGTGTGCTAGTTATGTGGGTAAAGACTCCGAATCAATAATCTAGAATGAAGATAAAGATGTAAAGAGAGTGTGTGTACTTGACGTGGAAGGACTCGCAACAAACAAGGCTAGATTGTCCAAGGAATGAGTCATGGTATTACTAGAGCGGTGTAGTGCTTCATAATTGGAGGTCAATGGCACTTGAAAAGTCAAAGACAAGATACTAGATGATACTAGGGAAACTGATGAAGGAGGTAGGAGAGCCAATTAGGCAGAGTTATACTTTTTGAACTATTTCCAACATTTGTTGGATAGGTAGTTCTGCTTGTCACACTAGATACATAGAGAAAAAGTATTATGGCCCTTCTCTTGTGATAGATGGCCACTATTTAGTCTCGAAGTATGAGGATCATGTGATGCTCAAGGAGTGGAGACATGCATCACTAAAGAAGTAGATGTGTCACTAGTAATAACAAGAGAAGTGCATATACTCACACAAAATGTAGTGGAAAAAATGAGAGAGATATCAAATACTCGGTCTCCATAAAAGATCGTCCCACAAATCTAAGAGGTAATTGATGAGTGAAATCCACTCATATAAACTCTGGCAAGAAACTCTTGACAATAGCACTTGAATGTCCAAAGGTTAGTGGTTGGAGGCTAATAGATGACAAGCTCATGTATTAAGGCCTGGAGACGATTGAAATGAGTCTGAAGTGAGGAATTACCCAGCTTACAAGTAAGAAGTGACTCAAAAATCTCAATTGTGTGACTAATATTTGTTTGATTAACGTACTTGTTCTCCAATATTATCAAAAGTTGTTACGCAAAGTGAATTCGAGTGAGAGGCTCAGCAATACTTGGCTTAATATTCTGAAGCATCTAGGTAAGGATGGCTCAGTGAGGCTAGATCAGTGAAGCCGAGAGGATTAGTCGACAAGTGGTGGACAAGGTTGTGCGATGTCAAGAAGTGCTCGAATCCGAAGGCCCATGACACGTAATTATGTCCATTGAAGACATATGTCAATCCCGTGAGTTGTGCCGTGATGGAGTGTCATGGAGTAGCCGATACGAGCAACGGCCAATTGAAGAACTAGTAGAGGAAGTGTCTAAGACATCAAGGATTCGCCCACCAAATCTGTAGATCAAGATTAGCAGGAGATGAGATGATGTTGGGAGAGGATGTCCCTAGAGCCGTGCAGGACACTAGAGGCGACGTGTGTGATGCCAAAGGTAGTGGATAGGGAATTGAAGGTGGTGCATGGGTGACGTGACTTAATCATTGTATAGTAAATCACGCAAATTTAAAATTGATAAAACTAGAAAATATGAATTTTTGGATATTTAGAAGTATTTTTGAACAAATATATCAATTATAATTCAATATAACTTCCAAAAATAACGGTAATTTTCTATGTCGATCAAGGGATGTAATATAATATCTGGTAATTATTTAGAATTTTTCGCAAAGAATACTATTTTCTATGAATTTTATACTAGGAAATGAAAAGGAAATATATTTAAAATTCACAAAAAAGGGAAATAAGACTGCGAACGTCAGGATGATGTCAGCTCCCGGCGAATGTGAATCGAACAGAAACAAGGTTCTGCCCGACAATTCTTACGTAAGTGATTACAAATGATTTAATTGATCAAATTAAGATTTGTAAAAGCTGAAAGAATTGTAATTGAACGAAGTATATCTTGGTAAATTTAAATAACACAAATTATCACTAAATGAAGCGGAAAGTAAGTTGAAAGCAGGAAAACAGAGTTCCGACGTTGCGGCAGCGATGCATCGGAGATGCACCGGAATCTTGACCGTTTGGGAGGATTGTCATGCGGTGTCCACGGCCTCGAAGGCTCTCCTTGGACAAAGACGACATGGGCAATCTCTAAATCTCCTTGCGAAGTCTAGAGATCAATGAAATGAGTCGTCAAATCGTCTCCGACGGCTGTCACCTGGTGGAGCCGAAAAACGGCAACTTTACGACTCTCTGACGACTGTCACCCGACGGAGAGGAGCTGAATGGAGGTGGGGCGCGTGTTAGGGAGCTTCATCGTCAGGTCCACGCAACAAGAGGAGGTTCTTCATCGCATCTAGTATGCTCTCAAGAGGTGACGAGTCGTCTCCCAACGGATCGTCCTCTTCCCGACAGCAACTTATTCGTCGATCAATCGGAGATGCTTTACTCAATGGAGTCACGATCCTTTTATCGCGAATCATTCAGCAATTTTAGTAACAATACTCTGTGAATCACGTTGACGAGATTTTCGCCGATGATTCAGTGATTCTGGTTGCTTAATCCTTCACTGGTGATCTGTAGAAAAGTCACGATAATCAGATAAAATATATAATTTTTTGCTCTAGGAGGATTTAAACCCGTGCTGGTTGCCCGCCCTTTCTAGGGAAGGTGTGACACAGGTTTAGTCCCACATCGCTTGTGCGCTGAAGTGTCTAGTGAATATATAGTAATATTACATTTCCGATCAAGTCCCTTTCTCACGCGTGTACGATCACTCCTTGCCCCACAGTCGATTGGCCACTGGTGACGTGGAAGGGGAGTGGCGCACACGTGCCCCTATCGGTCCTAGCCGCTCGAGCCCTTACTCGTGGCTCCTCCCCGACTGCACTTCCGACCCGCTTGTTGGCCCAGGTGGTTGGTGGGTCCCCCCCCATTTTGTCTTATTTTTATTTTTATTTCTTTTTTTCATTTATCTCAAAAGTAAGACTGTAAAAATCATATAAATTCATATAAAATCACATAATTACCCAAAAATTCACGTTAATCAACTGAAAACCACTTTTCACACTTTAACACAAATATAAGTCTATTTATCATGAGTTAAGGCTAAAACTATATTATTTACTAATTATTAACTCATGATAATGAAGACTTATCAACGGGATATTAGTGGGAGATGGCTCTATTAGGCGCACAGGTGTAGTGGCGTACTGAGTGGACTTGTAGGACGGCATTGGACAAGTGTTGAATATGCACACATGCACATGGTAGGAGGTGCGGTGTAATGCGGCTGGCATGTAGGGTTACGCAAACCGAGCACTGGATAGGTGAGCAAGGCAGCATTGTAAGAGATTGCATCGAGAGATGATAGGTGATGCCGATATAGGAGAGATGGAGCAGCGGCAATGGAGAAACCTTAGGGCTCTAATATCATATTAACAAGAGGAAGAGAAAACCTTATAATGATATATTAAAGAAGAGGAGTGTATGAGGTTATATAGAAGAGAGGAAGAAAGAAAGAGAGAGGAAGAAGTGGAGATAGAGGAGGAAGAATAGGGATGTGGAGAGAATAAGTCCAAAATAGGCCTGGTGGGCCTAGTGGGCCTATTTTAACAAACTACCTTGTGGGTCTAGTCTTTCATTTGGGCCTTTAGACCCACCATATATTCTCATAGGCTATTAAACTTAACCTATAATTGACCCATAAGGGTTTAGATGTGGCTTCTTGTTATTTTTCTAGCTAGGCAACTCTCTGCCCTTCGGTACCACTCATTCCCACTCTGCCCTCCTCTTCCATGGTATTATACCAATTCTAAAAGAAAGGAGAAGGGATAGAGAAGACTAAATTTTTTTGCAACCTAACTCTGATACTACTGTGACAAAGATGTTTGCTGCTCTAAATGAAATTCTTGTCAGATGCTTGGGCGATCAGATCCCCAACAGCTCACAAGTGACCAATAAAGATAATTCTGATAATCTAAGGTGCTCATACATGAGGCCAAGGGTCTTTCTTTATAAACACTTCCTTAGTTCCATCCTCACATTTCCAATATAAGATTAAGGGTTCCCACCCCAAGTGACATTAGGTTGGTGATGTCGGGTTGTTGACATCCTCCAATCCTCCTTCGGATGATATCATGCTTGTGACATCATTCGTTTCCCTCATGGTCTTGGGTCGCCACATCAAAATGGTGTGCACCATCTCTTGGAGTCGATGTTGTGCCGCCGCACACCAACGTTGTCCTGGTGCATGTGGTTGTCGTTCCCCCGCATGTGGGCGTTATGCTGGTGCACATAGGCACCATGTCATCACACACGTGCGTTGTGCCTCCACGCACAGGTCCCAGCCGTCGCATGTGGCCACTATGCCAGAGTGCACAGGTGTTGTGCCAATGCATGTAGCGGTGCTGATGGTAGGGGTGGTTCCTATAGGTGGAACCTAGTAACACTTATGGTTGGAGATGTTCTAATTCATGATGGCAGCATTACTATTGTCGGAGGTGACATACATCGCCATCCTATCATAATGACATGTTGCGTAAGTACTTCACAATGGATGATGTATGTGGCTGCACTTTCATCTTCTCCTCCACCAGCAATGTACTCCTCAATTTGAAGAAGATTTTGGATCTAATGTTCAGTCATAAATAATCATAATAAAGTGAGAGTAATTAGAAAACATACATGAGCCCATTACAACTTAGATGTGAGTCATAACTCCTAAGATTAGTGTAAGTGAGTTGTCCACATTCTAACTCTCTCTTGAAGTGATGAGATGCTCCAAAAATGACTCTCACTATGTGTGACTAACATAACTTAATCGTTCTTTATTAAATCACCTAAATTTAAAATTTCTAAAATTATTAAATATTAATTTTCAAATATTTTTAAGGATTTCTCAATAAATATATTAATTATAATTTGATCAAAACTCCAAAATAGTAGGAATTTTCTAAGTAAATCACCAAGATGTAAGATAATATTAAGTAAAATTATAATTTTTCTCAAAAATATGATTTTTTACAATTTTTGGACTAAAAGTTCATAAGAAAATCTATTTAAAAATTAGAGAAAAAATAAATTCGAGTGCTAAAATTATGCATACATCAATGCTCAAAGAACAATGATTTGAGTGAAAATAGAATTTCACTAGTGATTATCGAGTAAATGATTACAAATGATTCAATTGATGAAATTGAGGTATGCAAACATCAAAAGAATTGTAGTTGACTAAATAAGAGTTTCAAAATTTGAATTCAAGAAAAACTATCATTAATCTAAATATAAATAATTTAAAACATGTGAAATAGTGTTCTGGTGTCACAACAATGATTACTAGAATTCTAAGTGATCATGTGGATTCCAAGGGGCATCTATAGCCTCAAAGACTCTCTTTGGATGTGATCAGTTGTGGACACTCTTTGGATTCACATTCGAAGTTTAGAGGGTGAAGGTAGGTGGTGGCAATATTCTCTAGCAGTCGTCACCTAATGAAGCAAAAGTTTGACAAAGTTAGGTCTTTGGCGGCTGTCACCCAACAAAGCTAAACTTGATGAAGGTAAAACATGTGTTAATAAGCTTTATCCTCAGGTCTACGCAATAAGAGGAGGCTCTTTATCACATTTAGAATGCTTTGAAGAGATCGTGGCAAATCTCTTAACATATTCCCCTATTCTCGATGACACCCATGAGTAGTATGTGCATAAAACACATCAAATGGCAGCTCTTTAGTAAGTAGATCTACAATTATTTTGTCTCAATATGTTTTAGGGATACTTGGACACTTTTAACCATTTATTTAATAATTCAAAACTTTATATATATATATATGTATATATATATGTTTAAATCCCCTTAATCTCTTATTATTATTTAAATATAATACAATTGATTTTTTATTGACATTAACATACATCAAATCATGAAATGTACTTTATGAGTGTTTGCTTAGCACTTTTTTATGAAATAGCTACTTTAATTAATAGGTCGATGTAATATATTGTAGATCTTATGTTATTTTCGTATAAAAAAAATTAAAACCAGGATATCTTCTTGACGTGGCTTAGTCATTGTATAGTAAATCACGTAAATTTAAAATTTATAAAACTAAAAAATACCAATTTTTAGATATTTAGAAGTATTTCTGAACAAATATATCAATTATAATTCAATAAAACTTCTAAAAATAGTGGTAATTTCTAAGTTGATCACAAGATGTAATAAAATATCAAGTAATTTTTTTAATTTTCTTCAAAAAATATGATTTTTTATGAATTTTATACTAAGAAATAAAAATAAAATATATTTAAAATTCACAAAAAAAAAGAAAATAAGGGTGCGGGCATCACTATGATGTCAATGCTCAACAAACACGAATCAGGCAGAAACAGAGTTCTGCCTGGTGATTCATCAAGGCACAAACACGATTACAAATAATTTAATTGATCAAATTAAAATTTGTAAAAGTGAGAATAATTGTAATTGAATGAAGTGTAGCTTGGTAAATTTAAATCACACAAATTATCACTAAATGAAGCAAAAATTAAGTTGAAAGCAGAAAAAATAGAGTTTCAGCATCGCGACAAAGATGCGTCAACGATGCACTAGAATCCTGAGTATTCGAAAGGATCGTCGTGCAGTGTCCACAACCTTGAAGGCTCTCCTTGGATAAAGATGACATAGGCAATCTATAGATCTCCTTGCAAAGTCTAGAGATCAATGAAATGGGTCGTCGAATCGTCTTCGGTGGCTGTCACCCGGCGGAGCGAAGAAACGACAACTTTGTGACTCTCCAGTAGCTATCACCCGACGAAGAAGAGCTGGATAGACATAGAGTGTGTGTCAAGAAACTTCATCCTCAGGTTCACACAACAAGAGGAGGCTCTTCATTGAATCCAATACGTTCTCAAGAGGTGGTGACTTATCTCTCGGCATATCATTCTCTTCCTGACGACAACTTATTCGTCGATCAATTAGAGATGATTTACTCGATAGATTCGTGATCCTTTTATCGTGAATCATTTAGCAATTTTAATAACAATGCTCTGCCAATCATGTTGCTGAGATTTTTGCCAATGATTCAGTAATTCTGACGACTTAATCCTTCACTGGCGGTCTATAGGAAAGTCCCAATAATTAGATAAAAATAAAAGTTTTGGCTCTAGGAGGATTCAAACCCATGTCGATTGCCTCCCTACATGAGAGAGATTGAAATAAGTACTATAATATTCTCATTAAGTGATGTCATCATGTTATATCTATTATAACTAAGGGGTAGTTTAGGTATTAAAATCTTCGAAGCCTTCTGGAGAAAGGTGTGACACAGGTTTAGTCCCACATCACTTGTGTGCTAAAGTTTTGGGCGAATATATAGTAATATCACATTTGTAAGTAATGAGTCCCTTTCTCTCGCATGTACGACCACTCCTTGCCCCACAGCTAGCTGGCCACCAATGACGTGGAAGGGGAGTGACGTACACGTGCCCTCATTGGTCCTTAGCCGCTCGAGCCCTTGCTCACGGCTCTCCTTGACTACGCTTCTGACCCACTTGCGAGCCCAGTTGCCTGGCGGGTCCCCCCCTTTTGTTATATTTTTATTTTTATTTATTTTTCTTTATTTATCTCAAAAATAAGACTATAAAAATCAAAGAAAATCATAGAAAATCACATAATTAGCCAAAAATTCATGTTAATCAATTTAAAATCCTTTTTCACACTTTAACACAAATATAAGTCTATTAATCATGAGTTAAGGCTAAAACTATATTATTTACTAATTATTAACTATTGATAATGAAGAATTATCACTACCTATGGTAGATCTAATGATCTTTAAGTAATCTAATCTCTTTCATATGATCATATAATTATTATTTTTCTATAAGTATCACCCAACTTTTTTGGTTGTTTTCTAGTTATCCACTCTTGGATGATTTAATATCTACCTAGCACTCCAATAATACATTGAAATATCCAAACAAATATATACTTCAATATAAATAAGACTTTCTATGGTTGATGCATAATGAATCTTAGTTTCACATAATAAACTTATAGCATTATGAAAAAAAATATGTCATCAACGTATAAAATCAAAATATGCTTATTCCACCTAAACTTGTAATGCATATGATCATTAACTATATTCATCTCAAAACTAAACAAGTTGATGGCTTGATCAAATTTGTGATACAATGGATGAAAATTTTATTTAACTTTATAATTTTTTATTTTCAGACGATTTTCTTTAGAGTTTACGATGAAGTTTTATGGTTGTGAAACACAGCCTTTATATCTATTTGATGAAACTCAAGATCAAAATAGGTAATTAATGTCATTATTAATCTAAATGAATATTTCAGTGAAATTAGAAAGAAGGTCACTTTATAATCATTATCTTCTTTTCAAGTAAATTCTTTATGACATGATAAGTTTTATACCTCTCCTATAACTTTTCAAATCTTTTTTAATTTCAAATTTTCATTTACAACCACTAGACCACACCTTCATGCAATAGTATGAGATCTTAAACATTATTATCTTTCATGAATTTAATATTTTTATTCATTATATCAATTCTCTTTTGAGAATTAGAATTTTACATGGCTTGATGAAAGTTGTGTAGATCATATTTCATTATTCTAATATCAACATCATGTTCTTGAAGAGATACAATATAATTATCTCAATATTTACATCTCCTTTCTATTGACCAGCTCTCACATTTGATTCTTCTCTAACACCAAATCTCATCATAGCTTGTTTATATTCTTCATGACATAACGACTCAAAAATATTTGACATGATTGATACTATATTAAGAGAAGAAATATTATATACTAAATAGATAGACATTTAAATGACATAAATTAAGAAATGAGATACTTTGGACTCCTAAAGCACTTTATCTTTTCTTTCTTAATAACTATAAGTAAACATTTTTAGATTTCCCATAATATAGGAGATTGAATATATTTTTCTTGGATATTCTTGAAGTCACTAAAATAATCATTGCATTGTGATTTCTCCAAGATCAATTTCAAAGGTGTAAATTATTTTGAATGTGAGACTAATAGTAAGAAGTTCCCAACTTCTTTTTCTCCATCATTGTCCTTAGGCATATTTTTTCCCCCAAGGGAATTATTACTACTACTAAGAAAGGAATAATTTTCACTCAAAGTTACATTATTTAATAAGGGATGTTAGTACTTATACCCCTTCTTAGTATTCAAGTATCCAACTAAGACACATTAATACTCATGGATCAAGCTTTCCTTTGATTTGATCTTGATTGTGAACATAGGTTGTGCACTTTAAAATCCTAGAATCAAGTTAGTCTGTAATTAAATATGTGGGTAATAAAATGATATATAACCTCCAATGGGATCTTAAATCCTAAGGCCCAAGTTGATATGTGGGTAAATTATTTTGAAATAGAAGTATTCTTGTTACTTCTAATATGTGATTATTTTTACTCTCTATTGTTGGGATTTGGGTTGCATGAAGATCAAGAAGGTGGGGATAATTTATCCTCTCTGCTATTCTTCGTGCTATCTTCCAAAATAAGAAACTCTAAGACTCACTAATTTTTTAGTGTTCTTGGGTTTCACTAGATCTTATCATTTGATCACAACCGCTGATTAATGAGATCAACTCCCACACAATTTCCCTAGAAATTCCTATATAGATTCACGACTCTAGATGGCTCAAGCTATTTAAGGAGACAGCTCCCTACAATGATCAAATCACACATTTGTTCTCACAATAAATATGGAAAGAGTTCACCATGGGTAATCTTTCGGAAGTAGAGTGGTCTTTAATATCCTAGATGTTTGATGAAGAGAGAATTGTGTGCTTTCAAGTAGAAGCCGTTATCTTCTTGTCATGTGATGTTCAAGTATTGAAAGCTCTTTACACTTCAGCTTTGTTGGCGAGGATCATTCAATGTCACAGTAGTCCTTATATTAATACTTTTGACATCTACTGAACTACTAGTTGGAACATGTTCATATCTTTCTTAGGATGCCTATGAGAGAGAGCTAAAGAACTAGTAAAAGGTTGATTAAAGGAGAAAGGTAATCATTGTATATATTTTCCCATTGGAATACATAGAGTAGTATTAGAAACCAATATGACATATCCGTGACATGTCAAAGTATCCTCAATGAGAAATAGTTCGTCATTCTTTTATCACATAACGTTAGTATCCAGATTGTATCATTTCTCATCATCTCATTTCAGATCCTAAGTCATGAATGCAATACTAATAAAGCTTCAATATAGATAAAACATGACTAAGGATGAATATCAAGATTTTGTGATAATTTTGATGTCCATATCATATTCAAATCTTCTCAATTGAGATACAAGCAAGTTAAAATCCCAAATAATGGCCTCAAAATTTATGTTCACAAGTTTGATAATTCAGGATACTCAATCGTAATTATAATATATTATTCTTGAATATTTAGAAAATCATTTCTTTCTGAGAAGACAATCTATATCCATTAAATTAAATCAACATGAACAGCACACAAAAATAAAGAGTTTTTATTACAAGAACATTTGAGAAAGCTTTCATACCCATGTCTCACATTTCATTGTCTCATTCATATTGATGTGCTTATGATCATTTTCAAATCGTAGCATACTCTCCAAATATGAACACAAATATATATTTGATTTCTGTGTTTGGGAATATTATATCAAAGACATACTTGTAAAATTCTTATTTACTCATGATCATTTATATCGTTGGTTGTGTTTGAGTATTCATATATCATCAGCATTGTAAATTATGCATAATCTGATCTTATTGAAACTTATTTGTCATTATCAAAATATCATGCATATGGGACTCCAATATCTACTACCACATTTGTTATGGAGTGCTTCCACAAAAACATATACATGTAATCATATCTTTTTGAAATAATTAGTTATTATATGATTAGAGTAATATCTAATATTATATGAATTATTGTTTAAATTATGATATTAAATTATTTTTGACTAGTGATTAAAATTATTGAAACACCTTGTTGACTTTTTAGTTGTGATCTCATAAATAGATCAATGTAATCTATGAGAAATCATCCATAAAATCCACAAACAATCTTAATTTCAAGATATTAAAAGTAGATGAATCCATCAAACATCACTATGAATGAGTGAAAATTGAATAGAACTCCCTTCACTATTCATAAAAAGTAAGGTACATTATGTTGTACCAATTTGCATACCACGTTTAAAATTCTCAACATTCACTTTAGAAAAAAAAACTTAGAAATATTCTCATTGTTTTTAAAGACAACTAACGAAGAAAATATTGGTACAATTAAAAACCTTTGGGTGTAGTCCTAGGGCGGTAAAATCTTTCATACTCTAACACATTCAATCCTTTTATTCATTACATTATCAAAAACATCACAAATATAATTATCAATTGTCACCTTATAACTTATGTAATCAGTTAATTTCTTAATGGAAATAAGATGTTGAGTAATTATCTTATAGGGGTGTCCTTCTAATCATCCTTATTTTTCCTTAGACCATGTTACTATGGTGGGCCTTTGATGCGGGACCAAAGAGAAATATCAATATCGTATAGAAGGTTGGGATTTAAGATTACCCTTGACTAAGTTAAGAAAGATTATGAGTAGGCTAATCTTACTGATTTTAAGAGAATTATGATCGTAATTACTTGAGAAGAACCGCACTTTTAAGGATTCACGTAAAGTTCCAACCAAGTTATTAGGGTCATCAATCAAAGGCAAAAAGAAGGCTATTCTATGGTTGACTCAATTCCTATAAGAAGCAAGGATTTAAAAATAATGATCACTCCACAAAGAGAATTGAAATCGACGTACTTTTCTGAAGGAGATTCTAGAATGATTTTCTTGATTCTAGTGGCTTGAGATCCACAGGTCTTGTTGAAGAATCTTTAGTGGGTGATGATTCAAGAACATGAGTGGTTTGGGTTGGGCAGTTGAGGTTCACAAAGTATTTGGATAATTTAAAAATATAAGAGAGAAAAAGGTGTAAATGAGGAATAGTAAGAATAAGATAATAAAATAATGGGGAATAAATAAAAGGTGGGGAGAGGAAAAGGGGCGGAACGAGAGGGCGTCGGCCGGAGAGAGAGAGAAAGGAAATGAGGGGTATGTGGCGACGGAGGGAGAGAGGAAGACAAAGAAAAGATGAAGGGTTATGTGGCGATGGCGGGAGAGAGAGAGAGAGAACGAGGGGTATGTGGCGACGGCGGGAGAGAGAAGAATGAGGGTTTCGGTGGGAGAGAGAGAGAGAGAAGGATGGGGAACGTGGCGACGGTGGGAGAGAGAAAGTGGGGATTTAGGCTGGAGAGAGAGATGAGGTGGCGGCAACTGGATGGACGGCAAGGAGCCGGAGTGGCGGCGATGGACGGACGGCGAGGAGGCGGGACAGCGGCGACTTGGCGGATGGCGAGGAGGCGGGATGATGACAATGGGGTGGACAGCGAGGAGGCGGGACGGCGGCAATGAGGCGGACGGCGAGGAGGCGGGATGACGGCAATGGGGCGGACGATGAGGAGGCAGGACGACAGCGATAGGGTGGCTAGCGAGAAGAGGAGTGGCGGTGATGGGGCGGACGACAAGGAGGGGAACGGCGACGACAGGGCGGGTGAGGCGGAAGAGGAACGGCAGTGTCGGGGTGAATGGCGAGGAGGCGGAATGGTGGCGGCAGGGCAGATGGCGAGGACGACGTGAAGAGGAAGAAATGGAGGTCCCCCTAATCCAAGAGGGCGAGAAGAAGAGGGGAAGCCCCTAATTCAAGAGGCGATGAAGGAAGGGAAGGGGAGGAGACGGCCTTCTAATCCAAGAAGGTAAGATAAATCTTGATTAATTCTGTTAATCACCGTCTCAAACAGAAGAGAGTCTTACCATTTATAAAGGGGAAAGGAAGAGCGGTGGTTTTCCACAAAATGGAGAGAGAAGGAGAAAGAAGGGGTGACAGAGATGCGAGATGCCACGTGGCAGCTCTTGGTGGCAACGACCGCCCTTTTAAGGAGAGGAGGGACGTGAGGATGACATGGCATCCTCTCCCCATTCTTCTTCTTCTTCTTCTTGTTAGGCCATCCTTTGTGGATGGATCATCTTGCTTGCTGGTAGGGACCCATTAGTCCTGGATCCAATATTTCATGTTGGATCCAATAGAGGAGGAAGGTGCCGGTTGACTTGGAGATGAACTTTGATTCTGATACTTCTTCTTGGAAGGATTGACCTCAAAGGTTGAGCCTTTAATTGACCATCCTCCGCTGACTTGAGTTGACTTTCATGAGTAGAAGATTCTTCATTAGATCCTATGATCCCATCAGCCTCTCCATTAAAGGTTATGAAAAATGTTAAATAATTAGTATTTTTCAAGTTCTACTATAAGGCTTCATTTATTTCCTTTTTTTTTATTTCCTCTAACTCTAGGATCCATTTTCTCCTTAGATCTATGATAGAATTTGATCATACTTAATAGTAAGACTAATAAAAATGTATAAATCCTATTTATCTCTATCATTCATGCCCCTTGTGGTAATTGATCTCCATCTATCGATTTTTTGCCAAAAGTATTCATGTGCATTTGGATATTTGCTTACATATTTAGTGCCTTATGTTAGAGCCATTGATTTTTTTCATTAATTGATAGATATAGGATCTAACATGTTTTTACAAAAAACTTTGTCGATCTTCTCTCAGATGTTCTTTTCTATTATAAGTAATTTGTATTGACCTTTGAAGTCATAATACTCTAAAAGGCATGTTTTAATTATTATATCATCTTTCTTCAAGGATTAAAATTAGATATATGTCGATTTTAATGCCAGATCTAACAAATGATTAAGCTTTCACCTTCCTATTTGAATATTTAATGTAAATTCATTTCAAATTACTAGAAACTCTAAATAAAAGTTTGAGCATTCGAAAAGAACTTGAAGATGAAGATGTCATATGGGTGACTTGAGACATAAGAGATATGGGGCCATATCATAAGAAAAGGGTGCCCTAAAGGATAAATCCCAAGATGGATCACTCCATTCTCTCACATCTAGATAAGGAATGGAAGGTAAGGGGGGGTCAAGGATATCTCTCATGATGATAAAAATAGCTAGTAAAAACCAAAGAGAAACCATCAAAACTAATCCAATGAGTAGTTTGGCTGCAAGACTCTATAAAGCCATGAGAGGTCAGAATGCTCTCACCTTATGGCTCTGATACCATGTTGAGGTCATTCAAACTCATTGGTCACCAAAGGAGCCACCTTGACTAAGAACCATATTCGCCTCGATATGAAAAAAAGAGAAAAATGAGAGGTAAAAATTAAAAATTATTAGAAAATACAAAAACATGTACGTATATTTATAGTAATTAGTCCCAACAAAGTGGACCGGATTTGATTAACTGGGCTCCACTTTTGTGTGGTAGGCTTTCTTTCTGCAATGTGATAGAAGTCGGATGGGTTAACCCCCTGCAATGCCCGCGGCAGAAGGTGTCATTTTCCCAATATACGAATTTTTTTAATGGGTATTTTCTCGCAAAATCTTCCCCGTGCCGATTTATCAATGGGTTAAATATCGGCCCACATGAAGTGGGCCATTAATGGATCTTTCTTTACTGTCGGGCTATACTTTTTGGTCTTTAACATGCAGGCCCATCCGCAAACGAGAATTTTTAATGGGCTCAAACATTTGGTCAACTCATCTCTCTCTCCCTCTCTCTCTCTCTCTCTCTCTCTCTCTCTCTCTCTCTCTCTCTCCGCCGCCGCTGGGGTTAGCCATCGAGGAGCTGGAGATCTGCAGGCTCGCCGGAGAGATCATTCGATCGAGTGGATCCTCTCCCTGAAAAATTGCTCACCCTTCGTGCTCCTGGAATCGAGGAACACCAACGCCGCCCCTGGAATCGTGGCCCGGAATCGTCACCTTGTCTCCGCCGCCGCCGGCTCCGACGAATGCCAGCATAGCCGCTCATTCGCGAGATGCGGCGGGTCGGAAACCCTGGATTTGAGGGCTGTTCCCAATTCACCCTTGTCTCTCTTCATCGAGTCATGGCGCCGGAGGCAGAGGCGGAGAGAGTCGGCGGCGGCGTCGTCCTCGTCCTCCTCTTGTTGCTGCTCTGCAACTCCGCTGGTGGGGAGACCGACAGCGGCGGCACCGCCCCCTCTCTCCTCGATCTCCAGGAGGCCCAGCTCGCCCGGCTGGAGTCTCTGGCGGAGTCCCTCTCCCAGAGCGTCTCCCGTCTCGAATCCGCCCTCTCCGAGCGGTCCAGGCCGCCGGCCGTCGACGGAGGGACGGCGATTGGGGGATCTACGCCGGCGTTCACTGCAGACGGCGGCGAGGAGGGCACGGCGGACGATGGCGCATTGGAGCCGCAGAGCGGAGTCACGGTGACCAAGTACAAGCCCTCGTGGCCGGAGAGGTTCCATTTCGCGGCTGCGGCGCGGCTGCAGTCGGCGGCGACCTGCGCCATCGTGCTGCCCTACGAAGACTACGAGGGGCTGAGCAAGTACTTCGCGGTGGGTGACGCCCACGGCCGCGCCTACGTCTTCTCGTCCGCCGGCGACGTCCTCCTCGAGCTCCCTATTCCGCCTTCCGAGGCCCCCGTCACCGCCATGCTTGCCTACGCCTCCAGCAGGCGGAACGAGAGCCTCCTCTTCATCGGGCATGGCGATGGCTCCATCGTAGCGCACCGGCTTGGGGAGTCCACCGGCGCAGGCGGCGCCGCCGCCGGCGACGAATGGGTCACCCTCACCGTCGGCAGCTCCCGGCCGTTCCTCCGCGGCGGGAACCAGGAAGCCCACCCGATCCTCAGCCTGGGGGTCTACGCCGCCGGCCGGGTCAAGTACGTCGTCGCCTCCGACGGCGGCGGGAGGATCAGGGTCTTCACAGAGAACGGGACTCTCTACGGGACTGCCGCCGCTTCCAGCCGGCCGCTGGCCTTCGCGAGGCAGCGGCTACTGTTCCTGACGGAGACTGGAGCAGGGTCGCTGGACCTGCGGACGATGACGGTGAGGGAGACCGACTGCGAGGGCCTCAACGGGACTCGCGCCGCCAGCTACGCCTTCGACGTGTCGGAGAGGTCCAAAGCCTACGGCTTCACCGGCGGGGGGTTACTGGTGCAGGTGGTTCTCCTGGGAGACGCCGCCAGCTTCAAGTGCCGCGTGAGGACGACAAGGAAGGTGGAGATGGAGGGCCCCGTCGCCATGCAGAGCATCAGGGGCTACCTGCTCGCCGTCAACCATGAGAAAGTCTTCGTTTTTAACGTCTCCTCGCACCACTACGGAAGGACCGGGGCTCCTCGGCCCCTCTTCTCCGCCAGTCTGCAGGAGATCAAGTCCCTGTTCCTGAGGCCCCGCAGCGGCGGCACCAATGACCTACCGGCGGCGCCGCCGGGGAAGCCTCTCATCGCGGGGGACCGCGAGAAACTCCTCATCCTGGGCTTGGGCGGCGGCTACGTCGGAATCTACAGGTCCAATTTCCCGGCCTACAAGTCAGAGAGCAACGCGGTGCTGTGGAGCAGCCCTGTTCTCGTCTTCCTCCTCTTTCTCATCGGAATCTGGCACTTCTACGTGAAGAAGAAGGACGTCCTCGGATGGACGCAGGAGGACTTCAATCACACCTCTCTCCCCTCCGGAGCAGACAGAGAGAGGGAGAGGGAGAGGGAGATAAGCTTTGGGGATGGCTCGGTGGGAGGGGGCGAAATCAGGGGCGGCCCCGCCATTCGTCCGATGTACGTCTCACCCCCTTCCCGATACGCCGGCGGGTCGGCCGTTCCCTTCCGGCCAGGCCCCGGCGACCCTGGTTTCAGGGGGCCAAGCGATCTGAAGTACAGGGCGCAGAGGATGGAACCTCCCGGCTTCCCCAAGAGAAGGGACCCCATGGCCACCAACACCCAGACCATCGCCGAGGACCACATTGACTGAGCTTCACTCAACCCCAGAGATCACTTGTCTGAGAGTCCAGGAACACCAGCAAAAATAAACTAGAAGAAGCAGAAGAAGCAGAAGAAGAGGAAGAAGAAGAAGAAAGCCCTAATTCTGATCCTCCAACCTCTCGATGTGTTCAAAGGAGAAGGCCCTCGTAGACAAACTCTGCCAAGTTCTGAACCTCGTCTCTGAAAAATGTGATCACTTTTCATCTACCCGATTCTACCTGAGAACAGGAACCACCCAACTATTCTGCTTGATTGTGTGGAGCGGGTCCCTATTTTTCCATCAGGGTTTGCTTCCTCGGACCCTATTCTGGAAGAAAATATGCGGTATCTCTCACTCTGCTCATAAGAGTTCATCATTCTGGTTGACTATGTGGAGCACGTCACCTCTTTATCCAAACCCTATTCAGGTAGAAAAGTCAACTTGATTTCCTTATTCTTTTGCCATATGAATCCAATTTTCTGGAAGACTGCCGTAATTTCCCCTGTTTTTCATAGGATTTAATGCCCCTGTCGATCCCCCGTCCAGCTTTCAGCCTGATTTCTTATATCTTATAGGGAAGTCAACTTTACTTGTCAAACGTCGGGAAAGCGAAGTCCATAGGGGTTGACTTTGTATCTTTTTTATGACGACGTGAGAGTCAGGTGTTCCACAGCTGTCCTCATGCCAGTATGACGGCCCGTTTGACTTGGAGACACTAATATTTATTTATATAATTAATTAAAATTTCCTTCCAATGATTTTAGAACCACGAGATATTACAGATTTGGGGGGGGGGGAGAGAGAGAGAGAGAGAGATTAGCAGAACGGGTCCGGGCTTACGGGCCTTCACGACGGGCTTCGGGCTTACCCGGCCCACACCCCTGATCATTAACCCTCCCGTGATACATATACATACAATAAAAGTAACGATACAGTAATTTACTTCAAGAAGGGTTTTATGTTAAAAAAAGGCTTGGATTAACTACTCTCAGCCGTCCGATTTTGATCGAACCATCCAAAAAGCTGAGTCCTTTGCCGCCGCTCCTCGAGCCACGGTGGCCCTTTAGGTAATACTTTTTAACTTTAGGGATTCTTTTGGAGTAGAAAGAAATGGGGAACGTGAACCAGCAGCCTTCGGCCATGTGCCACGCGGAGACATCTTGACCGTCAAATCATGGCGATCGACGGCGATCATGATAGTCCAAGGAAGTCTCCCTTTCACGACGTCATTATGGTAAAATAATAAATATTTATAATATTCCAGATATATAATAAGTATTTATAAATAATTAGAGAGGAGCAGGGACACTGGAGTGAGAGAATCTTTTGATCGTCGGTTCTTATGGACCTCCGTCTGCCGCAGCAGCAACTGTGAGAAGAAGGTTCCTCCTCCTCGAAGCAGCCCTCTTCATGAGCCTGCCGAAAGATTGCGGGAAGGTCCAGGGGAGCTCGGGTAGGGAAGCTATGGAGAGGAAGGCGCTCGTGGTTTCTGTGTCAGTGGGCTTCCTGGGCATCCTGTCTGCCGCTCTGGGCTTCGCTGCCGAGGGGAAGAGGATCAAGGTGAGCGGGAAGGGTGCGAATCCCATGGACGGGCGAAGGCTTTCTTCGCTCCTTTTACAGTCATTCTGCGCCGCGTTGTTTCCATTCGCGCTTAGGTGTCTGCTGGCTCCTTGTCAGCATGGATACCCATGGGCGCTGCTTTCCTTTGTGCGTTGGCGTGGATTTCTGACTACCTCATGAAATTCTCATCTTCCGATCCGATTCCTTCCTTCCCGCATTCGGCATCGGATGTGTTTCCTGGGGATCAGTCTATGTCTCATATGGAAAGACTTTCGCCCAAATTTCCTTTCCAACTGTTCATCCGTTCTTGCTATAATGATGTCATTGGCAGATCGCGATCGTGACGCCTTTCGCTAGGCTTGTAGCTCACTCGCCGGCAACCTACGCCTTCCCTCCTATCGCACCCTGTTCTAATCTGTACCACTACAGTCGAACCACTGAGGCAGAACTTTGATGGCTGTTGTGTCTTCGCTGCAAATTAATGGAAGCATGTCTATCCAAGGGCTTTGAGCGGCGCGTTAGTAGACGCATTCTTCTTGCTGAACTTGGTGGATCTTAATACTGATCCAATACCATTGCTCGTACATCTTGAGACTCATGGGGGCATCCCAATCCAGATAACGCTTGGCTGCCTCTGTACTGTCACCAAATCTGTAATTATGTGGGGATGTTTCTGATGTTGAACCAGTATCCGCCCAGAAGAAGGAAAAAAACGAGAAAAATAGAACAAAAGAGTGAAGAAAAAGAGAAAAAGAAAAGTAGTGTGAGATTTGCATAAGCTGTAGACTGCATCACATAATTGGTCTCCATGAACACCTCCCGTTCAAAGTCGGCCCATTTGAGCTTGATACTGTTCGATTCTGCTGCGTGCGCCCAACTCGGATCGTTTACAATGATTAGGAAGTACCCATTAGTCATAAATGTATAGAATGGTATAAAATATCAATCGCGTTTATATTGTGAACTGGGAGTTGGTCATGGCTGTTCAAGCTGAGAATCATCTGTGCTTCATTTAGATGTTGTATTGTGGATATTGAGAAGAGGTAATGTTCTCATTGGCTGAGATAATTAGTTGACTTTTTCTTTTCTTTTCAGGCCTCTGATGTGCAGGTGACGACACGGGGTGAATGCGTATATCCAAAGAGCCTAGCTTTATCCCTTGGACTGGGATCAGTGATTGCACTGATCATAGCCCAAGCAATCATTAATTCAGTGGCTGGTTGCATTTGCTGCAAGCAACGCCCACATGCCTCCGGCACAAATTGGACAATAGGATTGATCTCATTTATTTTTTCATGGTAAACCCTTTGACTAGACCATGACATTAAGATGCTCTGATATTTTCAATTGTTTCATCTGCACGTGCGATAGATAAAATTTATGGTTCTCAAAATGTCCTCGGTCTACAGTGCAGCACGCTTTCATTTCAATGCCGCCAACTAGTTTCAGAGATTTTTCTTCTATACAAGCCAACAGATTGTCCTGCCCTTCCTTTTTTAGGGGAGAGACAGGCGTTGACCTAATAAAAATTAGTTGCCCTGCCCTTCTCTTGTTTCTTACTCATTCTGGTTCCCATTCTGACTCTTTCTTGGATCAGCTGGTCCCTTACAGAGGAATTCTACTCTTGATGGTTGGATTGTGCCCATTTCTAGCAAAACCATGTACTCTATTTGGCCTAAAACAATCATTGGATTTTAATAGCCACTTTATGACTACTCCCTTCGGTACCCTGCAACTCTGTTTATTCATGTATTCTGTCCAAATATCCATCTTCATAGTTTTATCGCTTACTTTCTGCATTGATAATTTCTTATGGTGTTTTTCATTCATCATGAACGAATGTGATGCATTGATAATTTCTTATGGTGTACTTGCATAAACCCCGTTGCAAAACTGCTCAGCAAGAGAGATTGCAAATAATTTTACCCAACATATTTCCTTTACTTATCTAAATGTTCTTCTATGCACGGCTCGAGCGGCCAACTGAGCTGAGCCCGTCAAAGAAAGGAAGAACAAGTATGGCCACATTGAAGAATTGGAACGATCACTTCAAATTATTTTGACGACGAATAAAAATGGAGGAACCAAATTTTATGAGCGTACTAGACTGATTTTCTGTTTGAATTCTTCATCAGGCCACCCTTTCGATTAATTAGCTCATGGGTTTAATTAGCTCATGGGTTTAGATTAATGAATAATTAGCATCAGGCCAATAATGCGTTTAAATGTGATTGACTATGATTAAGTTTGGTAAATTTTACTCAGATTGTTCTCATTCAAGTGCTTCACTTTGTCAGCCAGGTATATTTTTGAATGATGCGTCAAGAATAACTTGCTTCACTTTATGATTATGCATATAGACCCAAATTGCTACAAAACCTTCATAATCGTTCGTATTTTCCTCGAATAATTCTAAACTTAGTGAGCCAACTTACCATAACATGAACATATCATCACTCCCATCATCTCCGTTGACCGAGATTGAGGATTCCACTTGTGGAAAAATAAAACAATGAAGCACAGTCCCCACATTTTTTAAGCTCATAATCGAGAAATCTTACCTGTTGGGTACCCTTTCCATGCAGGATCACCTTCATAGTCGCCTTCCTCCTGCTGCTGACTGGTGCCGCCCTCAACGACCAGCGGGGCGTGGAGAGGACGTACTTTGGCAACTACTGCTATGTCGTCAAGCCTGGGGTCTTCTCGGGCGGGGCTGTGCTGTCCCTTATCAGCGTCTCCCTGGGGGTGCTCTACTACCTCGCCATAGCATCGTCTAAGCAGCTGGAAGGTCGGGGGGGAGCCCAGATAAACCAGGGAATCGCCATGGGCAACCCTCAGATCCCACCCCAGAGTTCGCAGCCGGTCTTCGTCCACGAGGATACCTACAACAGGCAGCAGTTTCCCTAGAGCAAGGTCCCCTCTTTCTTTGTCCATTAAAAGAAACTTCCTTTTTGCTGATCGGAGCGTACCCTGTTTCTCCTCTCTCTCTCTCTCTCTCTCTCTCTCTCTCTCTCTCTCTCGCTCAGGTGGAGGGAGCGTCCAATCGTGTGATGTAGATAACCCTCGTTTCTCTGGTATATGAATGTGGTTTCTTTTTTTTTGGGTAGATTGTTCATTGTTGTTCTACTCCATCAACCATCTCTCTCACTCACTCACACAGCGGTTGCTGTCGACGATGGGGATCTTCACTCTCCGACAACGGCTGAAGTGCGAGTAAGACTAGCCGTTAAGGATGCGATTTATAATATTCTAGCCACCTTAGCGGGGTTTTCTGGCCCAATAGAGAGGTCGCATTGACCCAATAAGGGGTGGCGGTGTGGGTTTTGGGATTCAGAGCCCAATAAGGATTCAGGTGTAGGTTTTGGGATTAGTCTCTTCTTATTAGCTAAAAAGAGACGAATAAATACCTGACACGTGGAGATGCGGGGTATCGATCCCCGTACCTCTCGCATGCTAAGCGAGCGCTCTACCATCTGAGCTACATCCCCATTGGTTAACCAAGAATATTTCAAAATATATAATAAAAATATTCAACTCCATGGAAATAGAGATGGAGAGAGAGAGAGATGACAGTTCGACCAGAGCCCGACAAAAAGCCAACCTGTTAGAGAGAGAAACTGGCGTATGAGCCATGGAAACCCCAAGGAGGGAAGAAGGGAGAGGGAGAAGGTTCTGCGGCCATGTCACGCCAAGCAGCCCCTGAACCCCTTCCTCAGGGCCTCCTCGTCCAGGTTCTTCCCTATGAAAACCAGCTTGCTGATCCTCTTCTCGTTCTCCTCCCACGGCTTCCCTGGGCAGCCATCCAGCATGGAGTGGACCCCCTGAAATTAAATTAAATTAAATTTAATTTAATTAAAGACAAATGATCCGGTATAGAAGGCCCTCGTCTCATTCATAAGGTTTTAAACCATGGAAAATAAAAAAGAATCCCTCTGAGGCAATTATTACCTGAAATACATAACGCCCGGCCGGATCACTGACGGATAAGATGCCCTTCATCCGGTATAGATCATCTCCCTTCTCATCGACCAGCCGTTCGAGCCAATCATTGGCCTGGATATGCAAAATATGGCAAAGAATTAATAATGTTAAGGGAATCGATGCAGCTCGGATGTTTTATTTGTCTTCATTATGGAAAAAGTTACCATTTAATAGGCATTTTAGTTTCGTGTTTCTTGAACATTTTAAAAAATAAAACTACATTTCAGTATTAAAAATTAAGATTTATCATTTATGGAAAGTGAAGAGAGGGACCCATAATAATAGTATTTTTCCTATTAATGAGAAAGAAAGTTAAACAGGAAGAGCGACCCAGTATTTTTTTTGGAAAAGATTAATAGGATTAAAAAATATCACGTATTTTACTTTTAAGAGATAATAATAATGGGGAAATAGAATAAATAAAGTAATATTTCCAATCAATAAGCTGTGGATGATTCGAAGACGAGGGGCTGGGTTGCTAATTTGAACTATCTTGGAATACGTCTCAAACAAATAAGAGAAAGTCAACGAAAAAAACAGGCCTACCGGGCCGGACAGCACAAAGTCAACGAACTATTCATATAAACTACAATACCAGAAATGACATATTCATGCATAAGTAAATAAGCCGACAATAGCCATATATGGAAGGTCTCCGGCAGGCAAGACACAAAATAAGTATGTTTTGTACTATGAACCAACCAGTTTCAACAGCAGAGAGACCAAGGAAAAAATAATCAAGACCCAAGATTATTAAATGGATAACGCATGGAGTGTAAAAAATATTAAATCCAGAGATACCTCATCAAGATCCAGAGTTTCCTCTGATACTATACTGACACTGGATACAGCCAAATCGTGTACATGATCATGATCATGATGATGATGCTCATGATCATGGTTGTGGTCATGGCGGTGGTGGTGATGCTCTCCATGTTCATCTGGTAGAGAAAGCCCACTCCACTTAAATTGACATGAAAAAGAATTTAAATTCATCCGGATTACGACACAATCAACATAAATATACTTGAATAAAATGGTAGATGTGAAATAGTTCCACACAGGGGAACTACCAATTCTCCGGATTCAAATCATTGCAAATTTTCGTCCAGGATTTCAAATCAGTAGGGTAAAGAAGGGGAAACTTGATATAAAAGTGTAAAAGCATTACTGTGTCCATGTTCTTCATTATGAACTTTTTCACTGCTCGTATCTGCCAGAACTTCTGAGCCGATTCTGTGGAAATATACGCAAAAAAAAAAAAACCATAATTTTAAACATAAGTAATATTCAATATAGGTCCTCTTGAAACCTGGATAAGCTACACTTTTTCAGAAGTGGAAATATTAAAGTCGAAGAAAAAATTATTGGTTCAAGCACGACTTAAAGGAAATAAATTTGACAAACCTGTCAAGGTCATATCCACCCACTCCTAAGACGAAATCCATGTCCACAAGTCCAAATTTGGCATGTTTGATCTGGGCCATTCCATTGATATGCTGTGAAAAAGAAAGAGGAAGCACGTGTCAAGAAAGCCCTGAATAATTGAACAGGAAACAGAAAATGGAACCTCACCTTGATTTTTCGGGTCAACATATGCAGATCGTGTTCATCAACCAAGTCTATCTGTCAAAAAAGGATAACCCAAAATATAGGCTATTAGTCATTTGTAAAAAAATAAAATACAGCTCATATTATCCCACACCACGTAGAGGTTGACAACTCCCTTCCCTTGAAAGCTTTCCAGAGTCAAATCATACAACACCCATGATAAATGGATAAATGTGGAGAAATGGCAACAAGGAACAGGACTAGCAGTAAACACACCTTGTTCAGTATGATCCGGTCTGCATAGGCAACCTGTTCCACTGCCTCATTCACTACCCACCTTGGTTTCACTTCATTTAAATGTTGCATAGCATGCTTACAGTCAACCATTGTAACAACACCGTCAAGCTTCACATACCGTGAAACCAATTCATCCGAGCAGAAAGTCTCAATTACAGGAGATGGCTTCGCAAGACCTGTAAAAGTAACGATGAGAATGATTAGCAGCTAAGACGAGGATAAGAACTCCATGTGAGATGACATCATCTGTGAGAAGAATATTAAGGCAAGATATGAGCCATGAAAGATGAAGGTTCTTATTTTTTCATTGTACTCGAGCACACCAACTCCCACCATCATCAGCTGCCCAGCCTCTACCCAACATTCAACCTAATCCTCCCTTCATTTTCTTGACTTGACACGGCCCATACTAGTAAATAACTCCCAAAAGATAGACATGTTAGGGTAACAGATGTAGCGATTTATTCCTCTAGTAGCTTCCGACGTTTTCAATGAACATCTTGTCAAAGAGCTTTTACATGATATAAGATTTCCACCAATACATAAAACAAAGAGCTTTCAATTTAATTATCATGTCAAAATAAATGACCACAGCCCATTAATTGAAGCTTATTACATATGCAGTTGCAACACATGCAACACAGATTAACCCTCTCATATTGATGTACGGTCAATATTTAATGCATGCATCCTGGTTCTGCTACAAAGATATGCATAAAACCTTATGTCATGCACAAAGAAAATGAGGTGTACCTGTTGTTTCTATAACAATGTGATCAAATTTGTCTCGTTTGTTCTTGACCAGCTTCAAAAGCATTTTAACTAGGTCTCCTCTTACAGTACAACATAAGCAACCATTGTTGACCATAATGATGTCCTCGGCCACAGATGAATGACTAGCAACCAGAGAACTATCAATGTCTACCTCCCCGAACTGCAAAAAGAGTAAAGAGGCAAATGTCAAGAATGTACGTATTCAAATTTCAACTTCTTCATAGTATGGTGTATGGTGAAAGTATTGTGATTTGGGCTATCCAACTCGAAATCAATTGACCTTGAGTAGGAACATCTGTAAAACCAAAAGATTTTTTTGATTCTAGCAAGAATGTCGTAGCAGACCCCCTCATGCACAAATAAACTACTGCTGGCTGTTAATAGCATTAACAATAAAAATGTGATGAGCACAACCATGATTGATCGTCAGCTTCAATATCATGTGAAAGCCGGACCATCCTATTAAAAACCAGTAGGCAAACAGTGGAGCAAACAGATCCAAACAACCAAAGGGTACTGATTATTTAGCACCACATGCCGATAATTGAAAAGGTGAATACATACCGTACAAGTACAGACTTGCCAAAAGACTACCGCACATTAGAGAAAATAAAAGGCGATGCTCTCACAAGAGAAAGATAGCACTACGTTAGATGACAGCAGAGAATCAACTGAACAGATTGAATTGTGACATGGATTCTATCAATATCGACTTCCTTTCATGTACTTTGTACAATCATATCTCTCAATCGTAGTTCCAACAGAATATAACCCATCAAAATCCTTCCCACACCAATTGGGGAAAATATTAATTCCCAGCGTATTTCTTATGACATACTACCTTACTACCAGAAAAGGACAAATCCATATAAAAAATCATTGATATACATAAGAAGCCATTGACATGGAATGTGAGGATTTTCTTTAGCCGTAACAAAATGACAAAACCAGCAGATGTGTGATCTATGATGGGGTAATGCAATAAATATTTTTTCAAGAATGAAACCCAAACCAAAAGAAGAAAAATACAAATGAAAAAAACTTCTCACCTCATTCTCAATGACTGCAATTCTCTTCCCATGCTGGGAAGTTAAAATGTGATTCAATAGGGTGGTCTGCAGTCAGAAATTATCAGACACATTATATAATTGAAGAAAGATTTGACAACAAGTAAAACGGGAACATGACCAGCTGTCTATATGCGTAAAATTAGATCTTATAACACATCTGAACTCATCACAATTCCCAGATATGAAAACACATGCTGCTATGTCCAGACTTTTATAAAATGCCCAAGAATGTAGTGCGAATATAAGGGTCAGGATGTTTACCTGACACAGAGAATACGAGTATCGACTGAATATTGGACAAATTATACGAATTTTAGAACGGTACTTTATTATTCTAAGATGGTCTCCACATGATAATAGGGAAGCTCAATGGGCATTAGGGAAGATAGGTAAAGACGTGTCTTGAATTTTCTTTCCAGGGTGCATTGGTCATTCATATTATTAAATGACCAATTTCACGCATGTATTTATTGAAAAAAATGGACCTATGATTGAAAGCACTTTCCAGGGTGAACTGATCGTTCATACATTCTCTATGCTGCCATGGGTGGACTTGCTTAACTGAAGAAGGTAGGTCTGGGTGAGAAAAAAAAAAACTGTGCCTTATTTTGTAGAAAGCAGGAAGGTCTCATAAACTCACTATCTTTATGTGGTAATCACCTAGATAGCCATATTTCACTTTGTCATCACTTTTCTCCCTCAAGTTTAGCTTTGAAGAATAGATCAACACATCTTTGATAAGTTGTCAAAGAAGGGTTTGGAGTCCATTATTAACAAATTTCCATCAAAATCCTAACTCTTGAGGCTGAAATATGCCAAAATCCCTGCTTCTACGAGGTTGCCAAACAAAGGGAAAGCTTCAGCAACTGAACACCGAATGTGAAGCAAAACATGAGAACGACCCATCAAAATAGATACCCTCATGAGTCCTGAAGGGATGTCCACGCTTTTGTTCATTGGTCTCACTATACTCGTGAAACAGCGATTCCAATGTTGAGATGCTACGATCTTTTTCGCAGCATATTAGCAGAAATATGTATGAAATAATAGTTCTGCCGCATTCTAGGATTCAAAACTTAGATAAATATCAGTAAGAATAGTACACGCGTAAAACCTTCAGTTAAAAACGTAAACTGCCAGCTATCGGATTGCAACGTTAAATCGACAGATCAATTTTGGCCTTCTCTCGACGAAAATTATCGCGTGGCTCCAAAACGGCTTTAGCGGTGATGGAGAACAAGCGGTTTGTGAGGAAGCTATCTTCTTTAAGAGAAAACAGAGCACGAAATAGATCCCCTAGAACCATCATCTCGAGGGAAAAATAATACGACGTCTTCAAATAAATGGATGAAAGACAACCTTCCCGGAACCTAGGAAGCCGGTGATGACTGTGGCGGGGACCCGATCATCGAGGTTGAGAGCGGAAGCGATGGACTCGTCCGCAAGGTCTGGCCTCGGGACGGAACCAGTGAACACGGTCCTAGAGCAAGTCGGCCTGGACCTCCGATTATCAGCGTGGCGAGCGAAGGATTCCCCTCGGGAGGCGGAGTGTAGACCCCTGAAGCACTGGAATACCGAAGAGCGCCCCGGAGTTGGATCCGCCGGATGCAGCTGGTTGAGGAAGAGCCTGCACGATAGACTCTTACCGAGTCCGTGCGTCCTCGAGATCAAAAGCCTCACAGCCATCGTCGTCCGTCGCCGGCGGAGCCGAGAGCAGAGTAAGAGCTTCGGACAGGGCAGAGAGGGCAAGGGAGACAACGGGACGGGGACGACCTTAAACCCTTCGTGGAACCCTGAAAATCGTGTTTGGATTGACGGAAATAGTCGAAGAGGATTCCACAAGATTTTGCCTCTCCGCTCGCCTATCCGGTGTAAACGGGCCCAAAAGCCCGGAAACTATGGCCCGAATAGGCCCTGTTTTACCACCCCCTGCTGCATCTTTTGAAGAGAGAGATAAGAGACGAACGGGCCCAAATAAGGAACCAACCGGGCCGAGTTTTAACTCAGTTCAAGGCCTGGCCCTTCCCCGACCTGGAAAAGGGCCCATCCACGAGCTTATAGCCCGGCCCGTTCTCACCCCGATTAAAATCTCCTCGACGGTTCCTCCAAATATATTGTGGTCTCGTTAATAGTACGGAAAGTCCATCGAAATGTCTGCGCGAGTGTTGGGTACAAGATAACGAATTTCGTCAAACCCGCGGTACAGTTAGTCGCTGCTCTCCCCACTTCGAAGAGACGGGCGGTAAAGGGGGGAGGGAGAGAGAGAGAGAGCCGACGGCTCAGAGGATAGACGAAATGCTTAGCCTGCCCCGCCTCTGCGCCGCCGCGTTGATCCCCCCGGCCGCCGCCGCCGGCTCAAAGCCTCCCTACGGAGCGCATTTATGTGCTTCAACCTCGTGGATCCCTCTCTCTGGTCCTCGTTCTTCATCAATCCGGAAGCACCGCGGCTCGCGCGGAGGGAGAATCTTCTCGACAGCTGCTCAGCGGGAAAATGAAGAGCCGATGGCTGTGGAAGCCGAGCTGGTGGAAGATGCGGAGATGGAAGGATTGGGCGTAGAGGACGTTGATGTGGAGGAAGAAGAAGGAGAAGAAGGAGAGTTCTCGTTCAGGGGCGGGTACATGGGGAGAGGAGAAGGAACAGACTATGATAAGGATCCCGAGTTTGCTGAAATCCTTGGGAGCTGCTTCGATGATCCCGAGAAGGCCCAAGCGCGTGTATAGACCCTCCCTCCGTTGTGTGTACTTCCTCTGGTATTTATTCTCCAATCCTCTTTCTAAATTCTATAATGATGCATTGATTCTATCTAGGTGGAGGAGAGGATCCGGAAGAAGCGAAACAAGATAGTCCAAGCGAAGACTGGTTCGTCAAATCCCGTGAAGGTCACACTCAATAAGTGAGTCACGTAGTACGTCACGTTTTCTTACATTTCTCTCAGTTCAAGCTGTCAAACGATGGTTCATTTCTTCCTATCCAGAAATTGGACGATCAGGTCTCACTCATATTCACGGATTTTGGATTTATCAGCCTCTCTGTCGTGCTCATTTTAGAATTTCTTGCACTTCGACGCTGTGGGATCAAGAAATATCCCTGTTTCATTCAACTTCTAATTTTCTTTTTTGTTCTTCTGTTATGAAATTCGCTCTAACTGCAGGCCGCAGAAGTTCCTTTAGTTGTGAATAACTATACTGCAGAAATCTTAACCTAAGAGTTCGTCTGCCAGGATATTGCGTTCTTTGAATTTCAATAAAGTATGGCTGGATTTGTGTGCCTTCATGCGTATAAACCAGACCTAGCTCCGAGTTTTTTAGTTCCATAAATTTTCCCCGATTAGGTTTAGGGAATGAAACTTTTTTCTGGTGTTGTCACAAAATATTCGTGTTTCTTTGATTCTATTTTATTTTATTTTCCAGGTTCATGAGCTATTGACGCTTAATTGCGCTTCTATTTATTGTTTGGATTGTAATAAAGACCACTATATTCCAGGTTCTCAATGAAAAACGAGAGGATTTGTTTCACGAGAATAAAGGACGGAAAATCTGATGTATTTTCTCTCTATACAACTGCATTTAAAGGGTTCGCAGATTATTGTAAAGTGTCTACACTATATTGGAACTATTTTTTATATTCTCCATCAACAGCATCTGTGATAAATATAGTGTATGTTCCATTAATGTGTTCAATGTGGAGTTGAATAAGGCCAGCTCCCTCTACAATCTGCATCACTTTAGAAATATACATGCTGATTATTGTGTTTTTGCATGCTCATCACATAAAATGTTGACATAATCACGGTAATTTATGCTCTCAATAATTTTAAAACCATTCTTATTCTGTTTTAGGATTTAATTATGACTTCTTTATTTATCCTTCGTTCCTAATTAATAAATAATAAGTTTATTTGTGCAATAAATTATTTCTACATTAGTCACTTAGCAGGTTGTTAACTTTCCGGGATGTTTATGCAGATTTAATTTCTCAAACTCTTACATCTGGTTCGAATTCTACAATGCTCCATTAGCCAACGATATTTCTTTAATTTGTGATGTAAGTTGTTGCCTCTTCAACTATATATATATTTCCTTCAGAAGTTGACTCTATTGACTCACTTGATTTTCATTTCCAGGCCATTCGGTCTTGGCATATTATAGGGCGTCTCGGTGGTTGCAACTCTATGAACATGCAGGTGGGCTATGATTATCATACATTTTTTTAATGGTGAAAGAATTTCAGAGACAACTCTATGAAATCCTCCTAAGCATCATGCTAGATTTCGATATGCATTTGTCTGTCCTATTGATTTAGGTTCGTGGGTCTGTTATTTTCTTCAAGAAAATAATAATCTAGGATCATCATCCACGATAATATTGATGGGTCCTCTGACCATCCTCTGATGGAAGCTCAGCCGGCATCATTTTGCTTGTGATTTGGATTTCAGTGCCAAGAACACATATTCTTTATTTATTGAAGCTTTATTTTGATCTTCTAAAGCTCCCTTAATATTTCCTGCGGCACTGAACACCTAAAAAGGCAGCTATTTTTCTGAACAATGCAGTTGTCACAGTTGCCTCTGGACCACAAAAGGCCTACTTATGATGCCATCCAAGGAGCCAACGTCACTCCAACCACTTTTTATAACATCGGCGACCTTGAGATTCAAGACAATTTGGCACGGATATGGTAATAAATAAATTATAATTTAAAATATCATTATTTTTCGTTTTTATTTAATTCTATGGTTTATGTGTATGAGTGTGCATTTAGACTCAGACGTCTGTCTGTTCGAACAGGGTGGACATCGGAACAACAGAACCATTGCTTCTAGACGTATTGATAAACGCATTAATTCAAATAAGCTCCGAGTAATTTCTCTCTCCTCAGCATCTCATAAGATCCTTTGTGGGTTTTCTCGGCATTGTAGATAGAGTTTGGACATAGTTTTTTTTTTTTTTTTTTTTTTTTTTTCAAGTAAATGGGCTGGGCAGGCATTGAAACCTAGATTGTGCGGCTGACTTGTGTATGTTCCTATGAACAGCTATGTGGGCATCAAGCAGGTGATGTTTGGTGGCCGCGAATGGGAGAACTGGAAGGAGAACATGTCAGAGGATGCCGGCTGCAGTGTTCATAAGATCTAGTGAAGACTCTTCGCCGAGATCTTTGCTTGGGGGATGCTCTGCAGGCGGGGCATGAGCATGGCAGTGAAGTCAACTAGTTGACCGGGTTGACCGGAGCCCATCTTCTCCCTGCGTTCCGCCGCTCCCCCATTATTAGAAGTATGAGAGCTAGAGCTTCTGTGATCAGACACTGAGTGAAGATCAGTTGCTGGCAGATGAAGAGTAAGGGGGTCCGTGGTAAGAATCATATCAGGATACGAACGAAGAAAAGAATGAGGTGGCGTGAAGTGGAGGCTACTAACTCGGCATCGGACTTTGCAGGAGAGGGAAGCCTTGCCGGTGGGCGTCTCACCCGAACCCAAGAGAGCGGGAAGGAGGGGGCGGAGGAGATGGAAAATACGAGGAGAGAGAGAGAGGGAGAGAGAGAGATTAAGATGACAAAAAGGCCAGATTAAGCATATAAATGGTGGATGTTAGATATCCGTTCATTTTAAAATTACATGATAAAAAACTATTTTTAGGAAAATATCTTACTGATCTTCATATTTTTCCCAAGCATGAAGGCATTGCGTCTAGCTGTGACTTGATTTGCATGTTAATTATAAAAACCCCCTATGATTTCTCGAAAGACATGTCAAATATCAACGCAAGTTTAAACCCTATTAGAAACCAAATAAGCTATTTTTTTCTAAATAATATTTTATTTTATTTTATTTGAGATGCTTTGCTTAGCATGTAAATATTTTTTAGAACAAAATACAAGTAAAACCCTACAAATTTCATAAGCTTAGTGAGTGCAAAGGTGATGATAAGATTACAAATGCTTGATGATAAGACTAAGCTTGATGATGAGATTACAAATGCTTAGTGATACATTTTTCTTCGCATACTTCTTGTTCTATTAGATCTCACAGTGGACTGCAACCAAGTATAATGTTTATACCCGTCATGTCAAACATCCACTCCAATTGAGTAAGAAGAGTAGGCACTCTCCAATTGGGCGCGTAAGCCCATAAGCCCTACATTTCCCATAAAAGAAAACATCTTCCCCTTTATCACCTTCTTTCTTGCCTTCCTCTTCAGAAACTTTCTCCATCATTTTAGTGGGCGTTCTTCCCATTCACCTACCCATCACTCACATAGTGATGGTGTTTGAAGTAATAGCTGCTCCCATTACTGACAGGGGGATTTCAAGCTGATACCAATCTCAGAAATCCTGCTCTTAAACCCATCTATATCCATAGGAGAAACTTCCGATGTGCCCTTCGTCTAGCAGAGAAGAGGGTTCAATGGGTGGGCAATGTTCCCTAAATCATGCATGAACAGTTCATCTTGTTTCCATATCATCCAAGTTGCCCATGGCTCACCTTAGCCAGGCAATCACTCTCTCAGTCACATAGCAAGATCAGCATAGAGAAATTAATGAAATGGCTCTGTTCTTGATCTCATTGGTATCTCTAGATCAACCACTGCTCAGTTGACCCCCTTATCATGTTGAGAGGGGTTGATCGTGCCATTCATTCAGACATCTCCTCGAGTCAATACGTCGAACAGGTTACAGACACGGAATAATGCGAGAAAAGACGGCATTCCCAGGGAATTCAAAGATCTGGAAGACCAAATAAACTTCTCTGGTGGTAGTTCACACATAACGAATTCGGCTAAAAATCGTCACGAACCCTATGAACAAAATCTCTGAGTCGGAAAGCATTTTTATCGCCTCGATCTAGATCAAAGGTTGAAGGGAGGAAATGAGACCTCGAGCGGGGAATGATTCCCATTCATTTGCTTTCGCCCTCGGCCGGCTCCTCCTGGCCGTAGCGCCGCTTGAACTTGGCAATCTGGCCGAGGCTCTGAGCCATCTGGCGGCGTGCCCGGAAGTGATAGACCTTTCCCACCTGGTGGATCTTGGTCATCATCACGTTGATCAGCCTGCCGCTGGGCGTCACATATGAGATCCACTGCAACTGGGGGTGCAAGCCTTTCCTCATGCCTGCCCGGTTCATAAACATTCCATCGAACAGTAGACGGTCACAGGCAAAGCACACAGGGAGACGACATTGAACGCCAAAAAATGGCTCAAAAATGGCTCAAAAATGGCGCCGAGGAACCGTCTGAGACAGATAATTTAAATAATATATTCCTCAAGATCATCTTCCCGTTTGAAACGGGGAACTGACAAGTCGGTTCAATCGGCGAATCGTCTGAGCTTTCGAATCACGAAACAGCGATGAAGACGGGAGAGCTTGGACGAAATCGTCCAGAAATCCACGAAGTTTAAGAAGAACAAATGCACCACAGGAGGACATCCGCGGTTTCGACCAGTCGCGAGATTGCAACCCACGCCGCAAACAACGCGCGATCCGGTTAGAAAAACAGATACCCCCCGGAAGGGATGAACACGTGAAGATCGGAAGAACGAAGACTTACTTGGTGATTCTCCTCTTCACTTCTATCGCTGTGACGCCGGTTCTCACCGCCTCTCCTCCTCGATCCTTGGCCAGATCTCTTCCCCCCCGCTCGGGCACAGCGAGGAGAGAGCAGGAAAAACAGAACGAATACTACGTCAGCCCCGAGTTCTCCTATCAGCCCTCCCCCCACATGACCAAGGAGAACTGGGGGCTGACGTGGTATACACGTGTAAAAAACACGTCAGCTTTTTAAAAATAAAAAATGTGGGACAGGTAAAATGTCTTGGCCCAAATATTTTTTGGGCCTGGGGCTAATTCAGCCCACATTGGCAATCTTCAGCTACGACGGAAGGAATAGGCCAGTGGAGGCTGCCACGTGGCAGTAAACGGAGTTCCGTACTTTAAAATATAATATTTAAGCATTTAACGAAAAGTGACTCGGGCTTTCAAATCGTTGCTTATATTTAATTTTATTAATTTAATTAAATAATATGCAACGATTTTCTCATTATTCTTTTTATAAAAAGGAGAAAGTACGTTTTCATTTTTATGCCGAAGGATTTTTTCTCTAAAAAAATAAAATATTCACTTGGGGAAGGTTTTTTGCGCGTGAAAAATATAATATATTATCCATAAAAGAGTATCCATTTACTTTTTATAAATTATCTTTATTGGGCGACACGTCGGTTTGAGAGGCTTTGGGCCGACCCATTATGAGCCCATCGTATTTATCCACTAAAAAATATAATTATGTAAATATATCACCCCGACGAGGAAATAGCGCAACTAAATACACATCCACTGTTATCGTGTTTATACGTCAAAGAGAGGTCATATTCAAGAAGACTCTCGTGGAAAAAGTCAACTGAAGTTCGTACGCGGCACACGGACTAGCAGCAGCCTGTCTGTGTGTGCGAGAGAGAGGGAGAGAGAGAGGCGGGCTGCCAGCTTCCAGGGATCGGGCCGGGCCTAATTTTCGGGCTTAAATTTGAGAGCGAGGTTGTAAAATTTGAGTCTCGGGGTTACTCCGACAGTTAGAACGAAAGGCCTCCCTCCCTTCTAGTTCTCTCTCTCTCTCTCTCTCTCTCTCTCTCTCTCTCTCTCTCTCGACGCCGGTGCCGGAAAAGGAAGCGAGGGGGGTGGGTGGGTGAATGGCGGGGCTGGCGGGGTTCCTGGATGCGCTACTCGCAGCCGGGAGCCGAGCATTCTGCAGCCCCATTGCCATATTCATCCAGATCCAGGTGCGACCTCTTCTTCCCTGGAATCATCAAAGGCTTCCTATCTGTCGTGTTGATCAGCTGCCACCTTATGGCTACGTATCATGAGTCCTGACGGCTATACAGTTATGCGCTTGTCCTGGTCCTTCCGGGTTTTACGTTCATATGGATGTCGAATCGACGGCTGAAAGAAGTTGCCATGTGGACGAATGTTTCTACATCTTGATTTTTTTTTGAATAAATCACGCAAGAACGCCCCCGGCGCAACCGATTTTGACGTAGCCAGCTACATTCCGATGCCTCATTCTGCACTATTATTCTTGATCATTGACACCAATATCCATTTTTGTCCTCTCTAGTAGACAAAGAAAAATAAGTATTTATAGTTTTCTGTACTTGGCAGATTCTTCGGGATCATCGTTTATTTTTAATTACCGACCAACGCTTATTGGAAAAAAGAATATCTGTAGGTATTTTTGTCCGTCGAAACTTCTGGAGGTATGGGACTGTGGGGGTTTATAGAGTATTGCCCAAATGCATATATTATCCTTTGGCAGTAACTTATCAGATGGGAGCCTGGCACATTTCGTTGTGTTCAGCGCTGACATGACGCTCCATACCGAGCTATGCAATGTATGGACTGAAGAAAGGCTTTTGCGCCTCTTGATTGTTTACGTGCCATAGAAAAATTCATGGAACTAACAGCTAATCCTAAGTATTACTGTACTTCACTTTGAAGGCTATAAGAAACAAGTAAGAAGGAAAAGCTTTTTTTCTCTCCATCTTTTCAATCATACCGGCTCTCGCTGAGAAAAGCTTATCACTATCATGGACTAATCTGGTTTTCTCTCTAAGTACTTCCTGCTTGTCATCTCCTGGTTTATTATTCGCTTGATTTGCTTGCTTTTTTTAATCTCGTCACTACATTTTTGTTTAGTATACCTTTCTCTTCGAGGTAAAAGTATTGCTTGTTCACAGAATCTAGTTCGGATAATTTTACATCTTTATGTAGAACATTTCGTAACTAGTTGGGTTTTATCTTGTTCATCTAGGAAATGCTCTTGGCATGCCTCATATACGTACTTAGTCTCGTTTCTCATACGAAGTGACAGCCCAAGTTGTCTTCTTTAGCCATCATATGTAACTGAGACACTTATTTCCTTTTATTTTGCATAGGGATGCATCATCTGTTTAACACTTGCTATTGGATGGACTTTTGCCGCCCATGTCAGGTAACCATGCGAAAAATTTACTGAATGATAACTTTGATAACAATTGTAACTTCGTTGAAAACATTTCCATGTAGGGTAAGTTTTTTATTCATCAATTTTTTTTTTTCTCATAGGAATAAAGTGATAAAGCGCATGAAGCAAGCTATTGAAGGTGGAAATCATTTTGCATTTATCTGTGAGGATATCAATGATCTTGAGCACTCTGCTCAGTCGAAATTACCTGGACTATCAGTGATCATGCCAGTCAAGGGTTTCGGGGAGCATAATTTTCAGAACTGGAGAAGTCAGGTCAGTATTCATGTCTATTGATTCATTTGTTTTCCTCTAAAATTGCAATTTTCTATTCGCAGTTAGATATTTTGGATTCGGCACTTGGTCTCAATAAGTCTGATCCTTTTTATACTCATTTGACTCTCATTTGCCTTTACACAAACCAAATTTCTTTGCGCTCCCCATAGTTAGCTAATCATAATTGAAATTAAAACCATGGAAGCACAGGGGTAATTTCAGATTGCCCAGCATTTTTTGAACGTCTAGATGCAGAAAACATGCAGATTGTTTCTACCTATGCTATTCCATCCAAATTTCTTTGTTTGTATTAGTTATTAGTCTATAATTTCTATAAAGGTTTAATCAGGTTATATTTTTTTCCCCCATGATACGTGGAATTATGTGATCACACTTGTTGCATTATTGCAGATAACTTCCCTCTATGGAGGGCCCTTGGAATTCCTCTTTGTAGTTGAAAGTGTTGATGATCCGGCTTACCACGGTGTTACTTTGTTGATATCAGAGTTTCAGGTAAACCATCAAGGATATTACATCATCCATGCGGTAAGGCAACCAAGAAGTCTGCCTTGACTTCTCGTCAGCCTGCCAATCACTTTTCCGATAAAGATTAGTTCGTTGGAGTAAAACCATAAAATTAGCTTTATGGGACATTCTGTACAGAAACTTTTTTACTGGGAAATCTCAGCCTTGGATGCTGCAGAGATTTTCCGTCTGAAAAATGAAATTTTACATTTTTTAATTATCATTGTGATGTTCAATTCATTGTGGTTATTATTTGTTTGCTATTTGGTTATTCAATATGTGGGCGTTGAGATGATAATGCTATGCTACGATTTGTGAGAGTAATGATGAGGTTTTTGCCATCTTTGATGAATTGATTTCTTTTTTTTTGTCCAGGACTGTGTTGATGCAAAAATTATTGTTGCTGGTTTCTCAACGACTTGCAGTCAGAAAATCCATAACCAGTTAGTATGTCATTTTTTCTTTTTCTTTAGTTTTCTTCAATCTTTGAGGGTAAAATTTCAATTTTTATTAACAATCGTATGCTTAGGGTTCATGATGTCACTTGCCAATGTTTTGACTTCTTGAAAACAGCAAATGACTTCACCTGATCCAAATGGAAAAATTGGTGTGATGAATGTGATGTTCAATATGCAAGAATGGCATTTAGGTTTTCTGAAAATAACTTGTCTCCAAATAATGCGGGGTTTGTTCCAGAAAGCTGCATCTTCTAACTTATATAAACAGATGGTAAATCCCTCCAGGCTAAACCTAAAAGAGGCTCTGGTCTGTGCATGGCCTCTATCTAAGACACCAATCTATGCAGGTGTTTATCTTTTTCAACCCTCTTCTGCCTTTGGAATTCTTCATTTTTTTATGGTTAATCGGATAGGAAGCCATGCATATCTAGGAAAACAGGTCTCCAACAGAGTAAAGGATGGAGACTGAAACAAGGGCTTGGAAATTGCTCCTTGCCTTCTTTGCTCTGTTACACTCTTTAGGGCGAAATAACAGGATAATCAGGCATGAACATCAAGACGATTGAAATCATTTGTGTGTATGCTTCTTTTTAAAATGATAACTTGTTCGTCCTAAGATTCCACATGATATGCCTTGATATCATTCGTTTAGAGTATAAAAAAACCATTTCAATCATCAGAGGTTGACATCAGGAAAGAAACTTTTACGCACAATAGAGCGTAAACCTTTAAGACGCAATTTAAGAAAGATTACTTATTTATTATTGATGAACATGAGCATAGCTGCAACTTCTGCTAACACAAAGTACACGTCAGATTTATAAAATATAAGAAAGATATCTGGACATAGGATTCGGCATAAATAATGTGGCGTTTGTTGACATGTCCAGGAGAATGGGTGTTAATTTTCTCGAAAATTTTTGAATCTTGCATTCAATAATCTCTACCGGGTTAGATATGAATAATCCCAAAAAGTGTGCACAGTGTTTATGATATTAATAATCTCAAAAAGTAAGTGTAGACGCTTAACCAATGTCCTAGACACATACCTATTGACACATGACATTTATAATTCAGAAATTTTCTCTAAATTATGGCAAGAAAAGAAAACACGTATGAGACTATCCTCTTGACTCACTAGTATGATTGACAGAGTTTCGTAGAGAAAAATTTCTAGGGCACAAAAGTAAACTTTCCTATGTCACTGGATCACCTGGAAGTTGATGTAATGGTGCATCACTAGTTGTATCCATCATTATTCTTTATGCAGATGAAATTTGGGGCAAGCTTTTGTTAGTGGCGAAACACATTAATAACCCATATGGGACAATGAGTAGAAGAGATCGAAGAAGAAGAAGAAGAATAGAGAAAGGGTAGACAGAATATACACAGAACAATGCATATATTTTTATGTGACGTGAATATTTCTGGATCTAGGGCCTTGCAGTATGGTGAAGTAGCTATCACTGGGAAGAAGAGAGGTTCTCCTTTAAAGATGTGGAGGCTATGGCTACACACACCCAATTTAAAACTTGGTCTTGGTCCTAAAAATTTCCTGAGCCACCATTTTGTTGGTAACAGCCCCCTTGCGACTCTGGATTGCTCACTGCAAATTTCGATCTGCAAAGCACAGGGAAGCCTTACTAAGATAGTAGCAGTGCTACATAATCCAGCAGCCTTTATAAAGGCACGTCTGAACTATATTATTTCGTCAGTTCTCGTGATCTGATGACGATAATAGGTTACAATCTTTTGGTTTAATCTGGACTTTGCGAGGCTGAAATGCATGCTGAGTTGGCTGATTCCGTTCTGATTCTGCTCATGTCGTTAATACGCTATGATCTTATTTTTTCATTGCCAACTTTTCCTGTTGGATCTTGATTGTGCTGACGTCATTGTCTTTTTCAAAAGATATCATCCCTTTCATACTGAGCATATTTATATTTTTCTGTGGTGAAAACACTAAGTGCTCACTCTTTTACTGGTAACTTCGTGGATGATTGCATAGGCTGGTGTTCAAAATATGCATAAAGACAGCAAGTATGTTTTGTTTCTGGATGATGATGTTAGATTGCATCCTGGGTCAATTCGAGCTCTTACGTCAGAGATGGAGAAAAATCCCAAGGTCTGTATCTCAAGTTCTTACACTCCTCTCATGAGATTTTTGCTCCCGGTGTCATATGAACACTGCCCTCCTCCGTTTTTTTGGCATCCAGATATTCATTCAAACTGGATACCCACTCGACTTGCCTTCTGGAAGCTTGGGGAGCTACTGTATATATGAATATCATATGGTTCGACCCCTTTTCTCTTGTGGATTTTCATGCCCTTGGATGCATCAATAGAACTGTTTAAGCCGTGGCATCTGGCACCTCGGGTAAAGACTCGTCTAGGCTATTGTCACCATCTTGACACTCCTCATACATGTTCAATGCAGTGTTTTGAAGGCGTCGCCTAGACAACAGGCGGCTCAGACGCTCCAGGCGTCAAGCCATTGCCTTCCCTCGTTACTTACTTCAGAGCTTTTCTCTGAAAATTTTCTTTCTTTCAGCCTTGCTCGATGGGATTTGCTACAGGTGGAAAGACGTTCTTCCTTTGGGGAGGGTGCATGATGGTAAGCCATTCACCCCTCGGAAAGCTTTCAGCCAGATTCTGGCACATTTCCTTTCTTACTTTTATTTTTTATATTCCTAGATGCATGCCGACGATTTCCGGAATAACTTATACGGCATGGTTTCTGGACTCAAAGATGGTGGATACTCCGACGATATGACCCTGGCTGCAATAGCAGGTAGGTAATGTGGCCTGATTGCTATTCTTGGTAGGACCATGAGCTCAACCATCTGGAGCCTCCCCTTGAACCATCTGGACCTTGGTTCTCTTGCTTTACTTCTAATTCTGGGTTTCTTTTCCTGTCCCATTTTGAATTAGATTATATATATATATATATAGATATTCTGAATTATTTATTCTCTTAGATAAATTATCTTCAAATTTTTATTCTATTTCTACGGTGATCTGGTGTTATTGTTCTTGAGATTGAGCTCAAAATCACTGTCTGAGAACCACCCAGCTGGTAAACTGAGAGATGGTATTGTTTTCAGGTGCCCACAAGAGATTAATAACATCGCCACCTGTTGCCATCTTCCCGCATCCTCTTGCAAGCGACCTTACATTTTCGAGGTTTATTCTATTTTATTTATTTCGTTTTTAAAAATGAAAAAAATACTAAAGCATTGACTTTTGCCTCTGACCATCTGGGGGGCAGGTACTGGAATTACCTGAGAAAGCAGACATTCGTTCTGGAATCTTACATCTCCAGGGTCAACTGGTTGATGAATCGGGCATTATTCTCCTCACATTGCTATCTATCTTGGGGATTTTTTTGCCCATATTTCATGGCCGCAGTACACGTGGCCGCAGCACTGCGAGCAAGATTCAGCGATTACCCTTTCAAGGAATCAACCTCCTCCTCCTGCGGTGAGCTCATCACCTGCTTGGCAGCTCCCCAAGCAGATTGTCCTTGATAAAAGTGTTCAACTATTCAAGGGTCTAGTGCCATGTCTTGCCTCTTCCCATCTTCAGGGTTGCTGCTGACTGCCTGCTTAGCTGCGTGCACCATCTTGGAACTCATTTCGATGTGGAACCTGACAAAAGTGGAAATCCAGCTGTGCAACATGTTATCTCCAGAGGGGCCTCCTTTATCTCTCCGTTCATATAACTGGGGGCTTGTAAGCATCCTTCTCTGCTCCGATGGAATATTATCTCTCCCTTCTAGCAATACAAACTGACCACATATTATATATATTTATATATATATATATATATATATTTGGAATATAAATAAATATTTAATTAGCATTTTGTTGGTCAGGTCTTCGTGGCTATGCTGGTGGACAACTTCCTATTCCCGGTCTCTGCTATGCGCTCGCATTTATCGCAGTCTATCAACTGGTCTGGCGTTCGCTACAACCTGAAGAATGGAAGGATAAGTAGGGTACATCCATCAGCTGATATTTTTTAAAAGTCAACGGTCTACCCTCCACGGTAGTTCCTTCTTGGCTGACGGCCATTATTTATTTCATAAAATTGGAATGTCATGTATGCCAGCCGATTTAGTCAATTTCTTAATTATTATTAATTTAGCTAATTTCTTGTTATGTCGGCAGAAACCCATATTTGTAAAAGAAATTAATTCACACACATTTATATTTCAGTGATTAAAGTGGGATGTGTTGACTCTATGCAGATTGAAAGATGTGGAGATCCTGATTACTCATACCTGGGAGGAAAGAATCTGCATGGGAAGAGGGAGGCCCCAGCCAAGGCAGCACCATTCCTCTGCTCTCTCTCTAGACTCTTCTCTCGGCAGGACCAGACGAAGAAGTTCGACTGCTAGCAGCTCCTCAGCCTTGCTAATCTGAGTTGCAGGTGTTGTCTCCTGCCCCTGGTAGCATCATTCTTCCATATTAACATGCCAATGATGGCAATAAATTGGTCACTTTGATCCTTTATTTTTTCTCATCTCTTGTCCCACAGCGATGAGAATTCATCCAAATTGGAAACATAATAGGGGATGATGAGTGGATGCTTGGACAGCTCGTGGGGAGATAAACCGAAAGGGGGAGGAGGGGGAGGAGGAGGAGGAGGAGGAGCAACCCTCATAAGGTTCACAATGCTGGAGAAATCTAAGAGTTTGGATCATCGTACATGGAGAAGAATTCATCCCGCAATGTTGGAGCTACTGTTCCTTTGCCTCCTCTTTCTTCTGTAAGTACCTGTTGAATCAGATCTTGAGTTATTTTCCCATTGGAACAATGAAATTAATCAAGACTTATAGTCCCACATTGAATGAACCATGTTATGTTTGGTTATTTTTCGCATGAGATGAATAATTTAAATCGTGTAAATACGAGCTTCTCCACTTATCATCCATGGGTTTTGAGCTGTACGGACTTCAACAATAATGAATTAAAGAAAAATGAGTTCTTAGCTTGTTCTTCCTTCCCCAAGAATGAATTTTATGAAGACATTGTGTTATAGTAATTAGCGATATTTGCCCGAAACAATGGATGCTCACCCTTGGGATTTGGCCCATCGACTGAGCTGATAGAGCTGGACCGTCTCATTGGAGGCGTGGCAGGCCAGGAGAAGGTAGTTGCGTGGCTGGACCATCCATGCGAATCTCATGAACAGCCCTGAATAGACGCACATGACTGCAAAAACATGCTAAATGAGACTATAGATAAGGGAAATATAACAAGAAATATGTACTACGCTCCAGGAGGGGGAAGGGGGGTCGTCAGTAGATGGGCAACATCAGTAAGTGCATAGGCTTGTTATTGGATTAACCTTAGACATTGTGACGGCCAAAAAAAGCAAATTAGATCCTATATTTCTTGGCTGTGAACCCAGAGATCAGTCGGTGATTCATTGGGATCTTCTTGTTCTGACCTTCTATATTTTCCTTGACAAAGGAGAGAAATTAACACAAAATTGATGAAAATGTAGTGACCCACATAAATTTATATGAAGCTACAGAACGTTGAGGATCTCATGAGCTAGGGAAATGGAGGCAGCTAGAATCACTTTCTTTCACCATTCAATGTCAGTCCAAATTTAGAAGAAAAAAAACTTATAAAGACCCATTAATATTTAGTTCAGAAACATCCAAACCTGCAGTCATGTTGCCGGATATCATGTCAGGAGGCTTCTGGGTGTCCACCAACCCCTGCAATGGCATCCGCAAAGTGAATTCCTTGGGTATTAAATATTTTTCATACCCCAAACAATGAAAACCATTGAGAAAAAGACGCATCCAAAGCACATTAAAAGGCAGAAAGGAACCCGCAATCCGACATCCTTTTGCAGATAGAAGGTAGATCAGTTGTCTGAAAATAATTTCTGCCATTTAAAGGAAAGATTACATAGCAATTGGGGCAAATCAAGCACAAGCATCCAATACTTTTGTCTGAATTCAAAGCGTTCTTTGAAGTCTGAAACAAGAATCACTAGCTCTTCCGAAGGAAAAGCTTTGTCTCACAAAATCCACAGCTCTTTGATCGCATACTGGAGAGGACTTTGAGAAGATTTTGGGCAATTTGAGCCGTTAAGCACAATCTCCACTGCATTGTATAGCGCAGGTGAGACTCAGGAGATCATTCAGGCGTTCTGCGGTAGGCTTTATAGCCAGGAGATGAAGGTTAGGAGGTTAGCTAAGCTAATCCTCGGAAAAACAGGATCAAAGGATGTACCAGGAGCCCTGGACAAGAGCAGGGCGATTGATTCAGCAGGGGGAGAACAGATCATCATGAGTAGCCCGTTTTCTTCCATTTTCTCTCTCCTCGGGAACCCATCTAGGAGGCTAGCTGGGTCTATCGGGCTGCGATCCTTCCGAACACAGTCGCCTCCTTAGAAAACTTGATCTAAGCCTTCGCCTCCACGTATTCCACATTCAGGTCGAGAGGCGATCAGAAGGAGACCCTAGAGTAGGGAAATCAAAAAAATCGCAGAAGTAGTCGCCGCTCCGATCTTCCGACGGCTCTCGGAAAGGGAACGGAGTTCTGGCGCTCGGCTTCGCTCATCCACATCCAGCCGAGGACATCAAATGTCGAAAGAAACAGGCATCCAACTGACTGGGGGAAACAGGCGACGAGGCGAACTCAAGGGAAGAGAGAAAGAAAGGGGAGATCAAACCGGCCGGCGGCAGAAGAGAGGCCAGATCGTCCCGGTAATCGCCAACGTACCGCGACGACGAAGCCCCAGTTGGCGATGGGACCCCAGAAGTGGGTGGTCTTCGGCCCCACGGGGCTGTTGAGGAACGCTCGGAACGCCGACGCCATGGCCCCTGCTCGACCGCAGGAGCGCTCCCCCCCTTTCCTCTCTCTCTCCTCTCTCTCTCTTCCCCTCGGACGATGCCCTCTGTGGTGGTTAGAACCTGGTCTCCGACAGGCAGATGGGGAGGAGCAGGGAGGGGTGAGGTAGAAGGGCAGGCCGGAGGGGTAAGTCAACCGTCTTCAGCGGTCGAGATGCGATCTCATCTTGCTGCTCCCTTTGACGCCTTTTCCACCGTCCGATCTAATCTCTCTCTCTCTCTCTCTCTCTCTCTTCTGTCTTGTATCTTTGTTGTGTGCTGTATCAGGCTGGGGGCCCAACAATGGGAGTGGCTGACCCAACCCAATCGTTCTCGACGGTCGAGATGCATGGTGTTGCGTTTCGCGGCCCAATTAGTGAGCCCAATAAGTTCGAATGGTCGAGATGGGATGGCAGTAGACGCATTCATAAAAAGCCCAATTAACGGGCCCAATAATTTTTCGCGGAATGCTTACCGTCCGATCTATCCTCCTCCAAACACCGGGCCAATAACATACCTCACTGAGACAGGAACGCTTTCGAGGTTTTGGGCGTCAAGGGATCTAATTTCGAAGAATTAACATTATTAAAAAATATGAAATAAATTTAAAAATAATAATAATATAATTTTTTTGCACGTAATGTTAGTATCATGATATTAAATGCTCGCATTGAATAATCCATAAAAAATTCAATACCACCTTAAATTACACATTTTTAAAAATAAAACTAAAAATAGATGTATACTTATTAAAAATGCATATATTTTGTGCAGAAAATATACTCGTGTATGATATGTATATGTACATGTAATATAATAAGTTAATTAGGGTTTTTTTTTCAAATAAGGACTTTTTTGAAAATATAGGAGAGAGAGAGAGAGAGCGTGATGGAGGGAGGGAGTTTGTCTGGAAGGCGTCATTTTGGTCAGGTTTCCCGCCTCGGAATCCATGGAGGTTGAAGGCGGCGACCGGAAGTCGCTCCCGGAGAGGAAGCAGGCTTCCTATCGATCCTTCGTAACCCCCGCGTCCACTCAATCGCTGCCTCCTTCGTCTGCCTTCTTCTGTCGGGTTGCGTCTCAGGGTTCTCCGTTTTTGCTTCCAGGACGACCATTTCGTGATCAGGAATGAGAAATACAAGGGGCAGCAGTACAGCCAAATCTACTTCATGCGGCTGCACAACATGAGGAGCCTCATGTACTCACTGGTTCCCAAGTGGAAACCTAACGTGCCTGGTGAGCCTCGTCCAACTTCTCTAGTTGCTTTCTTATAGCTCATGTAATCTATGGTTCCAAAGTTTGAACCCTACACTGGACTTTGGAATGTATTCTGTTGGATTCGCCTTTGGAATGAACTAGAACAATTTGACGCATGGGTCTGGTGCTCCGGAATCTGCGTTCAACTGGGTTTGAACAGTAGTTGGCTGAGGCTTTACTGAATTTGTAGTTGGAGGGATGGAAAGCCATTAAATGCTTGGTAAACTGACTGGCGTTGGGTAAACCCCAGGGAGTGTATGAACCATTGATACTCCTCTCACCATTTCAGCCCCAAGCTGGTTCGAATGCACAGTCCCTACTCTGTGGGACTTGTCATAAAATAAAAATAAACCTTCCAAATAAATAATTTTTGCATGTCCGAATTTAGAGTAATTTCTAACGAAAATATGCCCGCTTTGAAGTTCTGATCTGTAGCTCCACATACTGTCTATTAGGTGAAGAACAAATGGCTTCTGTTGTTTCTCTTTCAGAAGGGGAAAAAAAAAAAAAAACTTCCTGCAGTTTCAAGAGTTCTAAAGAGGTTTCCAGTTATTAACCCAGGGTTCATACTTTGTGATGCAGTTTGTACAGTTTTGGGTCTCGAGGAAGGCAAGGAGTGCGTCATAGTTGGAACCATATACAAGCACATGAAGCTCAAACCTTCAATTCTCGATGAATACTCCAAGGAGGTTCTCTGCATGACATCCAATCGAGATTTTATACGCATTGTTTCGCTTCGTTGATACATGTTTAGTAACTTTATTATTCCCATCCTTGTCTTTTCATTTTTGCAGAGATCTGTCATTCCTCTTGTAAAGCCTCACAATTTTGTGCATCCAGACGATCACCTTATTCTGGAAGATGAGAGTGGAAGGGTCAAACTTGCAGGGTCTATGCTTGCACCTTCTGGGTTTGTGACAGGTCAAGTATCCTAACTTATCAGATTTAAAGACGACGGATAGAGTTTTCTTTGAGTTTCTGCCTTGGGGGAGCTCTTTGCTGTGAATCCATGGTTCCCCTTCGTTGTCTAGATACTATCAACCTTCATAACTAGGCTGTGACCATCGTCGTTTAGAATGGAAAGCATGGTAAGTATCTCACAGTACGGTGTCTGTGGCAGGAATTGTCATGGCCCTTCATGGAAAGGAAACAAGTGATGGTGCATTTTTCGTTCAAGATGTTCTTGTAGCTGATCTGCCACCACAAGTACAGCGTCCACTCAGCTCAGGTAACACAGCGCTTAATATCTTTATTATATATCGTCAATTTTTTTCTCTCATTTTCATATATTTTCCTATGATCATCCATTTTTGGGTACTTAAAACGTCATAATATTCATGTTAACCAAGAATATAGTTTTTCTTTCTACTTGTGCTTAATCTTCTATTTGTTATATCATTAAAATATATTTCTGCTGAATCAATATAAATTAGTTCAAGAGTTGTTATGTGGAACAACGTTACGGCTGCTTTGTAGAATGGTTGAGGGCAATTAGGCAATTAGAACCTGACATTCATTCCGTTTTGACCTTCTCCTTTGGGAATGACAAATAGCCGTTTCATTGATGCTTAAATCTGCATGATCCGGGTCGCACCTCAGAAGACAAATATGTAGTTTTCATATCGGGACTCACTGTTGGTGGAAGCTCGTTCAATCCTCTCCAGTTTCAACTTCTCGTTGACCACATAAGTGGCCATTTAGGCGATGACGAGGTGTGCACTCTGTCTGTTGCCCCCCCCTCTTAACATGGCTACAACCTTTACTCTGGACCGTAGAACAGTCATAGATATGCTGGGGTTTCTTGATAGGAGCAACACATGGCATCAAGAATCGTTCGGGTTGTGATCGCTGGGAATTCTGTTGAAGTTCCAAGAGGCGTCCTCACTGGTCAGGTAGCATATCCTCTCTCCGTTGACCTTTATATTATTTTTGATGCGTCATCAATTGAATTGGGTGCCCATATTAAATATAGGTTATTGGATTCTGCAGGTGGTGGCTCCAAAAGAACAATCCAGAGTCTTTGAGCCAATCAAAGAGCTTGATATGTCGTTGACCCAGGTTCTTTTCTGCTACAATCACGCTGGGTTTTATTCTTGCTGAACAGATTTAAAAAAAAAAATTCATATTTTTCCTATTTCTCTGAGAAATTACTGAATTTTTATATTGCATTCGACCCAGTTTCGAAAAAAAGAAGAAGATATTTTTTGTTAGCTGCGCGATTCTGTTCTGTGCAGCTTGCAGCATCAGTATCTGTGGATATCATGCCCGGGGCAAATGACCCTGCAAATTTTTCCTTACCTCAGCAGGTCCTAATTTCCTATTTCAGAAATCTAATTATATATTATTAATATTATTATTGTAATTTTAATTTTTTGCAAATATTCGTTTAGTTTATGCATCACTTCTGTGAACATTTAATCCCACACACTTCTTCTCTTGCTTTCCTTCCAGCCCCTGAATCGGTGCCTTTTTCCTGGAGCTTCTCTTTACAACACTTTCACGTCATGCACCAATCCTCATATATTTGAGCTCGACGGTGTCTGGTAAATGGATGAATTTTCCTAAAAAATGAACCCTATCATTGTTTAATATTACGAATGGAGGATAAATAAAACCATTTTTTTTATTTATGGAACAATTTTTTTTTATCATTCATATGCTGAGAAATAAATATTTTCTATGCAAGCTCCAGAAGAAATTATTAGTAATGTTGAAGATGATGCCCATGTGAATTTCTTTTTTAGGTTCCTTGGGACATCTGGTCAAAACATAGATGATCTTGATAAGTATTCTGATGCCAAAGATAGGCTGGAGTTTCTGGAGAGGACGTTAAGATGGAGGCATCTGGCACCAACGGCTCCAAACACTCTCGGCAAGTCAACTCTTTGTGTCATTTTCTCGTTTTTTTGACTTGGGTTTTCCTTGCTCCCGTCTTTTTTTTTTTTTGGCTTTGACTGTGCCGTTGACTTCCAGGATGCTACCCCTTCACCGATAGGGATCCTTTCCTCATAGAGAGATGCCCGCACGTCTACTTTTGTGGTAATCAAGATAAATACGAAACCCAAGTGATAGAAGGTACGGAAAGCATCTATATCTGGATAATCTGGCTTCAGATTCATTGACTTTTGTTTAGAACATTCTATTTATAGCATTCTTTTGCTGTATGACTTGGGAGGCTCTGATCCATTTGTTCTTCTTTCCAGGATCCGAGGGCCAACTAGTTAGACTCATCTGCATTCCCAGATTTTGCGAGACCGGAACCGCCATTGTGGTATGGATCTTATATAAGATCGTTTTATTAATTAGCAAACTTACATAATTTCAGAATAATATTAGCTGTCCATTTATTTCATAAAAAATAAATTCCAGATATTAAAGCCACCCTCCGATTTCTGCAGCTTAACATCAGGACTCTCGGCTGCCACACTCTTTGTTTGTCTACGAATTTTGACCTCTAAAGCTAGTTGCTAATCTCCAAAAGTCAACGCTCATCGCCATGGGGAAAGCGAACCAGGTGAGCTGTTAAGCTGTGACTAATCTGAGCTCGGCGACTGTGAATACACACTAATTTGCTAAATGTTTCCCCTTTTTCTGGGTCTAATGATGAGATGAGGCCGGTGGCCGTGTCACTTATTTGATGATCTTGAGATTATTCGGGTTAAAACTTATGTCGTCTTCATATTAATTAAAGTGAAACTAAAGAAAAAATATGATAATTTCTCCAACTTTGAGTGATTAATCTTCGTGAATTGTCTCATCTCTGTGTAAATTTGCGCTTTGAGACTAGTAATCAAGCCCATGTTTGGTGACCCTGGGCATCAGTGACCAGGCTCCTGCCCAGAGAAAAGCCTGGAAAGGGGTTCCATATGCGAATGACTGGCTGGCTGCTCATCTCTCTCTCTCTCTCTCTCTCTCTCTTCCGACTGCAAGAATTTCTAGCTCTTACGAAATATTTCTTGAATCAAGCTTGCCCTGCTCCATTGTTCAGGACTTTTATAGCATCATCATGAAGACGAGGTCCCTTAATCACCTCATGTTTTCTAACCCATGCTAATAGTAGATTGCCCACTGGACTCTCTCTCTCTCTCTCTCTCTCTCTCTCTCTCCCTCTCGCTGTCCCCTGAGGTCCCTTGATTCAAAGGGGAGAGGTGGGGCCCAGCTGCCGAGCTTAGTCTCTAGACCGGGCTGCTCAAACTGACGTGGGTTCGACCCGTTAGCACCTTGGGGTGGATGGCTTTTGCTTGTTGCATGTTCTCTGCACCTTGAACACGCAAGAACTAGCCTTCCAGAGAAATCCACTCGGCAGAACAAGCGAGAGTAGAGAGAGAGGGAGAGAGACATACGTCTGTCTTGCCTCCTCCATGGCGATATCCACAAAACAGACTCCAGCGCCTGGTTTCAATTTTGCACTCTACTACAGTTCACTGGAATAAGCTAGCACGAAACGAAGGTATCAGCCAGGGCCGCGCCCGAACTGGAGCCCGAACCCCAAGCGGGCTTGGCCCGATGACTTGACATCCGGGTTCCGGGCTTTGATGAGGTCTGTCCCGACATCTCATTAATCTTCCTCCTTCCCCGCCGACCCTCGAGATGCCGTCACCCGGACCTCACTTTGGGCCCGGCCCGAAATCGTGACTTAAAAATACATGGCTCTAAAACCCCTGTGATATTTCCCAAGCCGGGGGAGCAGAGTTTGGAGGAAGAGGAAGAAGCCCTCACCATCGATCCGAAAGGCTGGCAGAGGCGCGAGAGGATGCCCCCCAAGGAAGCTTTGTCCAATTCTCTCTCTTCTTCTTCTTCTTCTTCTCTCTCTCTCTCTCTCTCTCTCTCTCTCTAGGCCTTTAGGCCCCGCTGAATGACGGGCCGGGCCTATTTTCGTTAGGGGCTCAAGAATCAGGCCCGTTCGAGAAAGAAACTCCAGTTTGATACCCACTAATATGGAGAACACATAGAATCGAGAAAAATAAAGTTTTAATAATAAATTATTATATCACTCTATTTTACAGTAAATTAAAATAATATTTTTCTGGGCAGGAAGATATATTTTTTCCGATTCGGGTACATAAAAATAAAACATGTCATTAGATATCATCTGCTTCTCTTCACGGGTTTCCCATGTTCTCTCGGGTCTCGATTGCCCCTCAGGAATCGCGGAAAAGCCCGAAAATCGGATCAATCCAGCCATTTGGGGGCTTTCTCATAAGTGATTTCTAAGAGGAGAGAGAGAGAGAGAGAGAGAGAGAGAGACGGGGGGGATGGTGAGGAGCATGTCTCGCATTCGCCAACCACCGCAAGAAGTGGGAGGGAGAATAACAGCCGGAGATGCCGAAATAGAAAGAGTGTGGGTCTGGGTAGATGGTTTGTGTGTTCCTCTCTCTAAAATGGCCGACTTTCTCTCTGCAGTTGAACCCCCCCCCTTCAGGGGTTCACTGGGTTCCTTGTAGAAAACCAGCCCGCCACCGCCGTCGACTTTATGTGAGGTTTCCAGCCTGAATTTTCTTGGATGCGATGATTAGACGGGGTTTTGTTACGTTGATGCTGAAGCCGGGGGTTATCATCCCAGCTGGAAAGCTGGAAATAACCCATGTAGAGAGAGAGAGAGAGGGAGGGAGGGAGGGAGAGAGAGGGAGAGAGAGAAAGAGAGAGAAGAAAGGGCGAATCTTGTATTCCTTCATTTATCTGTCTCTCTCTCTCTCCATCTCGTACTAACAACCTCAGTGGAACCGAAGAAAGCGAGCCATCAGGGGGAGGGAGAGAGAGAGAGAGAGTCGCGCGAGGAAGTTCTCTCTCCTGAAGGCCTCCTGAAAGAAGTGAGGATAAAGAGAGAAAAAGTAACAGAAGAGGAGAAACCAGGCATCACCTATCGCCACATCTCCTTCCCCAGCCTTCCTCCCCCATCCCATCCTCTCTTTCTCATGCCCATTAACAGTAAAGCTCCCAGGTGGGTCCTCTGAGCTCGCCAGTACTTTCTGACAGCCCCCCGAACCTAACTCCACGCCTGAACCAGTGAGTTCCTTCTCGGTCCCTCCTTCCTCTCCCTCACCAATTCCTCCTCAGATCGTCCTACACAGATCTTGATTTCTCTTCCGCAGTTTCAGAAGAGATATAACGATCGAGATCGGGGAGGATGTACGACGATACGGGGTACTTCGAACCTTCTCCCGATCCCGGTCTCATGGGGGGGGCGTTTCTGGGTTGCCCGCCGGAGACCTGCTCGAGCAACATCAACAATGGTGGCGCCGCTAGCCTGGGCTTCTCCCTGGAAGACCCCGCCGTGGACCTCGACCACCTGCAGCACCACTTCCGGCTCGATCTCGAGCAGAGCTTCCACGGGCACCTCATGCAGGAGGCCGGCGGCGCCGCCCCTGACCTCCTCAACCTCCTCCACGCGCCGATGTGCGGAGCGGCGCCGTCAGCGATGGTGCCGCCGGGGGGGAGAGTTGGCGGGTTTCCCATGGAGGCGTTCGCCGGAGAGCTGCCGTCGCCGGCGGGGGAGTACGCGGCGGCGGCGCCGAGCCTGCTGAGGGATCTGTTCCACTCGCTACCGCAGAATTATGGGCTGTTCTACGGGGCGGAGGAGAGAGCAGGGGCGGCGGTGGAGGGGATGGGGGATGTGTTCAGGGAGGGAGAAGGGGGGATGTTCGAGGAGGGGGTGTTCGACTTCAGGAAGGAGGGGAGGGGGAAGGGGAAGGGGAGCTTCCCCACGGAGAAGCAGCGGAGGGCGCAGATCAACGAGAAGTATGATATACTCAAGCTGCTGGTTCCTAACCCCACCAAGGTGAGCAACATCCTTCGTCTCTTTCTCTCTCTTTTGATTTGGTCGCCATGCATGCGTCCCTCCCTGCCTGCTCCCTCGTTCTGTTTCAAAGCTACTATCATCTACACTCTCTCTCTCTCTCTCTCTCTCTCTCCCTCTCTCCCTCTCTCCCTCTCTCCCTCTCTCCCTATCTCTCCCTCCCTCTCTCTCTCTCTGCAGAGAGCAATCGGTGCCAGAGTTTGTTTGTCTGTCTGTCTCTCACTTACGACATAGTATACACACCAATCTATCCATCTCTATCTTTCACTCCCATTCTCTCTCGTATCCTCTCTCTATCGCAACCACTCTCTTTCCATAATCCTCAGTAGAAAGGACCTCTCTCTCTCTCTCTCTCTCGCTATCCATCTATCTATCTATCTATCTGATATACACACCGTCCCTCTCATATTCTCAGTAGCGAGGACCTCACAGAAGAGCCTCTCTCTAGCGCTTTCCCGTATTCTCGGTCTAAAAGGCCGAATACCCCTCTCCCTCCCTCTCTCTCTCTCCCTCTCTCTCTCTCTCTCTCTCCCCCTCTCTCTCTCTCCCCCCCTCTCTCTCTCTCTCCCCCTTGTAGACGGTAATTCGTCTCCCATTCTCTCTCTCAATATATATCCCATCTTTCTCCATATGGAAGTGCTGCAGGCACATAGATATCAATACTTGCTTTCTATAATCCGCAGTAGCAAGGGCATTTCTCTCTCTCTCTCTCTCTCTCTCTCTCTCAGAGTCTCCTCCGTCTTCTTCCACAGGCTGACAGGGCCTCCGTGGTGAGCGACACCATCGATTACATCAACGAGCTGAAGCGGACCATCGAGGAGCTGACCATCCTCGTCGAGAACAAGAAACACGGCCGGAGCAAGAGGAGGAAGACGGAGGACGCCGCCGCCGCCGCCGCCGCCGACATGGAGAGCTCCTCCCTGAGGCCCCTCGCGGCGGACGTCGACCTCCCATTCGCCGGTTCCCTGAGGAGCTCCTGGCTCCAGCGCCGCTCAAAGGAGACCTTCGTCGACGTCCGCATAGTTGACGACGAGGTCAACGTCAAGGTGACCCGGAGGAAGAAGCCCAACTGCCTCCTGCTGGCCTCCAGGGCCATCGACGACCTCCGCCTGGACCTCCTCCACGCTTCGGGGGGCCACATCGGCGACTGCTACGTCTTCATGTTCAACACCAAGGTTTGACTTCGTCACTTCTCCCTCTTCATTTCCCATCAACTCTCCAACCCGTACAAATTAGCCTATTTAGATCATAAACTCAAACTCTCTCTCTCTCTCTAAACTCCTATTTAGATCATAAATCCGACGTTTGACTTTTGGCTTACATCTCCCTCTTCATTTCCCCTTCAACACCAAGGTTTGACTTTTGTCACTTCTCCCTCTTCATTTCCCATCAACTCTCCGACCCATACAAATTAACCTATTTAGATCATAAAGTCAAACTCTCTCTCTCTCTCTCTCTCTCTCTCTCTCTCTCTCTCTCTCTCTCTAAACTCCTATTTAGATCATAACTCCGAAGTTTGACTTTTGTTACTACTCTTTCCTGTTTTCCTCTGAACTCCCTCTCTCACTGTCTGTGTGGGTATACAGAGAGAGAGAGAGGAAGAAGAAGAAGGGGGTTAGAACTAGGGTTTTGACGGACGAACACAAGTGTTCTTCACCTTCTTCTATCTGCAGATCTCGGAGGGCTCTTCCGTGTACGCGAGCGCGGTCGCCAAGAAGCTGCTCGAAGCCATGGACAGACCGGCCCCGGCTTCCCCCCACAGATTCTAGGGTTTCTCAACCTGTCCCTTCATTCTCGTCTCTTCTCTCTCTCTCTCTCTCTCTCTCTCTCTTCCCGTCCTGCTGTTCTTCCCAACCCTAATCCCATGAGGCTTCGTGGCTTACCAGTTCTCTTATGAACGGCTTCATGCGTTTTATTTCTCATATAACAGTGGCTATTATCCATTTCTTTACCCATTGCAGCCCGTTTCAAGCCGGATTCGAGTACAAAAATCAGCGTATTTTATAATTTCCCATCATTTATTTTAAAATCATATGTAATTACCCATAAAATACATAATTATCAGCTAGTAATAATTATTATAAAATATTAAAACTGGCTCTTACTGGCCCCGTTGAAACTCAGCAAGAAAATTAAATAAATACATTTAAACGATTGTCTTTTTATAAAAAAAAATAATCTCAGTTATGTCAAATTAACTAGCCGTGATTTTATTTAATTATCTCGGCATGGGACCGAGTTCAGTCAGATGGGTTGGGCCGTCCTCGTCATCTGTCCACGTGGCGAGCAACTGGGCTGGATTTGGTGAGTCCGCCTCCCGTGGTCGCCTCTCTCTCTCTCTCCCTACTCCGGCTGGTGGGGGGCGGGTTGGGCCCTGGTATGAAGCCCAGTACAGACCCAGTAGGGTTTCGAAAAGCACAAGTCCACTTCGTCGTCTCTGATTAGAGGACCAGAACGGTTTCAATCGGTCGCTGGTTACTGCACATTACAGCAAGATCAGCGGCCATTAGATCATCTGATCTATAGTTAGGTTAGAGAGAGAAAATAAATGAATCTCTCTCCCTCTCTCTCTTTGAGGACTACGCCAGGCCATATGTCAGCGGGCCCATGAAGTCAACGGATTACTGCGAGCTGCAGTTGAATCGACTACCACAATCTGCATCCCCACTAGGGAGAGAGTAAACGAATCTCTCTCTCTCTCTCTCTCTCTCTCTCTCTCTCTCTCTCTCTCTAGAGAACTCCGTCGGCCCACACAAGGAAGCCCATTAGCTCTACCGGCCCAGACATCAATTCAAGACCGCACGACCCCGGAGAGGACCACTCAACGCGGCAGCCATGAGATGAGAGCTCGAATTCCAGCTCCAAGAGAGAGAGAGGATCCCGGGTTTCAGCCATTGAGGAGCTTCTCGTAGCTCGAATTCCAGCTCCTCAGCTACAGCATTCAACAGAAATAAGCTATTAAAGGCCCAGATGAGAGAGAGAGAGAGAGAGAGAGAGAGAGAGAGAGAGAGAGAGAGAGAGAGAGAGAGAGAGGATACCTTACTGATAGCGTCGGTGGCGGCGACAGTGTCATCCCTTGCCTTCCTCAAAGACTCCACCCGGTCCTTGAGGAGCTCGTTCTGCCTCTCAGCCTGAGTATCATCAGAATCCACAAACTGGGTGGTCAGCTCAGTGGCAGTGATGCCTTCCTCTAATGGCCGCAGCCTGAGCCGTAGATTCTTCCAACTAACTTCACACATTATTAATCCACTCATAAATATTTACCAGAATAATGCAAATTGCGCCGATGAAAATTCAGAATTGCAAAAAACATATTTAGCAAGTATAAAAAATAAAATAAAAATTATCCGGTTAATGCACAGATTTTCCTAGAATCAGTAGAAAAAATAATAAATGAATTATTTTCACCAAGATGGAATAAATCAAGTAGGGGCTGGTTCTGACCTTCTCCAAGAGGCATGACAGGTAACTTATCTCATCCCTTTTAACCTTTGAAAGAGCTTCTTTGACTTCTTCTACATCCAATCTGCAGTCAGAGTCATCGAACTGTAAGTCAACCTTTCCTAATATTTTGATGGGTGCTATCCCAAAAATAGAAATAAGAAGGCAGAAAAATGAGAAAATCCCATTTGTGTCCATCAAGTAATGTAAATGATCCAATGATGATTGCTTCCATGAGAAACAGGGAATCAGGTGAGGTGTTAACAGAGAAAGGTGGGTGACCCTGCCATTGAAAGACTGTTGAGGTCAACTGGGAGTGTCTGACTTTCTCCACAGAAGAAGGAGAGCCTCAATGGAATTGATCGTTGACATTACGTAGAGCACTGCTACGGGATGATGCGCTTACACTTGTGCGGGAAGCGTTTCAAGGCTTTGCTCTTCCACAAGCTGCTCTACTACATCCAGAGTGGCACCCACCTGCTCAGATAAAAACTAAAGATCATGATCACAGACGTAACAACCTGCAAAGAGATGTGATTACCAGTCTTACGAAGGTTGTAGAAGGGTCTCGAAGGGAAGCATAAAATACTAAATTAGGAGGTTAAATATAAATGTAGAATCCATAGATGCATGGGTAGAACTCAGCCATGCATAGAGTGGTTCCAATAGGTCTGGACAAGATCCAAAAATGGGCCCTACAGATGAGCTCAGACGCATGACGAGCAGGAATAAACAGGAAACCAAAAATGAGGGTTGACCTCTTTTTCTTCACCTAATGCTTTCATTTCATCTCTATCTATGATATGCTGCACCGATCATCTCCGATAGTCTAATTAGAACCACTCAAAAAAAAAGAAAAAAAAAAAAGAAAACAGAGCTGATTATCCAACTTATACTCTATGTACGGACACTGTCGTTGACTCTGATGCTGAAGGTCAAAACCCCAAGAACCATGGCCAAAGGCAATCAGGACTATCCACAGATGGTAAACTAAAAACACGAATGAGCTTCAACCATGGATCCAAGTGAGCCTGTGACATTGGGCAGCAGTGTGCTGGTTTGAATTACAACACATCACCTGTTTAGTGAGCCGGCAATAAAAAGATTATGGGACCAAAGCATCAGTCCTTCATGCATTGATGAAACGGAGTGTGTAGTACTGTTATCCAGCACAGGATACTAATTTTGATGAAATGGTAGTCCTCTCTAGAGAATGAATTTGGAAATTTATAGGTATCAAGTACTCCTGTAAAGGGAAAGAATTTGGATTATTAATAAGCCCGGTGATTTGTATAAGGTGTAGGCGGAAATGACAAGCAATTAATTTCATTCGAAAACATCAATTTAATAGTATGTCTCAAACAGGTGACAACGAGTAGCATATACGTGCCTGTGTCTCCTGGCATATAGCCTCGAACTCCTCCTACAAGAACAAAGCAAAAAGCGTTTTTTTTCTTCCGGTGAGAATTAGAACACAAGAAATAGGAAATATGAGCACAATGCACAGGTCAAAAAAAATAAAAACGTAAACAAAATAGGGTGAAAATGAGACAGCTGTCAAATTTCCAATGTTTAACAAGAGAAAAACATAGAATATGCATTGGAGGGCCGGACTTGACATTAACGAGGTCGGTGAAGCAGCCAAGTTCTAAAAAATGATTAGTGGCAGAGTAATTAAAAAATAGAATAACTACTTAAGCATGCGCTCCTTTTAATGACCTTTGATGTTAGCCATTGGGTACTCTTACAGGGCTGCGCATTGCCTGTTGGGATAATATGTCATGTTTGGTTCCCATCTGGTAATTCACAAAATGCAGTTGTTTAAAACCGAGCATTCTACATATACCTGAAGAAGCGCTAGCAAATACTTAATTCAAGTCTTCGCAAACTACATAGAATATTAATCTGGATTCGGTTTTAGATGTCCCCAAAAAAAAAAAAACACTTTCCCTAAACATGAGGATTTGGAAGGTCATTGGGATCAATCGCAATAAAGGGCACTCAATAAATGATGATAATTTTCTTTCATAAAATAACGACCTTTATGGCAAAGAGGAGCCTCATATCTCATACTTTTTATTCAGAAAAAAAATGAAAGGACTGAGCAACCTGATCCTCCATTTGATAGGACTCAAGTCTGGACAGCAAGTGTCTCAAACACAAGTAAAACGAGTACAAGAACGAGCAGATCAGAAAAGCAAGAAATAGAAAAGTGGCCATGGAAATATGATGCACTATGTGTCAGGAATTCTAGGACGAATTCTTCAGTTATGCAGAAAACAGTCCATTCTATCTAGTCCATCAGCCTTATCTATAACACGGAGAAACATTTCAAAGATTGCTAACTTCATGAGGACATGCGTTTCATTTTGAGACTCACTGCATTAGGAAGACGAGCACCATGACATATGGAATCTGATGGAGTCACAGGTTATGGTATGCTTGAGCAAAAGAGCAGTCATTGTAAGTGGGGCATGTTGTTACTACCTGTAAAATAAGCAACCTAGAGGGAGGAAATGCTTTGAGAAGACTACCTAGAGATAGGAAACCGACCAACCTCAGCTGATTTCTGATATTGATGACAGAAGGAGAACATCAGAAGGTTATTACATGAAGATCGTACTTAACCTCGAATACAGTTGTTATCTTGGCTACCAGAGAGGTTACTAACTGCAACAGTTATAAATTATCATAACCTTTGTTTGCCAAAGTATGGTTTTCCACCGTTGAGCAATTGACTCTCCTACTGCATATATGTATATTCTTATTTATATAGTGCAATGAGACAATATACTGGCTTCCAAACCAATACAGGTGCAATATATGCGACAAAAAACAATCAGTAAATTGTTCATGATGAATAGTCCATTAGTAGCACCAAAACATATGGAACTAAAATCGATTATGTTCCATGGGGAAAGGAAAAGACCATACCTCAATGTTCTCATGTAAAGATTTGATGACCTGACAGTGTATCACAAAAGCGAGGTACAGCATTAGGAAACCAAATGGTTGACGTGATGAAGCACAAAAAGTACTGCTTCTCAAATAAGTTTTATAAACATAGAGGAAAAAAAATCAAATTGTAACAATTTTCACTGAATGACATCTAAAAACAGCATTGCTCCCTATACACCAATTTTATTGTAGCGATAATAAATGAAATCAAAACATCAACATCTCAAGATCAGTGGGAAACAAGTATGAATTCGACATAATGTGGTCCATAATGTTAATATCTGCAAATCCATATTTAGAATTTTACTTCTGCTTCTTTGAACTGAGATTACTCTTAGATACCAATCTTGAACAACTCTAATTACTTCTAGATTTTTTTCTCCTCTATTAATTATTCAGTCTATACCTTTACGTCTGAAGGATATGATAACCCGTTCATAAGACAGTGCAAGCTGGTTATTTCACCACACCATGTGTTAGTTCAGATTTCAGGTTGCTCTAAACTTATCCTCTGCTGATAGTTACCCCGAAGTTGATCACATATCTGTGTAGTGGACATGCTCTCATTTTGTCCGCAGACTTTCAAAGGTCATAGGTACCATTGGGGAGTTTCTCTCTGGCCCCATGAGATTTAAACTGTGAAGATACACAGGTAAACTTTTTAATGCCACTTTCATTAAGGCCCTCCACCTCATGTGTGTATTTGGAGCATGTTGGATCTAATTGTAAAATGTCAAGACCCTAACTTATATGAAAAAACTGCTTCTAGAGATATGTTTAGAGCACTCTAGTTTTGTGAAGGAGAATCGTTGGTATTACACAAACACCACTACACCATTGGATAAACCCATAACGCCAAAAAAAATAAATCCAAGTTGAAGCTTTAAAAGTACACGGAAAATGATAATAGAATCAAATATGTGAGAGACAGGAAAAACATGAATTTGTCAACGGGATCAGGGTTTAAAAAATAAGCAAACAATTGGGTACCTTCGAAGAAAGTAAAGTTTACGCTCTCTAGCATGGGGTTATGTTGCATATATGTGTAGCTGGAAGAAATAGTGAATTCCAGGAAACTTATTATATGGCACCAAATCGTGCATCAACAAGACTAGAATTAAAAGACAGGGACATTACCACAGTCCCCTGCTCCTTTCCTCATTAAAACTAGATTTTATTTTGTTCAAAGTAACATATGGGAGCCCCAGATTAATGAAATTTTGAGTTTTTCTTCTTTATTAAGAATTCAAGACAGGAAAATATATTAACAACGAGAATCCAAGGTAACATTCAGCTTAGTTACCCATATAAAGTCAAAAAAGAAAATTGAAATTCGAGTGAAAGATTTTACCTGAATAAACATGCCATGGATTTTTTCTTTCTCATGATTGTTGAATGTCGGGAAAGATTTATATACATCCTGCACGTGCATCAAAAAAACCGTAAAAGACCAAGTATTTGATTCTAGTGTAACAGAAAATCAGTCTTTGATTTAAATTTCATTTATTATGAAGACGAAGAATAGACTTCATTGAGAAACTGAAACTCGTCAAACTGTAAAGTCATTACAAAAAATTACAAATCATTATCTAACGTCATAAGAAACATATTTCATCCACCCACAGAGAAATAACAGATGGGTTTAAATATTCATGTATGGCAAAGTGGCAAAAAATTTGATGATCAACATGATTTGTGTCACTTTCGAAAATGAGGAATATAATATGAATCCCAATTTTTCTAAAGAAGATCTAGATCAAAATAGTTGGGCGGAGATGGAGAAAGTCCCCTATTAGCTGCGTTACAGCTCCATATCAAACGCACCGATTTCCCTCCGAGTCAATTTTTTCCGTATGCTATTTTATTGGGCGGCAACATTTATCTCTATACTTCTCCAGAATCACTTTTTCCCACTCAGTTTTCCCCCTTTTTTGCGACACAATGTGGCGTTCCTTGCTGAAAATTTGAATCCAAGATGACTAAATTCAAAGAAATTTGAAATTAAATCTTCGCATATGAGTTACGCATACGTCCCAGTTTGATAAAGTGGGGTTTCGAGCTTAGATCCAATAATGGTCAATCGCCAGCAGAAAATATCTGAGTTTTCAATCCAACTATCTAAGAAAGGGCTAAATTTTAGGAAAAGCGGACCGACAACTAAGGATATTAAGAACGGGTGTTTAATAAGCACAACATCTTCAGCATTCTAGCATGCAATATCTGAAATCAATAGAGGGCAGCACAGATCACCTCCTTAGAAAAAGCCGTCAGGAGGGACCGCACCCCCAGTTTGAACGATTTCTTCAGATTGGCGTGCCTCGAGCCCGGCGGCCCATCCCCCCTCGTCTGAACCATCTGACGAAGAAAACAAACGGAAACCCCGCCCAGTCAGTAGAAGACGGGACGACGTCACCCTTGGTAGGGACACTACATCAACGGGGAGGGTGGCGGAGAAGTAGATCGCGGCACCTACCGGCAGCGAAAACGGAGCAGAGCTTCCGGCCCTCGGAGAAGAAGTGGTACCAGAGCTTCTCTCCAGCGGTGAGCCATTTAAATTTCCAATCTGGCGCGTAAACCCTTGCGTGGACCATGGTTAACAGCTCGGGTGGTTAGCGGAGGCGGGCTAAGCCCGGACCCGTTTTCCGGGCTTTGGGCTAAAATAGGGCCCTAGGCCCACCTCATTCAGATTGGAATATTCCTAAGCGAAAATTCTAGGAAGTTAATTGGGCCCGCTCTATTTGGCCTTCAAGAGAGATATCGCAGAATCACTTCGACGAATCGGAAGCGTCTCCAAACGGATTACTTAGTTCTCCGTCCGTATTTGAATGAAGGTTGGTCCCTTCTTCCGAACCATGGCGGAGAGCACGGCGGCGATCCCCCTCCCCGATACCGAAACTAACCCTAGCGCCGCCGGAAGCTGGACCGTCGTCTCATCCCGGCGGCGCCGCCGCCGTCGCGGCGGTGGGCGGGGAGAGGACGCCGACGACAGCTCTCATCCGTCACCCTCGGAGGCCCCAAATGAAGCCCTAGCGCCCCTCCCGTGGTCGCCTGCCGACGGCGACGAGGAACCTGCGAGGATCTCCAAGCTCCTCGGGAAGCTCCGCTCCACCATGTCCAGGCTCGAGGCTTCGACATTCTACCGCCGCTTTCTCTCACAGCTCCGCGATGAGCCAGAGGTCCGAGATAATCTCCTCAAGATATCTCCGCTGCCGGAGCCGATCCTGATCGTGCTGTACGGCGTTGGAAGCATCGAATCCTACGAGCCTCCTCGCTTGCAGTTCTCTCTTGCACTGCTCCTGCGACGGGAGATGGGGAGCTCCGCAGATGCCGTCGAGGTGTTCGATCCGGTGCTCTCGGCGGCGGAGTGTGCGGCGGTGGAGGCCCTCGGATGCAGGGTAGCACGGCTCGACGATCGCGGACGACGGCGTGTGGATCGGCCGACGCTGTTCTACATGCCGCACTGCGAGGCGGCCCTGTACGACAACCTTCTGGCGGCGAACTGGGGACATCCCTCGTCCCTGAGAAGGATGGTGGTGCTCGGAAACAGCTTCAGGGAGTACGGGAGGTTCGCGGAGGAGGCATTGGGCGGGAGAGGATCAGTTCACGCGGCGGAGAAAGCAAGGTATGTCTTGCGAGCCAGGGATTTCGTGGAAGAGATCAGCGTTGCGGCGAATCTGGGATTGGACGAAGGTAACGACTCGATGTTCAGGGCATTCAATGAAACGAGCTGGCATTTCTTCTATCCTGATCGATCTGAGTGGCAGAAGTCTGAAAGCTAGCAGATTCTTCTAGTAATTCTTTAGAATTCCGAACCAGAGATCCAGAAGATCCTCCTCCGTTCACAACTTCCAAGATCACAGACTGGATTCCAGGTTAGATAGTCAAAACTTCAAGATTTCTGGACATCTCTGAAGCAGCTGGTGGAAATTTTGTGGCCCAATCAAGAGTTGGATCATAGATTCTAAAGAAGGAAATTAAAGAACTTGAATGAAAACTAAATGCACTTTCAAATCCTCATATAGCTCTAACTTAATTATTTTTTTCTCATAAAGTAAGATGAGACATTTCCAAAATGTACTCTCTTATGTTTTCCTTCCTTTGTACCTCATATAGATCAGATTTGTCAGGATGGAACTTGTTTCAACTTTATTATTCCTAGTAAATCTGATCTTTATGAGGTATAAAAGAAAGGGAAGCATAATTGAGTACATTTCAGAAATGTTTCATCTTGCTTGAAAACTAAAAATAATTATGATAGAGTTATTTGAAGATTTGATCATGTATTTAGTTTTAATTTGTTCTCCTTGTATACAATATTTTAGAAATTATTTATGAAGTTATTTGATTTTTTTTAGTTATTATATTTGCATTAAGGGTGCTTAATTTATCATCAAATTATTTTCATATTTCAAAATTTAAATATATGTCTAATATAATCGAACCAATAAATTGAAGCAATATACTACAAAAGTAAGATCTATCGTGGAAATTAATTATTCTAGAATATAAATAAAGTGTGATGAGATTTATGAGGATACCAGATGACCGAAAAAGATAATTTAGTATTTAATTAGAGTACACACACACATGTGATAATCATATGTGACAATTATTTGGTATTTTATGTAGAAAATAGGCCATTTTAGGGAAAATTTATTTATCATTTTATTGTCAATATCTAGTTATCATGCTAAGATGTCACTAAGTTAATAATTATCTTATTATATAAAATATTTATTATTTAAAATTTATTTAAAAAAATGATATGAGCTTTTATTTTGTTGTTCTTTATAAAGTTTAAAGTTATGTTGTTAATATCTTTATAGTATTAATTCTATTCATGTGCTTAATGATATAACCTTTAGCACATGAAATGAGAATGTTATGATTGCTCTTGGCGTCACAAATCTGAATTTTGTGCTAAGTAATGATTGGCCTACTAATATTGCCCAATTCATTTATCATAACTTTAAAACAAATGTAGAAAAGCAGGGTCGATATAATTGCACGAGTCTTATGATCTTGAAATATGCTATTATATGAGACTTTAGGGGCAATATATTTGAAGAGGTCATGATAATTAATTTATTTTTTTTAATAAATTAAGAAAAAAAATATAAATAATAATAATATTTAAATAAATCTTATCAAGAAAAATATGATCTATATAAGGTATAAAATAAATAAAAATATAAGATAGTATATTCTAGAAATCTCATATTGCTTGAAAACAAAAAATAAAACATATGTGATGATTTTATCGTACATTTAGTTTTAATTTCTCTTCCTACACAATTTAATTGATTTAAAGTGAACTATATTTGTCAAAGAGACAAATGATCTCTTAATAAGGTTGTCTCATATTGTGATTAATAAGAATAAATATTGAAACAAAAGAAACTTAAAAGTACACATTTTGATGTAACCTTTGAGGACAATTAAGAAAATACTAAAAAATAATGAAGTTGTGAGTAGATGACAAGTAAAATAAAAAAAAAGAAGTACGATAAATAATCTACTTTTTTTTTTGTAAACAAGGTGGACATAAAGAAAAGAATTACATCAAATGTTACATTAATTTGTAAACATGGTGAACACTATTATGTTGAGGAGTTCATTTAATTTATGTACCTTTATACAATTACCGTATATTGTACAATATTATTATTTACATGAGTATGTTTATACAAATTTACTATAGTGTCAAAAGTCAATCAATGCTAAAAGATATGCCTATATCAATGATACTAATACAATCAAAGTAGAGGTAATAATAACATTTAGGTTATCATTAAAGATTGATCACTATTTCAATCTGAATGAGGCATATATTGTATTATCTTTTAGATCTAATTTAATTCATATGTTCAATTTAGATAAATATAATATATATTGATGATATATTTAGTCTCTTTCAAAATTTAAATTACGTTGATATAAATTATTTATTAGTTTATGATACCATATTTTTACTTGATGTTATAGTAGGTTTTATGAAATCATAAATATAAATTTAAGAAGCATAAAAAAATAACTAATAAAAATTCTTACTTACTACGGCATAAAAATATTAGGTCATATATTAAAAATAATAATAGAAAGACATGTTAGATAACATTATTGACTCACTTGATTATAAGAACTTTAATATGTGTGTCATTTGTATCTATGGGAAACAAATAAACATAAAGAGATCAAGAATCAATTGAGTTTTAGACATTTTAAAATAAATTTATACACATATTTTCAGATAATTTCCCAATGCTTCTTGGAAATGTAATATTCATTGAAAATTATGCTTGATATAACTATTAGATTTTCATTTGTGTTCAAGAAAAATATAAAGTTAAAGTTGATAGTTAATTTAAATATATATATAAATATTAAATTAAATTTGTGGAGAGTATTGCAATAGGTATGATGAATGAAATAAACAACAGCTAAGTTTTTTTAATCTCCTTTAAAAGTGTGGTATTGACACATAATAAATTGTGTTGAGATCTCTTAGTATAAATGGTGTTATTGAGTGATGAAATAAAAATATTTAAGGATATGCTAATGAATATGATTTGTTAATCTAATTTAGTAGAAAACATCTAAGAATAAGTATTAAAAACTCCATCTTATCTACTAAATGATATTCTAACTGAAATAATTATCAAAATCCTTTATGAGTTCTTGGTATATACAAAATTAAATTTAAACTATTTGCACATTTAAGGTCATCTTATAGAGTCAACACCTCACATGCACATCTTATTTTTTGATTTTAATAGACTCAAGTATTACTTTTTTTTACTTACTTTATTATTTTTCTTCTTAAGTCAACAAGATTTTTAATCTTCATCGAGTGATATCATAAGAATGAAATTAATATTGGATAGATATACTAATAATGTAAACCTAAAATTATAAAAAGAATAACAAAATAGAAACTCACATTAGTTTATAATAAAATATAATTATAAATAATAGTACATTTCATCACAAGGTTTCTTTCTAATACAATATTAATACTTTATTTTTGGACAACAATATTAATCATGACTGATATGTTGGTATGATAAATAAATATTAAGAAAAATATTGTATCAAATAATAAGTATTTCTTTGGTCCAACCTATTATCCACATAACATATCAAATAATTGTCATAGTTATTATCACGAGTATATATGAAATTATCATGTATTTATTCATCACATAGATCAAACACAATCATCTTAATATTCAAGAATAATTAATAATTGATAGTATGTTGTGTCAATCAATTCATTCTAGAATATTAGAAGTGTACTAATGTAACCTTGGTCCACATGGTTTATGTGACCTTAGTGCCCATATGTGGCATCTAGTGACATCTCCAAAACCATGTAACTTGCCACATCAGATGGCTTTCAGCACCCATGCCCATCAGACGTCTAATACTTGTCTAAGTTTTTCACGATGGTGTGCATATGAGTTACTCCTACTCTAATGCATCATACATGATATCTAGATGAACATAATATCATGACTAATATGTCATTATCTAAACTACTATTCACAAACATGCTATGATAATGCTTGAAAGAGATTAAAGATTTAGTGTTGAGTTATAAAGAACAATAAAGAAGCAAAACATATTTGAGTTAATTAGGATCTCAAAGCCCAATATGGCCCATATGATTAGTCAATCCTCACTGTGACTTCAACCCTTGGGAAAAGAAAATGCTCCAAGAGAATGATTCTCTCACTGTGTGACCCAAGTACCATGTCCTATTAAATAGGCAAGAGGTGATAATCACTTATTTATCTTTTTCTAATTTTTCTGATCATAAAATTATATATCGACTTTGTCTCTACACATATACTGATATTTAACTAATTTATTTTATTACGTCACTTGACTTAAAATCCAGTTTTCTCACCGTATGTGTTAGTTACCGCTCGCTCTTGCATTCATTCCATTCTTGCGTGAGTTGAGAGATCGATGCGGTGACGGGATACCATCTGCCGCGAACACCGGCTCCGTCAACCGTTGGCGAGAGTGAGTTATCGGTGGGGCCCACTAGTTCGGTTATGGCAGCCCTTTCCACCGTCCACGTACCCCCCCTATCTCCTCTCCCCCTAGGCATCTGTAGCTGCCAGGTTTTAAGCTCGCTCCTCTGCTGCTGCTTCCCGCTCGAAGTGGCACTCTGAGAGAAGAAGAGAGAGAGAGAGAGAGAGAGAGAGAGAGAGAGAGAGGGAAGATTCTGTTTTCCTCGGGAAGTTAAAGTGTTGGTGCTGTGCATTTTAATAGTCTGATCCGACACCAACAACGTAGGCGACAATGGAGGTTGCAAATGCCGCACGAGCGGCCGCGTCAGCAACAGCGCGCGGATATCACGTCTCTCCCGATCTGTGCTGTAGTAGGAAAGCCAGATCTTCCGCAGCTGCTTGGGTTGCGGCTTCGGGTTCCCAGGCGTCTTGCTGCTCGACTTCGGCTTCCCAACGGCGGTGGTCGGGCCGGGGACTCAGATCCGGCGAGCGGCCAAGCCTTCTGTTGCGGTCACCTCCCCGGCTTCGCTTCCTGTTAAGGTGATCTTCTTTGTTGCGCCCCCCCCAATGCGGCGGCCTTGTTTCGTTGGATTACTGTGCAATTTGTCTCTCGGTAGTTTTACGCAATGAATCCCGTTCTTATCGGGAAAATTTGAATCTAGTGGAGGCATGAACTTTCGACGAATTTTAACTGGGCGTGTATGGCTGGTCTGACATTGAGGATCCATAATTTTAGTTGTCACTGATAGAACTGGCATGATAGTGGGAAGTGTTGTGAATGGTAACCTCATTTTATTTGCACCTGATTATGGACTAATTCGTGTCACTTTTTAACCGAGGAATATTCTCCAGGGAACCCTTATTGTTATGTTATTGTCTTGAAGAGTTTCTGAATGACATGTTTTAGAAGAATCATGGATATTCACGTTTCTTTCTATTTGAGGTAGCACGAGTTTGAATCTTCTGGTAGTGTCATCTACACGGGAAATAAAGTTGCCATGCTGAAAAGTGTCATCTACGATGCTTGATTTTTTTTTTCTTTCAGTGAGGTTCAATGAAGTAGTATGTTTATTCAAGTTACGTATTACATGATACCCCCTAACAAAAAGTGATTTAATTTTGATGTCTTTAAATGTAAAACAGGAAACTTGATCAGAGACAAAATTCCTAATAAATTTTTTGGCTGCAGAAGTCAGAATTGTTTGAATACTAAGAGTGGTGAAAGCTTAGCCTCAAAACTGGCTGAAAGTGAGATGGAAGCTACAGACATTTCTTCTGCTGGAGTTATGATCTTCGAAGCTATCCTTGAAGATGAAGTTTTCCGATTTGATTGCTCCATTGACGATAGAGCCGCAGCGTTTCCAAGTTTGTCATTCACTGATCCTAAAACAAGGGAAGCACCAGTTAAGAGTTCCAGGGTGCCACAGTTTATACCAACTTTCGAGAGTAAATTTGGAAAGCAAATTGTTAACATTCAAGTATGTTTTTAGCGGTAATTGGATTCTGATTAGTTGTTCTTTCCAGTGTATATATCTTTGAAACATGACATACTTTCTTTGTTTCTGGGTGACGAATTTCCTGTATAGCTTCCTAGTGGTTCCAGTTTTTATGGAACAGGCGAAGTTAGTGGACCATTAGAGCGGACAGGAAGACGTGTAAGTTACTTTCCCTCCCCAAACGCTATTGAAATATTGCTACAACAGAGGCACCTACTGACACCATATACATCAGATATTCACATGGAACACAGATGCATGGGGCTATGGCTCTGGAACTACATCTTTATACCAATCACATCCTTGGGTTATGGCTCTTCTACCTGATGGGAAAGCGTTGGGGGTTCTTGCTGATACAACTAGGCGTTGTGAGGTTGAATCTTTTCCTATTTCGCTTCATGCATATATCGACCTCAAATGTTTCTTTGTCTTTATCGGGATTGATATCTTCAACAGGTAGACTTGAGGGAAGAGAGCACAATAAAGTTCACAGCTTCATCTGCATACCCAGTCATTACGTTTGGTCCATTTGAGACACCAACTGAAGTCCTTATGTGTCTCTCTCGAGCTATTGGTTAGATTTTCTTTATATTTTTACTCTATTTAACTGAAGTCCTGTTTCTGTTAGAATCGGGCACCACTCAAAGCTGTACTGTAACTCAATGAGAGATGGTGTCCTCTGATATCTGCAAAATTTAAATAACATTGAACTAGTTGCCGAAAATTTGCTTCATGCAGGACAATATTTCACAGAGGATATTCTCCAGATTATATGAAACATTTAGCCCATTTCTGAATACGTGAATCTAGTCTGACTAAGTTTATCTTCCCATCCTTTTAAGGTCTTTCTGATATGCATTTCCCATAGACATCGAGTCATTTAATATATGCTTTTAATTATTTATTTATCCCGTAATTTTATTTTTAAATGTATAAATTTCAACAGTGGGTCAACTTTCAGAAGAACATTAATTTTTACTAATACACACTGACAGTGATAATCAAGTACCTACTGAAAGTGATACCTTTTTGAATGTTATATCTAGGAACTGTTTTTATGCCCCCTAAATGGTCTTTGGGCTACCATCAGTGCCGCTGGAGCTATGATTCTGATGAGAAAGTCATGAAGGTAGCCGAGTTAATTTCTCCTTGAAAAATTTCTCGATAGTTATGCTTTTCCTAATCACATAGCTTATATTAACGATCATTCAGTTGTACGCTTTAATCATGTTATCCTAGGCTTGGAAAATGACTTATGGGGTCATATAATCCCCTTTTTCTTTTTCAACGAATGAAGTTGATGCTGTCATCATTCAGATCAAGAAGTCCACGGGATCTAGTAAAAAAAATTCCAATCATGGCCTTCTTGTTGCAGATTGCTCAAACATTTCGTGACAAAGGTATACCTTGTGATGTTATATGGATGGACATTGACTACATGGACGGTTTCAGATGTTTCACTTTCGATAAGGTACACTTTTCTTTGCTTGATTTATTTCCTGAAGCACAGAAACAGCTTCATCAACCATTGGCCGTTTCTAATTACTATATTGGAATGTTCATATATTTTATCCAGAAAAGATACCGAGAAGACATATTGTTCCATTACTGTACTAGGCAGTGTTTGTACTTGTTTAATTTTAACCTCTCTTGTATGTATTGTTCCATTTAATGTCACCTTAGATTGTTTGCTGAATAAAATTTCCTAAATGTTGGCATGGACTATACTAGTTGATCTTGCCTTGCACGTTTGCATTTTGATAGCAATTTTCCTTTTTGCGTGGTAAGATTTCATTGAAGCACAACCATAGGTTTGTTGAGGGACACAATGTGATTGTTATGGTGACAACGCTGTCATCAGGGAATAAATGATATCACCTTCTGGTAGGTTTTGTTCACTTCTTGTCTCTGTATACATGCTACATACTACTTAACATGAAATTTCCTAGGCTGATATGTATCACCGTTGTCGTCCTCTTTTATAAATGGCAACAGTATGAGCAAAAGAATGCAAACAGCTTGTTTGCAATCTTGTGCTACCCATTGGATAACAGTTCAAATAGCTTGTTTGTTTTGTGTGTAGGGGTGTTGGAGACGAAAATGGTTCAATTACTCTGCCTACCTTGGGATATAACTTGGCAAGACGAGAGAGGACCAAGAGATAACCAGACAACAGGAAGGAGTTTGAATGATTTTCCCCCAGGGAATTTCAGGGCTACTTTATATAAGTCACTACAATATGCTAAAGAGGAAAAGTGAAACTGTACAAAAGGAGGCACTACAGAATATAGTTTGATCTTAATTTTTGGACACAAATATATTTAAAGTCTAAAACAATATTTCACAGTACAAGGAAACAAATAGTTGCTCACTATTGGGCATACTAAATTTTCGTTTTATCCCATATTTCATGGTTTACGCCTGTTATACCTGGCCTAATGTAGTTTTAACTATTTTTCGTCGTTGAGACAGAATCATTTCTATAGACGGATGAGGAATGATTAATTTTTCTCGTTATTCCACATGCGTTTTTCCCCTTGTCATCAGCTTGGTGATTATCTTTTAATAACTTACTGGATCTTAATTCACGATGAACATGCCATCTCTGTGAGAAAATTATGAAATGTATTTTTCTGTTTTCTTGCCAAAATTAATTCTTACATTTATGCCATCTCTTTGATGATTTCTCAGGAGCGTTTCCCTGACCCAAAATCCCTGTTCAGAGACCTTCATGCCCGCGGGTTCAATGCCATATGGATGCTGGATCCTGGAATTAAACGCGAACCAGGCTATTTTGTTTATGACAGTGGCTGTGAAAAAGATGCTTGGATTTTAAAAGAAGATCAGGAGCCCTTTGTTGGTAAGCACACTAAGCATTCGGGTGTTGTGACATTACATCTTTAAAAGTGCTAAACAATTTTTGTGTCATCGTTAGGGGATGTATGGCCTGGACCTTGTGTTTTTCCTGACTACACCCGAGAAGAAACCCGCCAATGGTGGGCAAAGCTAGTGAGGGATTTCATCTCCAATGGTGTGGATGGCATATGGAATGATATGAATGAACCTGCAGTTTTCAAAGTAAGTTTTAGGTCAACTATATATGCCTTCTAATTTCTGGGATCACTGTTTGATCAGAATCATTAATTTTCAGGTTGTAACAAAGACGATGCCTGAAAGCAACATTCACAGAGGAGACGCTGAACTTGGTGGCAACCAGAATCATTCCCACTACCATAATGTAAGGCCTTATGCTATTGTATTTCACTTTCATGAGTTATGTACATGTTTTGCAATGTATGGATATTTTCAATAAACTACTGCTTTGAGGTGTGAAACGGATACTTGTAGTTTTTTTTATAGATATTTTTAAAAAGATTGTCATTAGAATATAACTCATAGAATTTACTCTCCAAATCCCTGTTCTAAATTCAGTTTCATGTTAGGTTTATGGCATGCTGATGGCTAGGTCAACTTACGAAGGAATGAGAATGTCCTCTGCACAAAAACGACCATTTGTTCTTACCAGAGCTGGATTTATAGGTAGCCAAAGGTATGCTGCTACGTGGACAGGCGATAACCTAGCAAATTGGGAGCATTTACATATGAGTATACCGATGATGCTTCAGCTGGTACGCTCCTTTTTTAATTTGCATTTAGATGTGCTAAGTGTTTCATCCACTGTACCATGGGGAGACTGATTTTCTGCATCATCTTGACGTCAGTAATCTTCAACTGTGATTTGAAAGCCCGTTATGGTGCACGTTATATGTTACTGTTAGATGAAATACACTTGCTGAGAGTGTGGAAAAATTCCCACCTAGAAATTTATTCAATGGCATTATTAATGCTGTTGTGACATGAGGCAAGAAGTTATATTGTCGTTGATGATTATTAAGGTACATTATTTCATCAATGAGTTTGACTTGGGAGACCATGCAATTTGCTAAAATCTTTGTCTTAATTTATTGTTTGCATTCATTGGGGCCAGTGATTTGTTTTACTGACACGCGTACGCGTGTAGGTCATGAGACATAGCCAATGCCTTTTTCTTAACTTTTGGAATGTATTCACTGTTCGTGGTGATAGATGCTAGTAAGTCATTATTTTCCAAATCCACCAATGAGTTTACTTATCGTTTGACGTTTCATTTTCTTGGTCAGAGTCTTAGTGGTCAACCATTATCTGGGCCAGATATTGGAGGTTATGCTGGGAATGCTTCACCTAAACTATTTGGGAGGTGGATGGGAGTCGGTGCAATGTTCCCTTTCTCTCGTGGCCATTCTGAAACTGATACAATTGACCACGAACCGTGGTCCTTTGGTGAAGAGGTTCGTCCTTTCCTATGATCTTTATATTGTTTCATTTTGATAGGTATATGTGGTTACAATTTTTGTTTCTTTTGAAATATTGATAGAGAGAATCTTATTATTAACAAGCTGTCCCTGTATCCGGAAGTGGAAGAACAGGAAATAAGATAAAACGAGCCAAATTCCATGGTGTAAAAGAAGTGGAGTTGCTTCCCATGGTCATCATTAGAAAAATTTTACCACACCGATAGGGGATTTTGGCTGTGATAAGTTCGATAGTCGTCAGTTGATAGGTGGGAGAAACAACCAATCCAAGGTAAGTTTTTGATGAAAATCCCATTTCACTCTATGTGTCAGTGGAAAATACAGCCATTCAAACTCATTTTGAACTCTATTTTAGCTTATAATTTATTGTGTGCCACAAGATCTGCAACGAAAGGGATTTCACCCTAAGGCTGGACAATTTTCACTTAAGAAATAAGGCTAAGGTTTGCCATCAGAAAACAGATGTCATCATCCTTCTAAAGATGGATATTCCTTTAGTTTATAACTATTCCTTCACCTTTTTGGTTTTATGTTCATAAAGTTTCGCCGTCGTTCTTGGAAAGGCACTATTCTTACGACGTAAATTTTTCGTGATCAATTTTAACGTCGGTTTATCCTTAATAGTGTGAAGAGGTGTGCCGGCTCGCACTGCTAAGACGCTACAGGCTCATTCCACATATCTATACTCTATTCTATATGGCTCACACAAAGGGTACCCCTGTAGCTGCGCCGACATTTTTCGCTGGTATGAGATGTGACATTTTCTGAACTCAACTCTTGGAAAGGTTACTCTCATAACATGATGCTTGATTTATTGAACATGCAGATCCAAAAGATCCACGTCTAAGATCTGTGGAAAACTCTTTCCTTATGGGTCCTCTTTTAATATGCGCGAGGTACTGTATAAATTAGTCTTTAAATTATATACGTTCTGAGAACGATAACCATGTCCAGATATATCACCAAATATTTTGCATAATTAACCTTATTAATATGTTATGTATTGGAATCGATCCTCTTTATTTGCACCAAGAAACAAAAGTAGCATTGAAGTCTTACTGCCCCCTTTCTTTCAGCACTGTACCTGACAAAGGATCTGATGAATTGCAATTCGTCCTACCCAAAGGCATTTGGTTGCGTTTTGATTTTGGCGATGCACATCCTGTAATAACTCTTACAAGCTTATTGTCATTCTTGCTTTCGTAGAAGTTTATGCTCTAAGTTATGTGTTCTGGTTAACATTTCTTGCATCCAGGATCTACCAAATCTTTACTTACAAGGGGGGTCGATAATTCCCATGGGCCCCGCTGTTCAGCATGTGGGCGAAACAAATCCAACTGACGAACTGTTTCTAATGATTGCTTTAGATGAAAATGGTAAATTTCTATTCAATCGTTTAACTTTCAGGCTGTTAATTTGGTTTTTTGCCCTCTCCATCTGTAATTATTAGGCAATTTTCGTGAATGGGAAGGCATCCAGCGTTGATAAAAATTTCTTTTCTTGTACTTTCACGTATATTTTATATTTCTTATGTTTTCATGTTCCGTAGGTAAAGTTAATTTAGATTCAATTTTCTCAGATTTTTATTGTTGTGTCTACTCCCATGTCCCTTTTGACTGTTTCTAACGAATGCATTGGGCTTTAATTTTGGCTGTAGCCACAATATCTTGCGAAGAAGAAATTTATGTTGGACTTCATTTTAAATTGTCTCAATAACAAAGTGGAATTCTCAAAGTCAGTGCTTTTGAGTGGCTGATAATCCAGCATGCCAGTTCTTACACCAAACACGAGTTAGAGTAAGCACTAATTAGTATCAACCTCTTTATTAGATTAAGCACTAGTGTCACTTTATTAGAAAAACCTCCGGAATATAATCTTACTCAAGATCCTTAATTGTCTCAGGGGCATCTCATTAGTATCAACCTCTTTTTTTTAATAATAATCAGAAACTATTAGGAAATAGAAGTGCTTATGGTCTTGACTTTAAGGCGCTTCTTTAAGTAATTCGCCGTGTGTGTTATAGTCATGTTTCATCTTTTCAATGAACCTTTTGCTTCATGCATGTTGCAATATTTAAGCAAATTATTGGTTGAATTTAATTCAAATAAAGTATGAAACTTATTATTCGAGTTTTTTCCAATGTTTTCTCACTGATGTTGCACGTCTATTTTTTTTTCTCCCCTTTTTTCTCTATAGAAGCTCGTTTGACAAAAATAAACCTCTATTTTCTCTGGAACATCAGGCCTGCGATAATCGTATTAATATCTCTCTGAAAATCAAAATCTCTCATGCAGCATTGTTCTTTTCTTTGCCTTTCGTTTTATGTACATGGAGAACGCGCAATCCTTCTTTCTGTTCTTTGTTTCTTGGTGCATGAAGAACTCGATTATTCAGGGTGCGGTCTCGTCACATGTTGTTTCATTTTTTTCCTTTATTGTTCAGGAAAATATAACGTTCTTCATTTCTTTCACAGGGAGAGCCGAAGGAGTTCTCTTCGAGGATGATGGCGACGGGTATGACTTCATCCGAGGGGGATACCTTCTGACGTACTATGTTGCCGAGCTTCACTCTTCATCCGTCACAGTCAAAGTTTCTAGGGCTGAAGGGTCACTCGAGAGGCCGAAACGGGCCCTTCACGTGCAGTTATTGCTGGGTGGGGGCGCCATGGTACGTCTTTAGGATTGCAGATTCAAGCTTTATGAAGTGGATCCAAAACATCCGGACACCTAGCTCTTCATTTTTTTTATTTTATTTTATTTTATTTTATTTCTAAAGCGCTTTAATAATTTTTTTTGTTGGTCCCCGGAGATTCATGCACGGGGAAATGATGGAGAGGAAATTAAGTTTCCCATGCCTTCCAAAGCTGAGGTTTCAGAATTAGTCGCAGAGGGTGAAGAACAGTATAGAACACTTATCGGTAATCCTCTTTTTCTCAGTACTTTAGAGTTAAAACCAAGCCTCCTCGATTCCATTTTCCTTCTTTGGAATTTTCACAAACTGCATTTGTTTACAAGTTGTCTCAAAAAAAAATTTATGCAATGTATTCTATTTGTTACACTTTTTTTTTTCTGGAAATATTTCTTGCCACATTAGTTTTTTCACTGGCTAAGAGATTTTATGAACCATCTTCATAATACTGCTCGCGATTAACAATGGCGGGGTTTAGTTCATCATGCTGCCTTTTCTCGTCCTTGGGCAAGAACTGAATAGGTTCTGAACTTTGATGCTCTGTATGATTCTCATGGTCATGAATGCATGACCATGATAATCCAGTTTCCTGGAGAGAGATTCTTCAGATTTAAGAACAGAAAAGGGTAAGTCAACTCATTTATACATTCGCAGATATGCCAGCAAGGTTCAAAGTTGGCTCACTCTGACCACCCATACCTGAATGGGAAACAATCTAGGAATCCCACGCTGTTGGGCTTCCCTGATGGGCAATGATTTCTTTTGGAAATTCAGATCCACAATTAGCTATTCTCTGTACCCTGTGGCACATCCTAACTTATGTGGCTCGATGGGATTTTAATTTTCTGAGACATGAAATACCCCAGATTTCTTGATTTTTCTGGAAATATTTCTTGCCACATTAGTTTTTTCACTGGCTAAGAGATTTTATGAACCATCTTCATAATACTGCTCGCGATTAACAATGGCGGGGTTTAGTTCATCACGTTGATTCACCCAACTTCCCCTCCTCCCAACAGGCAGGAACTGAGGTGAGTAGAGGACCTCGTTGAGGAGTTAGAACATGAAAAATCGTTACTAATTATTGTAACATACAGTTCTTCAAGTTTCTATAGAGGTTCTGTGTCATTGGAGTTGAATCTGATCGAACAGAGTATTTTGGGTCAGGAGCTTCAGAGATTTGAAGGTTTTCATGACATTAACCCGTTCAAGTATGTCTATTGGGATGTTGCCCCAAAAACCTACGAGGAAATATTATTATGGTAGAATATGATTCGATGAAGTATTTTTCTCTCAGGTGTTCTAATCTGTGATTTAGGGCAGGTCAACGTATTACCATTTTTGGCATTATTTTCTCTTGGCTCAAGAGTTGACTCAGTGCATAGTGTGTGGGTCCATAGGCTCCTGAATTTCTGATATATGAGATATTTTGGAAGTTTTCTTGCTTTTTTTAGAAAAAAAGATATATTTTTATTTCTTCTCACAATCTAATGCTTGCTGCTGAGATGGCGATCACAGAGAAGGCCAGACGCATTCAAGACATAGATCGTTCCTCTGGAAAGAAGGGCGCGGAACTCGCCAGGATCCCGATTGAGATGAGGCGTGGAAAATGGGTCCTTCAAGCTGTGCCCTGGGTGGGCGGCAGACTGATCTCCATGACGCATACCCCTTCAGGTAATTTCTAAGTTTCCTCAAAAAAAGAACAAAAAAAACTGTGCCGAGTCAAAATTCTCCTACAAAAGTCAACATGCATTCCGAGATAAGAAGCCCATCTGTAGGTCAACCTTCTGATGTTCCCATTGACTAATCCTTATGAGGTCGTAGAGCATTAATGCATCAGAATGTTTGACTTCGGGGCTTGTTCTGCCATCCAAAGAGCAGAAAACAGAAAAGGCCTCGGTCAACTCCCATTTCTCAAAATCTTTCCTAAATTAGAAGAAGGTTCGGCTTCTCTCCTCCAACCTGATTCCAAAGGGGTCTTCAGGGTATCAATGGCTTCACAGCAGAGTGGAGATCGGAGGGTATGAGGAACACAGCGGGCTTGAACTCCGGTCTCCCGGATGTTCGGAAGAATATACGATCATCGGGTAAGCCGTCGGCCTCATTTTTCTAGTCAACTCTTGCTCTGTTAATTCTTTTCTGTCAAGTAGGGGGCTTCCGGAGGAGTCGGATGGGGATTCGCTGACCATGGAGGGGGACATCGGCGGCGGACTGGTCATTGAACGGCGGGTATCGGTCCCCGGAGGAGAGCCTGAGATCCTCCAGATCGACTCTTCCATCGTTGCCCGCAGCGTCGGCGCCGGCTCCGGCGGCTTCTCAAGGTCTCTGATCAGTATCCCAACCATGAAACTAGAGCTCCATCTTGCTTATTCTTTGGTCTATCCTTCTCTCTCTCTCTCTCTCTCTCTCTCTCTCTCTCGCTCCTCACTCAAGCTGCTCCACTGTCGTCCTTCCCATCCACGCAGTTCAGGTTGCTCCAACTCATTTCTGGGTTTCATCATCATCATCATCATCATCATCTTCTTCTTCTTCTTCTCTGTGTCTCTGTCTCTGTCTGTCTGTCTGTCTCTCTCTCTCTCTCTCTCTCTCTCTCTCTCTCTCTCTCTCTCTGTGTTTCTGTGGGTAATCGTTTTTTTATTGCAGGCTGGTGTGCCTGCGGGTGAACCCGTCGTTCGCTCTCCTCCACCCCGCCGAGGTCTACATCTCCTTCACTTCTCTCGACGGCGAGAAGCGCGAGGTTTGGCCCGAGTCCGGAGAGAAGTTTCTGGAAGGCAACCTCCGCCCCAACGGTAATCACTCCTCTCTCCCCTATTCCCCCCTCATCGTCCTTCCATGCACGACCACCTTTTCTCTCTCAGTTGACCCACCCCCCCCTCTCTCTACATTTTCTCTCTCTGGGCAGGGGAGTGGAGGCTGGTGGACCCATGCTCGGGGGTGGAGCTGGTCAACCGCTTCGATGTCAGCCAGGTGGAGAGGTGCAGGATACACTGGGGGACCGGCACGGTCAACATGGAGCTGTGGTCAGAGGAGCGACCCGTCTCCAAGGTCACCCCTCTCGGGATCTCCCACGAGTACGAGGTCAAGTCAGTGACTTAGTCTTGACGACTTATACAGCTCCCTCGACGGTTTACCGGGTTGAAGGTCAACGGTGTTCTTCCGATATCTCTCGAGGCGGCGGCCAGTGGGTTTTGGCGCGCTGCCCTCGGGATGAAGCCCAGGCCCGGAGGGTATTGTTGGAGGGAATGAGAGAGAGAGAGAGAGAGAGAGAGAGAGAGAGAGAGAGAGGATTTATTTCTGCCCAAACTCGACCATGGTTGACTTTCATGTCGGGCCTGACCCGTTGACTCCGTTTGGGGTATGGGGTAACAGGCAGAAGCTGCATTCTTCAAAATCGGTTTCTTCCCAAAATAGGGAAGTATCGTTTTTCGGGTAGATGCGATGACAAGCTCCCAAGGATGAGGGAGTTTGATGGGCCTGGAAAGTCCGAAGCCCAGCCCGATATTTTTTCTTGGGCCCGGCGGACGAGATCTTTTCGCTTTTCAGGTCGAGTTCAGGGTTTTAATTATCTGACTCAGAACTCCACGTGGCATGACGTCTCTCTCTCTCTCTCTCTATGTATATATATCTCTCCATCTCTCACCAAGCTGGACATGCATCAATCAGCTAGAGTGAGAACTTCAAATTGGCTTCATTCTCGTTTTGTCTTAGAGAGAGAAAGAAAGGAGAAAAACCAAGTGAAAGGGCGATCAGGTTCCCTCGGCATTGGTCGGAGAGAGAGAGAGAGAGAGAGCTTATTTGTGATTGGTCGGCGGGCGACCGGCGCAGGCAATGGAGGGTGTAAATAGCGTATGGGACACCGCATTGCACGCCCCACATGATCTCAGTCGCAGTTGGAGGGGTAGAACTGCCGCTGCGCCGGCGGTGAATCCGTCGGTCCTTCTCTCTTCCTCATCGTCTCCCCCTCGGAGGCGCTGGGACCGACGACTCGGACTCAGAGCCCGCCGGATCCTGCTGCTTCGGTCGCCAGCCCTGCGTCGCGCCTTGGCCAGGTAATCTTCCTTCTGATGATTTCTTCTATGCGCCTGTTTTGTTCCGTGGGCTCCTGTCCCTGTCTTAGAAAATTGCCGGTGCTCTACGTCCACTGCACGTTGCGCTATGACTTAAAGTGGAAGGGATGTATCTGGACACCTTCCAGCTAGCATGTTCAGCTCTATCTCTCAGTGGACAGTCTCAGGAATGGACACTGGATCCGTCACAACAGTTGGGGAAGGGGAATTGGGTGATCGGAAAGTCTTAAGCAACATGACGTATGCTCACAGTTCACGATGATTTTTTTTTTCCCATGTATATCTGGCGGCCTAACATCAATTTTCCTCTTCAATTCCTGTGAATTTCCTCCTTTAAAATAAGTGTGTGAATGAAGCATTCCGCATTGAAGTGAAAAATGATTTTTGGCGCGTATTTTAGTTCCCTATGGTCGTCATTCTGACCTTAGACCTCGTAAGTTGGGCTGTCATTCATGCCCTGGATTACAGATTTAATGGCTACAGTTTTCTCCCACACTGTGGGTATATGTTGAGGTTAATTTTCTGCTACTATATGATTTCAGTGGCAAACGCTTTTTTCAACTTTGAATGAAGTAACTTGATTATTAGGATTACATATTACCCCATATCATCCACAATCATCCAGAATTTCCCTGACAACAAGTGAACTACTTCTGACGTCTGTAAATGTAAATAACAGGAAAGTTGAACGGGGATATACTTCCTAATACAGATTTTGGTTGCAGAAGTCAGAATTGTTTAAATAGTAAGAGCGGTGGAAGCTTTACCTCAAAGGTGGCTGAAAGTGACATGGAGGGCACAGAAGTTTCTTCTTATGGGGATATGATCTTTGAAGCTATCCTTGAAGACGGAATTTTTCGATTTGACTGCTCCACTGATGATCGACTTGCAGCATTTCCAAGTTTATCATTTGTTGATCCTCAAACAAGGGAAGTACCTATTAAGAGTTCAAGGGTGCCCGAATATGTACCCAGTTTCGAAGCTAAATGCGGGCAGCAAAATGTTATCATTCAGGTATGCTTTTATTGGTGCTCGGTTCTTTTTTACTTGGTATTTCTGATTTATGCCTATAGAAAACATAATTTTTTTGTTCCTGGTTTACACGTTTCTTGTGTAGCTTCCTACTGGTTCCAATTTTTATGGAACGGGTGAAGTTAGTGGACCCCTAGAACGGACAGGGAGACGTGTAGGTTCCTATTCCCTAGTTTCCATTGAGAAATTGAAACAATATAGTTACCTATTTACTCTCTATGCCTCAGATATTCACGTGGAATTCAGATGCATGGGGCTACGGACCAGGAACTACATCCCTATACCAGTCTCATCCCTGGGTTCTGGCCCTTCTCCCTGATGGGAAAGCGTTGGGCGTTCTTGCTGATACAACCAGGCGTTGTGAAGTAGAATATTTCTTTTAGTTGTTCCACATCCGTGCCTACCTTCATACTCTACAGTGATTGATATGTCTTCAATAGGTAGATCTGCGGGAGGAGTCCACAATAAGGTTCGCTGCTTCAGTGTCATACCCAATCATAACATTTGGTCCATTTGAGTCACCAACTGAAGTTCTGACACGTCTTTCTCGTGCAATTGGTGAGCTTTCCTTGAAGCCATTACTCCATTTAATTAATGCTCTGTTTCACGCATAATGATAAAATACACAAATCTTTTTTTCTTTTTATCTGAGCCCCAGACTGTCGTTACGTGATTGCATTTGATACTATTATAGTCATCAGACATCTACAAGACGTAAATATATGCCCCTAGAGTCCTTAAATCCTTTTATACTAAAAACTATTTCAAAAATGATTTGTTTCAAACTCCATACTACATTTAACCCATTGCATCACAATTTGAAATTGAATTTTTGCGAATTCATTATGGATTAGTATACCATCTCATCTTTTTAAGGTACCTTTGACAGTCTCGTTACAGTGAGTCATTTACTGCTGCGTTTTTTTTCTTTTTCTGATGCATTATTCTGCCCCTTTCATTGTTTCTTCATGTAGAGAATTTTAGGTTGGTATTTTTTGAGTTTTACCTCGCCTTTTTTGATCATGTTTTTAATTATTTCCCTGTTATCTGCTACTAACTGAAGGCTATGTTTTTTCCGTTGTTATCTCTCTAGGAACCGTTTTTATGCCTCCCAAATGGTCTTTGGGCTATCATCAATGCCGATGGAGCTATGATTCTGACAAGAGAGTTCTTAAGGTAGCTAAAACCAAATATTTTACTTTATCATCACCACATTACCGGTTGTTTATGGTTCTTTTTTTAAATTGCGAATAATAATGATCTTTCAACAGTAAACATCAATCAAGTCTTCTGGGACTTGATTAATCCTGAGGCCCTTTAAAGAAGAAATTCCGTTAACTTTATCAATCAATCCTGAAGACCACAGCTCTGGGCCAAAACATTTCCATATCATGAGTTTTTATCTTTGCAGATTGCTCAAACATTTCGAGACAAAAGTATGCCTTGTGATGTCATATGGATGGACATTGATTACATGGATGGTTTTAAATGTTTTACTTTTCACAAGGTATGCAGTTTCTAACAGGAATTTTCTCCTTACTCAACAGAGCAACTTCATCGTAATTACTTGATTGAAAGGTTTCATATGTTTTGCTATGATACAGTGCTAGGAGGAATTCCCATTCCATTATAATAACATTATTTCGTGATATACGTGATCTCTCACTTAAAGGTCCTAATTCAACTTCTCATACTTCATAATGCTCTCTGTACTATGAAACATATTTGTTTAGCTTACTGCGGATTTTACTATGAGTTTTGAAATTTTCTTATCATTGAAACATCTATTATTCTATTATTTATTTACTGTTTTATGATTTACTGATTGATTGATTTCACATTAAACTTAATTATTTCATTCGTCCTGTATGATTAGCTCCGCTTAACTTGCGTCTTACCCTCTCCAATTGGACCTTTTTTAAAGTCTGTTTTTGATGCCCATTCCTTAGTTTTATGCACATCAACGCAGAAAAATATATTTTATCCTGTAGGATTTTCATTGTACTTTGGTCTGAAGATAAAAGAGAGGGTGAATGTCGAAAGGCCTTTAGGTTCAGTGAGGGTGAACGGCGGAAAACTCTGCCAAACTATTGGATCAGACGTGGTTCATCCTTAGTAGACATCTCATTGGCAAACACGCCCATGTATTGATGAAATATCTTGTCCTCACCCTCGACACATTGCATAGCATGTCCATGGTTAATCCTAATTTTTTTTTTTGCTTCATATTGAATCTTACGATTGTTTCTTGATAATGACATGACCTTTCATGCATTAATGAAAAACAACCATTTTTAAATTATTCATCAGCATAAAGTTTTTCTCTTCAATGATTTCTCAGGAGCGTTTCCCTGATCCAAACTCCCTGTTCGATGACCTGCATTCCCGCGGGTTCAATGCCATATGGATGCTAGATCCTGGAATTAAACACGAACCAGGCTATTTTGTTTATGACAGTGGCTGTGAAAATGATGTTTGGATTTTAAAAGAAGATCAAAAGCCCTTTGTTGGTAAGCACACTAAGCATTCGGGTGTTGTGACATTACATCTTTAAAAGTGCTAAACAATTTTTGTGTCATCGTTAGGGGATGTATGGCCTGGACCTTGTGTTTTTCCCGATTATACACGAGAAGAAACACGCGTATGGTGGGCAAAGCTAGTGAGGGATTTCATCGCCAATGGTGTGGATGGCATATGGAATGACATGAATGAACCTGCAGTTTTCAAAGTAAAATTTAGCTCTACGATTCATAACTTCCAGTTTTTGCGGTCACCGTTCTGACAAATGATATTTATTCAGGTTGCAACAAAAACGATGCCTGAAAGCAACATTCATGGAGGAGATGCTGAACTGGGTGGTCGTCAGAATCACTCTCATTACCATAATGCAAGTTCTTACTGAATTATCTTGCACTCTTTTCCATAATGTAGATGTCACATGATATGCAGTCCTTTTTCTAAGTTCAGTTTCACGATAGGTTTATGGTATGCTGATGGCTAGATCAACTTACGAAGGAATGAAGATGTCTTCTGGAAAAAAACGGCCATTTGTTCTCACTAGAGCCGGATTTATTGGTAGCCAAAGGTATGCTGCTACTTGGACCGGGGATAACCTAGCAAATTGGGAGCATTTACATATGAGTATATCGATGGTGCTTCAGTTGGTATGTTTTCTCCTCTTTTCATTTTTATCTATATAAATGAAATGCATAATGTAAATCATTAGCGGGACACTGACATATTTGTGAAATTTATGACCTGTCTTTCATAACCTTGTTGTGGTGGTGTGTATCTTATAATATCATATTATAGAGAAATTAAAAGTTTTAAACTAGAAAAAAGTGTTCAATGCTCCCTTAAATAGAAACATCATTTTTCTATTATATAATTAACAATTATTTGAAGTAGATTTTATATTTCTAGAGAAGTGAATTCACTGTTGGTGTTTATGCATGTATAATTATTCTAACTGTGGTTGAGTCAGAAGGCCAGAGCTTATGAAAGTTAAACATTTATGCTATAATAGTGCCTTATACTTTCTGACAACTAGGCATAGCAGACTTCTGCAATGGTAGCCTAGAATCCAAATTATTCGAATGTTTCCAGTCGTTTGCCTTATTCCGTGAGATAGTGCAATTTTTTTTGGTCGAGTAGTAGTCAGATAGGAGAGATATTGTTCTGTCATCAGAAAGGTTCTGTGAGCCCAATTGGCCAATATTCTTCTATGCTTTTAGTGTGCATATTGATATCATGCCATGTAAATATTTCTTTCTGATGCTAGATATATTCTGGAGAAAAAATCAAGCTTAATGTCGGAATCCATTTAACATGGTCATTGTGAACGGAAAAGTAATCAACTCAATAATATTGACGTAGTTACTGTTGGTAGAGAGCTTGTTTTCTGATGAATGTCCTTTATTTGTCTAGTTTATTATTGATTATTATTTTTAAAATATCTTGGCTGAGAGAAGGGTGGTAGTCTCCTGATGGAGTGGGGCTCTGATGGAGCACGAACACCAGTCGAGCTCAACCTATGTCTACTGTTTCAAGTGGGGCAGAGAAATTTTTTATGCCATTCTGATGTTGAATGCACAAAGGTGTTGATTACCTCTCGTAGAAGTGTGTAAAAAGGCCAAGATGTTTGAATAATGTGCTGCAGTACGAGAAGAGGATACATCAATAGCTTAATTTACTTATATGGATCTCCCATTAAACATGTGTTTTTCCTGAAAAAACACATGTTTTTGTCTTTTATTTGTACATCCATTAACTTTCTTTACTATTTTTTCACTGACGTGTGTAGAATTTTTAAACAATTTATGATGTGCCAAAGTCTCCTACGAGTTCATCACTTATGTTTCTTGATGTTTCATTTTCCTGGGCAGAGTCTCAGTGGTCAGCCATTATCCGGACCAGATATTGGTGGCTTTGCTGGGAATGCTTCTCCTAAGTTGTTTGGGAGATGGATGGGAATCGGCGCTATGTTTCCTTTCTCTCGTGGTCATTCAGAAACTAAAACAGTTGACCATGAACCATGGTCCTTTGGAGAAGAGGTTCGTCCTTTACCATTCTATATCATATTGTTGCATTTTATTGTGGATATAAAGTTATTTTTTTTGTTGTTTTTTTGGAATTGTTGATGAAATCAATCTTCCTGTGAACAAAATGTACCTGTATGGAGGAAGGGGAAGAACAAGAAAAACAAGACAAAATAGATAAAAATGTCTTGATGTCAAATTCCATGACAAAGAAGTAGAGTTATTTCCGGTATATAAATTTATAATGCCTTACCACATCAATTTGGGATCTTCGTAAAAGCTTATGCCAACTTGGGGATAAAGTCCCTTTTTACACCAAAGCCCAATAATCGTCCAATTCAGCGGGAAAGTTGACTTTTAAAGTTTCCAGAGTCAGCATTGATGCTTTTAACTCTCAATACTAAGCATAGCGGTCAGCTAGATGTAGAAGGTATGTGATTTGGTCAGAATTGAGGCAAGTTTTTGCTGTCTTATCCCGTTCAGATCTTCCTCTAGGAATGCCAGGGAAGACAAGCTGCTCATGTACTTATGTCCAAATAATAGAGGGTAGTCACTATTATTTGAGAGAGAGAGAGAGAGAGAGAGAGAGAGAGAGAGAGAGAGAGAGAGAGGTACAATTTTTTGAATGGAGTAAGGAAAGGAAGGACCGCAGCCTTTATTTTTATTCTGGTCAGGTGCTTAAATAACTTTCATCACTTGGGGAAACTTACGGAAGTGTTGAATATTGACCTTTTGAAAACATACTGCCTCTACGAATGTTCATCATTTGGTTTTTTAATTCAGTCAGTATGTCATATGACCAACCTTCAAAATTTGCCGCTCTTATACATGGAGAATATAATTCACATATCGTCTAATCTTCCTTAAAATGGGCTTCTTCATTAACTCCACTATGAACTTCATCTCAAACTTTGAGATCAGGTTCATCGGATAAACATTCAAATGGGCTTCATTATAGAAAATTGTAAACTTGGCTTCATCATATAGGTCCTCGAATGAGTTTTGTCTCATAAAGTTGTCAATTAGGTTTGTTTTATAAAGTCCAAGAAGGCTTCACCTTTGAAATCAATAAATGGTTTTCATCCCATAAATTATCTCGGGGCTTATGTATGCATTCAAATTAGTATATGTTTAATGAAAACGAAGTTTCATTTTTTGGCATCATTTTTAAGAAAAACTAATGCCAACTTTGGTTGGTGAGGAGGACTCAAATCTAAGCTTTCCCTAGAAAGCTGAATCCATACGTGAGCTCGAGACATAATAAATGCAATAAATTATCTAAAGTTTATTAAAGCGACAAAAGATAACAAGTTGCTTCAGAAACCATCTTAAAAAATTCATTTTCACTACGTTTCTCTTTCGATTTATTGTGTGCCACAAGACTTGCAATGAAAGCCAATTTACTCTGAAACTGTAGCAATTTTTTCACTTTTGAAGTAAACCTAAGACGTATAACAAAAAGCTATATTTCATCATTTCTAAGATGGATATTTTTTTAGTTTACATTTTTTCCGTTCACCGTTTTGGTTCTATGTTAAAATGTTTTGGTGGGTCTTGAAAGAGCTTATATTCACTGAAAAACTTTCTCATTATGAATTTTAACATCACTTTATCCTTACAGTGTGAAGAGATATGCCGCTTAGCACTGCTTAGACGCTACAGGCTTATCCCACACATCTATACTCTATTTTATATGGCTCACACGAAGGGTACTCCTGTCCTTGCGCCCACCCTTTTTGCTGGTATGGCTGGTGATATCTTTGGTACTTAATGACCTTTAGAAGTCTAGTTCTCATAGAATGATGGGTGATTTTTTTCACACAGATTCAAAGGATCCACGTCTGAGATCAGTGGAAAACTCTTTCCTCATGGGTCCTCTTTTAATATGCACAAGGTATTGGATAAATTATCCTTCAACTTTTGTATGCTCCGAGAAGAATAACCCTGTCAAGATATAATTCAAACATAGGTAGCAGAATAACACGTTTTTTGCCTGTTGTGTTTGTAATATCCTTCCGACTTTTGTATGATCCGAGGATAATAACCCTGTAGAGATATATTTCCAACCTAGGTAGCAGGAAAACACATTATGCATATTGTCTTCGCAAGATCTTTCAACTTTTGTATGATCCCAGAAGAATAGCCCTGCCAAGACATATTTCCAACTTAGGTACCAGAATAACACATTTTTCATATTGTGCTTGTACACAGATTAACCTGTTTCTATTTTAGAAGTGATATACAAGTTCTAATTGTTCATGTTGACTAAGTAATAAGATCAGCTAAGCCTTATTTGGCTACTCCATACATTATTTCAGATGTATATAGTTTATTATATGTATATGAAACAAAAAAGAAGAAATGACAAGAAAAAATTGTGATATGATTGATAAAGAAGAAAAATATCTGATAATTCTCTTTCTATGTTTCTCTATGTTTTAATTATTTACATGAAATATTAGCACATAATAGTTATACTGATTAGAGGAACACTTTCTTATTGCCTTCTTTTTCTTAGCACTGTACCTGAAAAAGGATCTGATGAGTTGCAATTCGTGCTGCCAAAAGGCATCTGGTTGCGTTTTGATTTTTGCGACTCACATCCAGTAAGGACTCGCAACAAATTTATGTCTAAAGTTTTTATCAATATGATTTATCTAGCTTATAGGTTACGCTACTTTATGGTAATCATTTCCTGAACACAGGATTTGCCAATTCTATATTTACAAGGGGGGTCAATAATTCCTATGGGCCCCGCTATTCAGCATGTTGGAGAAGCAAATCGAACTGATGAACTGTTTCTAATGATTGCTTTGGACGAAAATGGTAATCTTCTGTTATCATGTACAATCTTTCGGTTTTGATTTTGATTTATTTTCATTCGAATTAATTGTTAGTTTCACTATTAGTGAAGATGGTAATGCCGATAAACCCTTTTTTTCTTGTGTCACAAATAGATTCATTTCCAAAACTTCTATTTTAGTCTCATTTCCTGCCCTTTGGGTTCTGTGAGACATTGACGAGCGAAAGAGGAGTGAGATTGTCTGCCTGAACAATGGTGGAAGCCTTTTACCCACCTGCACGCCCCCCATAAAAAAATAAAATAAAAAAGGAGAAGAGAAAAGAGAGCCTTCAAGAGCTCTGTTCTTAATGTTTGATTATGAAACAATATTCTTCATACCATAAAAATGAGCTTAGATTTTTCTGAAAATTCTATAAATTTAATAATGTCTTTTTTTTTTTAAAACTGTCATTATCTGTAAATTTTTCTTCCTGAAAATTAATTTGCAAAGATGCCCTAGATTTTTCCATGGAGAGATAGGGCAGTCGAAAATTGGTATAGGCATTTGCATGTATTTAAAACTATGCAAGCAGGTTATTCTTTGAAATTCATAAAAAAAAATTCAGCCGAAATATTTTTTATTTGTGATTTTTTCATTGTCTACTCGTTGATTTGTGAATTCTTCACGGATATCTTTTTGACATATCAATCTCTTTGCCACACCTTTAAATATTTCATGGAGCATTGTTCTTTCCTTGATCTATTCTTCATAAAGAAGAAGAAAAGGCCACGTTTTCATGAATTGTTGTTCTTATTTCATTTTCGACGCATGATTCTGCCTTGGAGAGGGAAATAACGAGGTTCCCAGGGGAATTTTTCTTTTATAGCTCGACTTCTTGGCCAAAAGAGGAAAAATCTCATCTATACATTTTTGTTATTGTTCATGAAAATATAAGGTTTGTTTCCCAGGGTAGTCTAACACCATTTCTTTCACAGGGAGAGCCGAAGGAGTTCTCTTCGAGGATGATGGCGACGGGTATGACTTCATCCGAGGGGGATACCTTCTGACGTACTATGTTGCCGAGCTTCACTCTTCATCCGTCACAGTCAAAGTTTCTAGGGCTGAAGGGTCACTCGAGAGGCCGAAACGGGCCCTTCACGTGCAGTTATTGCTGGGTGGGGGCGCCATGGTACGTCTTTAGGATTGCAGATTCAAGCTTTATGAAGTGGATCCAAAACATCCGGACACCTAGCTCTTCATTTTTTTTATTTTATTTTATTTTATTTTATTTCTAAAGCGCTTTAATAATTTTTTTTGTTGGTCCCCGGAGATTCATGCACGGGGAAATGATGGAGAGGAAATTAAGTTTCCCATGCCTTCCAAAGCTGAGGTTTCAGAATTAGTCGCAGAGGGTGAAGAACAGTATAGAACACTTATCGGTAATCCTCTTTTTCTCAGTACTTTAGAGTTAAAACCAAGCCTCCTCGATTCCATTTTCCTTCTTTGGAATTTTCACAAACTGCATTTGTTTACAAGTTGTCTCAAAAAAAAATTTATGCAATGTATTCTATTTGTTACACTTTTTTTTTTCTGGAAATATTTCTTGCCACATTAGTTTTTTCACTGGCTAAGAGATTTTATGAACCATCTTCATAATACTGCTCGCGATTAACAATGGCGGGGTTTAGTTCATCATGCTGCCTTTTCTCGTCCTTGGGCAAGAACTGAATAGGTTCTGAACTTTGATGCTCTGTATGATTCTCATGGTCATGAATGCATGACCATGATAATCCAGTTTCCTGGAGAGAGATTCTTCAGATTTAAGAACAGAAAAGGGTAAGTCAACTCATTTATACATTCGCAGATATGCCAGCAAGGTTCAAAGTTGGCTCACTCTGACCACCCATACCTGAATGGGAAACAATCTAGGAATCCCACGCTGTTGGGCTTCCCTGATGGGCAATGATTTCTTTTGGAAATTCAGATCCACAATTAGCTATTCTCTGTACCCTGTGGCACATCCTAACTTATGTGGCTCGATGGGATTTTAATTTTCTGAGACATGAAATACCCCAGATTTCTTGATTTTTATTTTTATTTTTAAAAGTCAAACAACCTGTTCTCATTTCTCCTCACAATCTAATGCTCTGCTGATGAGTCGATGGGATTCTAATTTTCTGAGACATGAAATACCCCAGATTTCTTGATTTTTATTTTTTTTAAAAAGTCAAACAACCTGTTCTCATTTCTCCTCACAATCTAATGCTCTGCTGATGGGTCGATGGGATTCTAATTTTCTGAGACATGAAATACCCCAGATTTCTTGATTTTTATTTTTTTTAAAAAGTCAAACAACCTGTTCTCATTTCTCCTCACAATCTAATGCTCTGCTGATGGGTCGATGGGATTCTAATTTTCTGAGACATGAAATACCCCAGATTTCTTCACTTTTTTTATTTTTTTTTGAAAAGAAAAGGTCAAACAACCCGTTCTCATTTCTTCTGACAATCTAATGTTCTGCTGAGACGGCGATCACAGAAAACGCTAGGCGCATTCCAGACATAGACTATGCCTCAGAAAAGAAAGGCGTGGAAGTCACAAGGACCCCGGTCAAGATGGAGCGCGGCGACTGGGTTCTTGAAGTGGTGCCCTGGATCGGCGGCAGACTGATCTCCATGGTACATTCCCCTTCAGGTAACTCCCCAGACTCGCCCATGTCAGAAGCCCTTCTGGGACGTGGAAATGGGTGGCCTTCTTTTGAAGGGTTGACCTTTTATAACCTCGTTTGAGGGGCTGCGCAGGGAGTCAATGGCTCGCAAGCAGGGAGGACTTTGGAGGGTACGAAGAATACGGCGGGGCTGAGTACCGGTCCGCCGGATGCTCAGAAGAATATACGGTCATTCGGTAAATAATCGGGTCTCATCCATGGAAGAGCAGAGTAAGTTGCGGAGACCCAATTCTGGAATGCGTGTTTTGCAGGAGGCGAATGGCGGAATCTGGTGAAGAGTCTCTGGATATGGAAGGGGATATTGGGGGGGGGTTGACCCTCAAGCGGCGGATATCGATCCCCAAGGAAGACCCCAAGGTCTTCAGGATCGAGTCCTCAATCGTAGCCCGCAGCGTCGGCGCCGGCTCCGGTGGATTCTCAAGGTCTCTGATCAGTATCCCGACCGTGAATCTAGAGCTCCATCTCTCTCTCTCTCTCTCTCTCTCGCTGTTTATACCTACACACAAATTCATTTCTGGGTTTAATCATCATCATCATCATCTTCTTCTTCCTCTCTCTCTCTCTCTCTCTCTCTCTCTCTCTCTCTCTGTATACCCACTCACTAACTCATTTCTGGGTTTCATTATCATCATCATCATCATCTTCTTCTTCTTCTTCTTCTTCTCTCTCTCTCTCTCTCTCTCTGTATATCCACTCACACACTCATTTCTGGGTTTCATCTTCTTCTTCTTCTTCTTCTTCTCTTCTTCTTCATCATCATCATCATCATCTTCTTCTTCTCTTCTTCTTCATCATCATCATCATCATCTTCTTCTTCTTCTTCTTCTTCTTCTTCTTCTCCTCTCTGTCTGTCTGTCTCTCTCTGTGTTTCTGTGGGTAATCATTTTTTGTTGCAGGCTGATGTGCCTACGAGTGCACCCGTCATTCGCTCTCCTCCACCCCGCCGAGGTCTATATCTCCTTCACTTCTCTCGACGGCGAGAAGCGCGAGGTTTGGCCCGAGTCCGGAGAGAAGTTTCTGGACGGCAACCTCCGCCCCAACGGTAATCACTCCTCTCTCCCCTCTCCCCCCCTCATCGTCCTTCCATGCACGACCACCTTTTCTCTCTCAGTTGACCTACCCCCCCCTCTCTCTACATTTTCTCTCTCTGGGCAGGGGAATGGAGGCTAGTGGACCCATGCGCGGGGGTGGAGCTGGTCAACCGCTTCGATGTCAGCCAGGTGGAGAGGTGCATGATACACTGGGGCAGCGGCACAGTCAACATGGAGCTGTGGTCAGAGGAACGACCCGTCTCCAAGGTCACCCCTCTCGGGATCTCCCACGAGTACGAGGTCAAGCAGTTGACCTAACTCAAGAAGCCGTGCATCCCCCTCTCTTCCTCTACAGACGTTCGATGCTGGGCTTCAAAATAAAGGTCCCCGGTCTACATCTCATGGGACCAGCAGCAAACCGTTCAAGACACGTGAAGCTAAAACGGACACCCGGCCGATTTGACTTTCATTTCATCCTCTGACTTGACAAAAGTCGCATCTCGTTGACCAATTTAGCCCTCAACCATTTCTAAGAGAGAGAGAGAGAGGAGGGATATCCTATGTAAGGTAATATAACTTCCTCGATCGTTACAACGTACCCCAAAAAAAAGGAGGTCGCGGGTCTGTTACTTGCTGTCGGTGAAGTCGGCGTCGATGACGTCGCCGTTGTCGGCGGCTGAGGGGCCGGCGGAGTCAGCGCCGGGGGAGGACGATGGCCCAGCGGAGCCACCAGCGGCGCCGGGCTGGTTGTAGAGGGACTGGCCGATCTGCATGACCTCCTGGTTGAGAGCGGCCATGGCGTCCTTGATGGCCTGCGTGGTGGCGCCGCCGGCGAGGGCCTCCTTGAGCTCCCCCAGCTTCCCCTCTACCTTCTCCTTCACCTCCGCGGGCACCTTCTCCCCCAGCTCCTTGAGCTGCTTCTCCGTCTGGTACACCACCGAGTCCGCCTGGTTCTTCGTGTCGATCGCCTCCCTCCTCTCCTTGTCCTCCTTCGCGAACCTCTCCGCCTCCTTCACCATCCTATCCACCTGCCCACACCCCCCCATACACCATCATCGTCGCCGGGGAGAGAGAGAGAGAGAAAAGGGAGAGAGAGAGAGAGAGAGAAAGAGAAAGATTACCTCGTCGCCGGGGAGGGTGCTGGCGCCGGTGATGGTAATGTCCTGCTTCTTGCCGGTGCCCTTGTCGATGGCGGCGACGGAGAGGATGCCGTTGGCGTCGATGTCGAACTTGACCTCGATCTGGGGGACGCCGCGGGGGGCGGGGGGGATGCCGTCGAGGCGGAAGCGGCCGAGGGACTTGTTGTCGGCGACGAACTCGCGCTCCCCCTGGAGGACGTTGATCTCCACGCTGGTCTGTCCGTCGGCGGCGGTGGAGAAGACCTCCGACTTCGACGTGGGCAGCGTCGTGTTCCTGGGGATGATCTTCGTCATCACCCCGCCGAGAGTCTCCAGCCCCAGGGAAAGCGGCGTCACATCCAGCAGCACGATGTCGCTCACGTCACCCGACAGAACCCCAGCCTGGACGGCGGCCCCCAGGGCGACGACCTCATCGGGGTTGACCGTCACGTTGGGCTCCTTCCCGGTCAACTTCCTGACCAGCTCCTGGACCGCCGGGATCCGGGTTGACCCCCCCACTAGGATCACCTCGTCCAGATCCTTGAACGAGAGCTTCGCGTCCCTGAGCGCGTTCTCCACCGGGGTCCTCAGCCTGCACAATTTTTTTTTAAAGAAAATTAAATCAGGAAGATCGATAAATCGAGATTTTTTTTTTTTCTTCCCGATATCAGGTTGAGTTCTAAAGATGGAAGAAAAAACATAGAGCAGAAGCTATGGGGTCAACTAGGCTCTGAGGATGATGATATTCACCTGTCGAGCAGGTCTGAGCAGAGCTCCTCGAACTTGGCTCTAGTGAGGGTCGTCTCGATGTGCTTCGGGCCATCTGCTGTCGCAGTGATGAACGGCAAACTGCGACCAGTCACACACACACACACACAAAAGTCAACTGCTTCAGTACCATCTAGGTCCAAAGAACAAGAGATAAATAAATAATTTTACTCATCCGGGAGCCGCGGGAGGGGGTACCTGATATTTGTCTGCGTTAGGGTTGACAATTCCATCTTCGCCTTCTCCGCCGACTCTGTCAGACGCTGCAGGGCTTGCTTATCCTTCAAAAGATCAATTCCCTCGTCTCTTTTGAAGTCTGATGCTAGCCAGTCAACGACCCTCTGTTTCCATTGATAATAATAATAATAAACAAAATCAATGACACTTATCACCATGTAAGAAAACTGAGGTTTTCTGAAACTGGGTAACGCCAGAACTCCTTGTCTATCAAAAGAAACATGGATACGTGAACGCAGTAATAGTGGGTGGATCGGTGGGTTTGTACAGTCAAAGTCGTACAACTAACCTTGTCAAAGTCGTCACCACCCAGGTGTGTATCACCAGAAGTCGAAAGCACCTCAAATACACCATCCCCCACTTCAAGAACTGGCCCAAAAAGCAGCATTAAAATATATTAATTTAAAAATTATACACAAAACCTTTTCAGAAGTTGAGTTGGACTTGCATACTAAGGAGCGAAAAAATGATTAACTAATTGGCACATGTTTCATTTGCAGAAGAAGTCATCCGATTCCTAGCAGTATGCCAACTTATAATAACAGGGCTGTAAAGTGTGATGGAAAGAAAAATTTGAAGGCAATAGAGTACATGCTTGAGCATGGCAATTCAGTGTATACCTGAGACATCAAATGTGCCTCCTCCAAGGTCAAACACGAGAATGGTTTCGTTGTTCTTCTTTTCGAATCCATAAGCCAGCGAAGCAGCCGTTGGTTCATTGATTATGCGGAGAACATCCAAACCAGCGATACGGCCAGCATCTTTTGTTGCAGTTCTTTGGGAGTCATTGAAGTATGCAGGCACGGTAACCACCGCCTTTGTCACTTTATCGTTAAGAAACTTGGACGCGTCATCCACAAGTTTCCTCAGAACCTAAGATTAATGGAGAAAAATCAGTAAGCTGCAAGAAAACATGCAGCAATGAAACTAGATTATAATAACACCGACAATGGAAAAGATTAGAGTAGGCCCACTCTTCAACAACAGAAAAATAACCGTAAAAATATATTAAAAATGATCATCATTCTCCTATGTGCGGATTCGACGTATTCTCCCCACTCATCTGTATCTTTTTCCTTCTACTGTCGGAATCAAGAATAGATGGATCCACCAAGTAGGTAACTCTCGGGAGAGCGTTCAGCAGTTAATTTCATTATAATGGACTTAAATTTTGAAATCGTAAAACTTTTCACAAAGTGCATGAGGTCTATCAAATAATAATAAAAATAGCAGTAAGAAAAAGACCAGATAGAAACCAGAAAACTCAAACCGACCTGAGCAGAAATCTCCTCGGCGGCGAACTGCTTACCAATGGCAGGACAGTCCAACTTGACATTCCCGTTCTCGTCGCGGATGACCTTGTAGGAGACTTGCTTCGCCTCGTCGTCGACCTCAGCCATCTTCCTCCCGATGAACCGCTTCACGGAAAAGAAGGTATTCTCCGGATTTACCACCGCCTGCCGCTTAGCAATCTGGCCCACCAGCCGGTCCCCGTTCTTCGTGTACGCCACCACCGACGGCGTCGTCCGCTGCCCCTCCGCATTCGTCACTATCGTCGGCTTCCCCCCCTCCATTGCCGCGACCGCAGAATTGGTAGTCCCAAGATCAATCCCCACCACCTTCTCGCACACCACCTTCAGCGCCCCCGGGCGGGACATCCCACCGCCACCTCCGGCTCTTCTCATCCTCGGGAGCGCCGCCCGGGCGGCAACGTCGCCCCAGCGTTCTCCGAAGAAGACCGATCCAGAAGACGACACCCTCGACGTCTTCCTAGACCGCGGGAACCCCGCTCCAAGGGCATGGATGTGCGCCGACGACGCCGCCATCTTCACCAAAGAAGGAAGAACCACAGGCCGAACTACGCCTTACGACTCTAGGAATCGAAATCCCCGACCGCTAGCTAACCCTGAACACAAACCACACCGAGGAAGAAGACGATGAAGAAGAAGAACCTGGCAAGTGCACCCGTGCGGAAGAGCAGATAAGGAACAGAATCAGCTTCTAGAGAGAGGGACGGGGGGAGAGAGACGGGTGCGTGGAACTTTTTTAAGGGGAAGGAGTGGGTCAGATTCTGCCACGTTGTTACATCTAGAAAGGTCGACAGGAGGGGTGGGCCCAAGCCGCATTCGGACCGATTATTGGGCTTAGCCGGTACTTGGGGGAAGGAGGGGGCGAGAATGGTCTTTTGGGCTATCAGATCTTGTAGGTCATTCCAGAAGCATCCAGAGAAGAAAGTGAGAGGCCTAAATGGGATCAGCACTAATGGATAGTTATGGCCCAATTAGGCCCGGTCTATCGACGGGCCAGCACGGGGAGTCACTGACTTTCATGCCCATTTTCATGCCACGTGGCTTCTCACAATCACCCACGGTTCTCTCTTTCTCTCTCTCTCTCGCTATTTATACATGTATAGGGCCCATAGGGGAGTCATTGGACTGGCTCTCAAGGCCCAAATCATGGGCCGAGCCCTTTTCTTCTTGTCACGTCGCTATCCCACAATCACCCACTTGGCACCTCTCTCTCTCTCTCTCTCTCTCTCTCTCTCTCCCTCCCTCTCTCTCGGCCCCCCTGCGGGCCAACTCTCAAGGCCCAAATCATGGCGCAATCCCATTTTTTTCCTTTGGACGTGGCTGTCCCATAATCACCCACTTGGCATCTCTCTCTCTCTCTCTCTCTCTCTCTCTCTCTCTCTCCCTCCTCTCTCTACCAATGAACGTAGTGATTCGCATGCAGCCCCACTCGGGAAAGAGAGAGAGACAGTGAAAAATTGCAATCTTACAAGAAGAATCACCCCACTACAATGATCAGAACCAAACAAAAGAAAGCATTATGACTCCTAACACCAGAATAATCCACCGACATCCAGGTTGAAAGTTGGGAGGCGTACCTCAGACATTGACCAGCTTCACCCGACCGGTTTTCTTGTCCAGGTCAACCCTGAGCCCCAGCTCCGCCACCTCCGGCGAGTCAACGGACCCCTGTAGCTCCAGCTCCGCCACCAGCCGCTGGTTCTCAGCATTGCCCTCCAACAAGTAGCTCACCGCCAGCATCCCCCACTCCCTCAAGTAGGGGTTCTCCTCGTCAACAACGCACTGCTGCAGCAGCAAAAGAATCCCGTCCAGCTGCCGGATCTCGTCCTGAACCCGCCGCCGCCCGCAGGTGCAGTTGCCGATCACGGCCACGAGGTCCCTCCGAAAGCCTCTGTAAGGACAGACTTTTGACGGTGAAGAAGGCGGCGACGCCGCCTCTGAGCTGGGTCTCCGGTGAAGGGCCCTTCTGACGGTCGACGGCGGCTCGAGGTCCCGGAGAAGGCCAAGCAGGTGCCGGCAGATCCCCGAAGAGACCAGTGGCTCCACCAGGGGCGGCAGCGAAGAGGAGTCATCGGCGGCGGCGATGTCCCTCAGAATGGCGAGCGAGTAACCGAGAGCGTCCACTGCAGGAGAGCCGGTCGGCAATGGGGATGGTCCCCTGGATGAGAAGTCCACTGAAAGAGAAGCTCCTTCAAGAACACGAAGGACAGCGAGAACAAAGCCTCTGGAGATGTGGCCGCCTTCCCCTGGTTGCTCGCTCAAGAAGTCTGAGAGAATGCCCAGGAGGAACGCTTGCTCCACAGTGAACGGGGGATTTCCGTTCTCGGGCAGTCGGCAGATCTCGACGAAGCTGAATGAGCTGAATTCTGAGAACAGAAGGGGGAGGCCTGGTTCCTCGAAGCACACGCGAGAGAGGAGAAGCCGGAGCCAGTCCCCTCGGCACCCAGCTTACAAAAGTCAACCACGATGATCAGATCTTTCAGTCAACGATCAATCTTCTCAAAAAAAAAAAAACAAAAGGAAAAACTATTTCCTTCCTGCAATAGGATGGCTGTTCGGAGAAATTGCAGATGATGAACAGTCCTTGCCCTGATTTGGTCATAAAATTCACAGATGGAGAGGAGGAGAGAGCTGTACCTGAGCAGGCGGTGGAAATGACCTCCTTCAAAATGGGCAATCCCCTTCCGACGCCGCAGAGCTCGTCGAACCTCTCACGACTCTCCGGCCCCGACGAACAGCAACACATATACAGGATCATGCACAGAGCATCGCAGGCCATGGCGTCTCTCACCCTCGCCAGATCCAGAAAGCCGTCCGAGAAGAACTGCCGCCATACTGTGGACCGATGTCTCTCCCCAGCCGCCGCCACGTTCCCCAGAAGTTGGAGCCCTAACCGCACGACTTCCTCGGGGACCGGCAGCGCCCCCCTCAGAACGACGGAGGCAGCGGCTTCGGGGCCACCGGACTCAAGGAAGGCGTCCTGGCTCGCGGCTTCCCCGGCGCAGAGGTTCCTCAGAACCCGGAGGAAGGAGAGGATGCGGTGGAGGGGGAGATCAGGGCGGAGGCGGCGGACGAGTTTAGGGAGGACGATTCCCTCCGAAGCCAGGCGGGAACGACCCTCTGATGTTCTTGTTGCCTCCAGAAGGGCTCGAAGCGCTTCTCCCCCTAGATCTTCATCGTCATCCTCCTCTTCGGCCGTCCTCCGAGGCCCGGGGGACATGGATGGAACTCTTCGTAGGCCGAGGCACGGTTTCCACTGCGTGCGACCAGGCGGTGGAGAGACTCGCGCTGGAGACCGGCCACCGGAGGAGGTCTCGGTGGAATCGGGGAACTGGCGGCACCACCAGCGGCAACACTTCGCGCGATGTCCAGCAAGAGGAACGGCTTCGAGGTGTGTTCTCTCTTCGACGACTCAAAAAGGTGTGGTCGTGGGGTAATTGGGCCTATATGTGGACCTACATTGCGTTTTACCAGGGGCCCAATAGCCGAATTGGGTGCTGCCTTTGTGGTCTCCGAGTCCGGCACGGTTTTCTTCAAGCCGACTCGGCTGACTCAGCGTAACCTCGGGAGGTGGAGGGGGGGCTGCCCTGAAGACGACAAGAGTCCGTTGGGGCCCGGCTCCCGAGGAGAAACTGACAGAACCTCCTCGGGGATTGTCTTAGACAATTGTTTTCCATTTTATTTCGATAAACGAGTTGGTCTCTTAATCTCGATTAAGGATCACGGCTGCGCTCTCTTCTCTGCGTTAGATGCCGAGCACGTGCGGTGGTTCGGTGATGTAGTAGGTGACGGCGCATCGTGTGAGCCCCGAGTTTCAGAACCGTCGCCATTATATAAACACATACTGAATCGAGGGGTTTGCTTGTGGGCTGATTTTCTGCGACTCACTGCAAATCATCACTCTCTCTCTCTCTCTCGATTGCTCGCTCGCTCGCTCTCTACTTGCATGGCCGCCAATCAGCAGAGGAAGAGGGTGATCGGCTTCGTAGAGAGGCTATCGAAGGATATCTTGGTCCGTCGCGCTGCCGAGCTTAACCAGCCGTTCGTTTTTCCGGCTCTTGTCTCCGTTTCTGCAAGGTGATTCCCCTTCGTCCCTGTTGTCCTTGTTTCTTTCTTTCACTTCTCTGGTTCTCTCTGTAGTCCCTGCCTCCCTGCTCTCCTTACGGTGTGGGCTATGCATTGCTTTCTTAAGGCGTTTACCTTTTCCGCGAAAGAGGAAACTCTTGCGCAACTGATTTATGCTGCAATAGAGAGGGCCGAAACTCGATGAAAGCGATGATTTACCGGTGTGAGCCCCCGGAATATCAGTTTCTAAAGCCGAGAAACGCAGTACTCGACTAGAAAAGCGAATCGGCCGTGTTCTTCAAGTATTACCCCGAAATCGTCTGTGTATTTGCCTTTCCTCGTTCCTTTAGCTTGATTTTCATTTCCTTAAGTTGCCATGCTCTCTTCTGTGATCATTGCTTCAGCGATGGTTCAATATTTTGTTGCGGAAGCCCTTTCGTCGATTAATTATCTTCTCTCGTTGTTTCCTCTTTCTTGATATCTGGATGCTCCTGTAAATCCCCAAGATTCTTTGCCCCATCATGCTTGTTACATGATATGACGTTATTATTCTGCCCAATCTGAACGCGATGCGCTTTTGCTCAGCGCAGATCGTGTCTGGCCGCTCCTCCTGATATCTGGCTTATTTTCGCTCCCTTTGAGTTCTCTCTTCTTCGACTCCTCCCACAGGGATTTTTTTTTTTTTTCTCCCGATTAGTGGACAAGTTGGTGAGTAGGTAGCTGAGTGATTAGTTGTCCCCCCATTACTCCGTCGTTGTTTTCGAGGAGCGGACCCTCACGCTTTAATAATTCCCTACAATTTTTACCACCAGATCGGGTCGCCGATGCTCCTTGCCGCTTGTCGTCCTCGGCACGCCTCCAAGCATTTCGGCCTTTCCTTCCACTCACACGCACTTTCTGGTTGATGATGCATCGAACAGGAGGGGAGTTCACACCTCGTCGTACGACAAGAACCATGAGGAACACATCCGGCCCGCCCTCGTCCCCGACGATGTGATTCAGCCGCACTCCACGACTTCCTGGGGCCCCCACCCGGCCACCGGCGTCTTCGGCCCCTCCGACCGCAACCACCACCCCGACTCCTCCACCGCCTCCGCCGGGAACGGCGGCGCCGCCTCCGTGCTGGACCAGAAGGCCTGGTTCCGCCCCCTGGAGGACGTCGAGAAGCCTCCCCCACTCGCCTGAGCCAGGCGCAGAAGAAGCCTCCCTTCCGTGTGAGAAAGTACGTACTGCAATAATAATAAAAATAATGCTTTGCTTGGTCCACTCGGGGTACGTGTTTGCTGCTGCCTTGTTGGGGAGGCTTCTGCTGACTTGGCACCTCCGTGCGGTCTCCCCGGCACGAGAGAGGCCTTTTACTGTTGCTTCCCGGTCACGGCGCGGCAAGCCGATAGAACCTGATAAGGCTTTTAGCGTGTGCCGCGTCATCAACTTATCGATTTATGCACGTGTTTCCAAAAAAATTATATATATATATATATCTGGATGAGTAGAAGGGAATTGACAAAAGAAGCGGTTTTCTATTCTGGTCCCCTACAATCACGAGGGAATCTTTTCACTCGTTGACTCTGAGCTTAGCCTTATTTATAAAGATAAATGCCGTTTAAAAAGGGGTCTTCCTGTCTTAATTTCCAAAAATATATTTAATCGACTTTCTCTCTCTCTCTCTCTCTCTCGGAATATTCGAATATCCGTTATAATATCCTCTGGCACTTATCTATTCATTTGTTCTATTCCCGTCAAATGACGGGAATACCCTTAGCAGTGTCTGAGCCTACGGGCTCTATTCTCCTCGTCACATCCCACCGGCATCTGTCATTTGACGCGCTTGTCACATGGGAAGCACACCGAAGAGCTGCGGTGGCAGTCAGTGGTCCGGACATGTGGCCCACGATTGTGTCAGAAGTTTATAAAAATAAACGAGCCGGACGGGGCCGACACGCCGGCCCACAAATGTCCACCTTCCAGAAGGGATTAGGCCCAATAGTATTTATGGGCCTATCCAGTCAATCGAAGCCCTTTTGAAGGCAGGCCCTAACTGCGTCAACCTCCCTCAAATTATGATCTCTAAGTTCAGGAAGCACCACCACCACCGGGGGCTCCGCCTCCCTGGCGGCGACCTCCGGTGGACTGCATCTTCTGCATCCGCCGTTCCGCCGCTGCACTCGCTGGCGGAAGCCCACTTCAGGAACCAACAGGCGGCAAACGACCACCTGAGCAGCCTCTGCAAGCGCCGCCTCCACCGGGAGGCCCTCCAGGCCTTTTACTCCTTCCAGCTCCGCCGGCCGCCGCTGAAACTCTACCCCAGCACCTACGCCCACCTCCTCCTCGCCTGCTCCGCCCTCAAGTCCCTCCCAGATGGGCGTCGGATTCGCCGCCACCTCGCGCAGTGCGGCGGCGTTCCGCCGGACGTGATCCTTCACAACCACCTCCTCAACATGTACGGCAAGTGCGGGGCCACGGAGGAGGCCGAGAAACTGTTCGAGGAAATGCCGGAGAGGAACCTGGTCTCCTGGACCTCCCTCCTCACCGGACTCTCCCACAACGGGAAGGAGATGGAAGCGGCGGCGCTCTACAGGGAGATGCTCCGCTGCGGCGGCGTCTCCCCCGACGAGTTCACCCTGGGGAGCGTCCTCCGCGCCTGCGCCGCCCTCGCGGACGGTGAGCTCTGCCGGCAGCTCCACGTCCACGCGCTCAAAAACTCCCCTGCCGGCGCCGACCGCATCGTCCAGAATGCGCTCATTGCAGCGTACTTCCGCGCGGGGAGAGCATCAGAGGCCGCCGCCGTGTTCTCCAAGATCAGGGACAAGGACCTGATCTCGTGGGGATCCATTGTCGCCGGCTACTCTCAGCAGGGGTTCTACCTCGAGGCCCTGGAGAGCTTCAGGGGGATGCTTGCAGGGGGAGAGCACTTCCCAAACGAGTTCCTCTTCGGGAGCGCCTTCAGCGCCTGCGGAGCTCTCGCGCGGCTCGGCTATGGCGAGGAGCTCCACGGGCTGTGCGTGAAGCTCGGCTGGGCCGGCGACGCCTGCGCCGGCTCCGCGCTCGCCGACATGTACGCCAAATGCGGGCGGCTCGGCGCTGCGAGGAGGGCGTTCCGGCGGGTGGAGCTGCCGGACGTTGCCGCATGGAACGCCATCATCGGCGCCTGCGCGTACGCTGGCGAGGCCGACGAGGCGGTGGAGCTCTTCTCGGAGATGGTGGCGACGGGGGCCAGGCCCGACGACCTAACGGTCCGCTGCCTGCTCTTGGGCTTCGCGGGTAGCGACCGCCTGGTTCAGGGGCAGCTCCTCCATGCTCACTCCATCAAGCTGGGCTTCCTCCCCGATCTACAAGTCTGCAACACGCTCCTCGCCATGTACGGCAAGTGCTCGGAGATCTCCCTGGTGTTCCACCTCTTCGGGGAGATGAAGAACCAGAGCCGAGACCTGGTGTCCTGGAACACGCTTCTGTCGGCGTGCTTGCAGGAGAACCAGCTGGAGGAGGTCCTCCGGCATCTTCACCAGCTGATGAACTCCGGCCACCGCCCGGACCAGATCACCATCAGCATCGTCCTCAGCGCCGGCTCTGCGCTGGGGTACCTGGAGATGGCCCTCCAGCTCCACGCGCACTCTGTGAAAACCGGCTGGGAAGCCAACCAGTGGGTGACCAACGATCTGATCGACGCCTACTGCAAGTGCGGCAGCCCCGACGAGGCCCGGAAGCTGCTCCGCCGTCAAGACGTGGTGGCGTGGAGCAGCTTGATCATGGGATACGCGCAGTGCGGCCGTGGCAGGGACGCACTGGCCCTGTTCGACGAAATGCTCGCCGCCGGCGTGGAGCCCAACGAGGTGACCTTCGTCGGCGTCCTCTCCGCGTGCGGCAGGGCGGGGCTGGTGGCGGAAGGGCGGCGCGTCTTCGAGAGCATGCGCGGGGGCTACGGCGTAGAGCCCACGAGGGAGCACTATTCGTGCATGATTGATCTCCTGGCTCGCGCCGGGTGGCTGAGCGAGGCGGAGGAGCTGATGGAGGGAATGCCGTTCGAGCCCGACGCGGTGGCGTGGAAGGCGCTGCTCGCGTCGTGCCGGGCGAGGGGGGAGCTGGGGGTGGCGGAGAGGGCGACGGGGAGGATTCTGCAGCTGGATCCGGGGAATTCCGCGGCTCACGTGCTGCTGTGCGGGGTTTACGCTTCGCAGGGTCGCTGGGAGGAGGTGGCAGGGATGAGGAGGAGGATGAGGAGCAGCGGGGTGAGGAAGGCCCAAGGGAAGAGCTGGATAAAGGTCAACGGGGCCGTGCGGGTGTTCGTAGTGGAGGACCGGTCGCACCCGGAGACGGAGAGGATTTACTCCGTGCTGGTTGACCTCCGGCGAGAGATGAGCAGGGCCCGGCAGGAAGCCGCCGCCGCTGCCGCCGCAGGGTGAACGGCTCGCCGCTTTGGGTTTCCATCGTTGGAAGCTCTCATGGTAGAGATCCCACCCCCACCCTGCTCGTTTTCGTTCACTCCGAATCACTCTCTCTCTTTCTCGCCTCTATGCTTTTCCAAATCTGGAAGCTCTCCGATGGTAGAGATCTCACCTCCCACCCTGCCCGTTTTCGTCGACTCTCTCTCATGCAGGGATCCAGCATCTGGGTTTATGGGGAAAGAAGCAAGCCTAGCCTCATTGACCTTGGAGAGGTCGCGCTTGGGGTTTGACCTACAACCCACTTGATTCCGGCCGTTGAAGGGTACCTGCCCCCCTCCTTTATGATGTTACTATTCACATATAAATAAATTCTAACCTCTAACGTGCATTTCATACAGCCACTCGACCAAGCATCAGACTTGACACTTCGGAAGGATGAATCATGCATGGGCGATGAAGATCAGACAGATCCTCAAGGAAGCTGCTGCAAATCCTCAGAAACGAATGAGAGAGAGAGAGAGAGAGAGAGAGAATTTTCCCTGTAAAATCAACCAGATATTCTTAATTTCACGTAGCATTCACAAGATCGATGGAATCTGCAAAGAAGGAAGAACCCACTAGAAATAGAAAAGAGGAGATCATCCTGTACACAAACCAAAGCCAACCCTGGATGCTGTTTGATCCGAATTTTGGTGGTAATGACATACAATGGGGGGCGGCATTATTTACAGAGCCTTGATATATTATAAGACAGGAAGAGGAGGGGGCGGGGGGGTGAGGGGGAGCACAGACCAAGGCGAGGAGGAGCGAGGCGGGGCGGGGCGGGCGAGTGGGGGTGGAGATATTTACTGCACCGAGAGCCGCTGCAGGTGGTCCATGAAGACTTGGAAGCTCACGTCGTCGGTGAATATGACGTCCCCACCCGGCGCCGGCGGGTTGTCGGAGTTGTAGGTGACGGAAGGGTTGAGCTTCGCCAAGAGAAACCGCGCCTGCCCCATTCACAATTGAGAGATAAGAGTAAGAGATACATACATACATAGAGCGAGAGAGAGAGAGAGAGAGGGCAGGTCTCGGCTTCATGGGCTGAATTCCACTGAAGATGATCTTACCTGTGAGCCATATTGATCGCAGATGACCAAGCGAGGGACTGGAAATCGCTCCTTGATTATCCCCTCTGCCTCCTCACGAGGAGCACGCAGCAACTGAGCGAAAACCTAGGGAGAGAACCGGGTTCATCAGCAGCAGCCCGGACGTACTCATCACCCATCTCTCTCACACACAAAATAAATAAATAAAAACCAATAATGGAAGGAAATCATTCCCAAGGATGAGGATCCCGATGGACTCAACATCTTAGCCAGCAGCAAGAAAATGAGATGATAATTTTCCGTATCCAACAACCAAGAGAATCAATGATTCGAATAATTATGGCGCCTACTCTTTCAATAATCTAGCTTTTGATAAGGTTCAGGGAAATATGTTCTTGGAATGTTCTATAGATCATCTTTATCTAGTCAGTTTGTCCTACAACGATGAGTTGACTTAATCCAGCACCTGCAAGAACATTAATAACATGAAAGCTGCGCAGAAAAATCTCCTCTTTTTTTTTTCTTCTTCCATCATCTGAGCGTTGACTGATCTAAGCCGAAAATATATGGGTGATTGATTAATGAAGAACAGATCTTGGGAATGGTGAATCAATCACCTGGTGCTCGGGCTGATTCTGGTAGCCGAAGTTCCTCCACTGAGCGATCGTTGACCCATGAAAAATAACGACTGTGAAGTAGGAATCCAGTAGCAAGATCCTGTCGGCAGCAATGGCGGCCACATCGAGAAGCGCAGGTTCTGGGCCCGAATTGAAGGAGTAGGAAACCAAGGACGGCTGGATCATCACCACAGAATCTGCTACGTTCTCTCTGTTCATCATCATTCTGAAGTACGCCGTCTCATCTGGGCTGTTATTAAAGACCTAGATAGAACAAGAGGGAGGGCAGATTTCTGTCAGAGTTTCCAAAAAAATAATTTTTTCAAGATAAAATAAGCAAATTTTAGAATAATTTATGGTACCTGAACGAACTGAGATCGGCGGAGATGAAACATGAACTGGGGAAATATGGATAGACGAGGAGAGAAGCTGAAACTGGATGGGTTGTCCTTTTGATAATCTCCAAACCGAGAACATAAACGAATCAGCGACCTGTCGAGCCATCTGATGGCGTCAAACTCGGCCTGAAAATTTTTGTTAACCTCTGATTATAGAGCCCGAAGAAAAAAATCAGCCGAGAACGCCAGCATGCTGACAAGAGTTGACCTAGTTAGCAGAACGAACTTGGGATAATTCATAATAATTCATATTCATTCGATCAGAGAGGAATTTCCCGAATAATGCCCACATAAATATAAATAAAGGAACACGGACGTGGGCGAAAGGCGGATGATCATTCAGATGTGAGGAAACTGCTCCATAAGTCTGTTTGGACGTGAAGCTATAGCGGTTGATATTGCATGCATTACGCTAAGAAGAATCTAGGCAGAGAGGAATCTCCCGGGAAGACTGAAAGGTGGCCAGGTACTCAACTCACCGATGACATCAGTGGCGTTGACTCTAATGAGCAAGAACCTGGTACTAATGACCGATTTGTGCAAAGTATGGCATCAATTTTTATGAATAGTGATCCTCTTCGATGCAAGTTTCTGCTTTCTCCTGCACCATAATCACCCTAAAATAATGGGCAGGAGAGTCAACGGCCCGGACAAGCCGGTGAACAAGCCAGGCTTAAACACTTTTCAGTGTCCATCTCTAGTTGGCTTGATGGGTATCACAAGTTTACTTGATATACGAATTGAGGATTTTCCATTAAGTTCCACAGGTTTACTCGATAAAAGAGTGACTTGCATCTTAAAAAAGCAACCAGACGGGAGAATCAGATGATCTTTTGGGCATTTTCCAGTTCTGGACGATGAGGTGAGACTGTATCACATGGGTTCGTTGTATAGTTAAAGAGGTGATCATATCACAAGCGGTGTTTGAAGACATAGCTGAATCGATTGGCATGGTTCCATCATGAAGGATAGTTTGCTTCTGGCAAGAAGCGACATTGGTTTTGCAATAGTCACGGAAGAAAACGAAATGGATATAGAAAACCGTCGAGGGTTCTAAATAACCAGAAATATCAGCGTACTCCACAAATTCTTATCTGTTTCAGAGTAACGTTGTTTACATATCCTGCAACAGAGTGTAAATACCATGACAGAACTGACCTCAGTTTCCATATTAAAAGAGACCAGCCGTGCCATGACTACTGCTGCTGTTTCTTGATCAAAGCCAGAGCTCAAGTCCTGAATAAGGTAAATGAGTTGAGCAACGACATGAGAAAAGAAATCATGGCCACAGTGACATCTAATTTTGTGAAGATGTGTCATAACAACCAAACACAAATCTTGATACACATCAGAACAAAAATATGAAAGTGTAAAAATAATTTCAAACCTGACAATTCACGCAAGTATAGATAAATCATAAGCAAATTAATAACTTAAAAAATAAGCTTTTCGTCATTCAATGCTATGCTGGCGAAAATAAATGGCTCTAGTGCGGATGAAATGTAACCATTCGTTCCAATTGTAAGACCTGATGATTAACCTCCCCACGAGGGCACACCTGGGATGACAATCATTTCAACTCAAGTTTACCAAGATCCCAGGTGCTATGTGCAAAGCCACACACACTATTATTGAGAACATTAATGGGCCAACATGGATCGTCATATATCGTTGGGCCATGTTGAGAGAGAAAAAACGAATCCAAGTACAGTACCAGGCATTGGCAGAATACGAGATTCGTTGTCATTGCTACCATCATCATGGGATCAAAGGCCCAAACGAACACAGGAGAAAGCCCTGAGTCTCAGGCGTTAGGCACTGTATGACAACCTCCTAGCCTCCAAGGGCTTTCCTGTGCACGCAGGATTACCCATCGCCGGGTCCCACCATATTCAAGACTACTCCTTACCAGGCATATGCGACAATTGACCCTCAGCAGAAGCTATATCAAATGGATCCCTTGACCAGGGTACGGGCCAGAGTAGACGTCAACCAGTTCGAACCCAATGCAAGAGAGTACGCGAAATCAATATTCATGATTTCAATCCGTGCCGACAAAGTTGATTCTGCCAGAAACAGATCATGATGTGCTTTTCAGGAGAATAATGAGCCCGCCATAGAACAACAGTTTTTTCAGGGAGACACAAAATAATGAGCTCTTCAATTTCATAGACCATACTTCCACCAAGAGCAACAATAAATGGAGAATCGGACCTTCCTCTCATTTTCTTAGGGTAGAGTTTAATCCGCTTTCGGTTCACGTTTTTCTACCAACTATAAGATCATTGAACATGTACTAATTATATATGAAACAAACATCCAGAGGATTGTGATTCAGTAACTTTGGTTGGATGAACTGCTCAGGGTATTTCTCGTTCTTCCTAATTCCTTTTGCCATGTAAGACATGAAAATTTGACGATTGAAGGAGAGAGGTGAAATTTCACAATGAGCTCTTAAATATCAGTACAAGAAACGTTTGCACAAAAATGGCCATAGGCTTTCTTCTTCTGCAAGTAGAAGATTCATCGTCATATAAAGGATATCCTTTCTATTTTCCTCAATCGTTCAAGCTTCTGTTGGATCATAAAAGGTGAGGACACACCTCCACAACTAGAATTGCTTCACAAGGTCATAGATCACAATTTATATTTCTATTCTAATTGGTCTATCAATTTAGAAAAATAATGGAAAAAGAGGAAATTTTGAAAATAACATTTTCCCTTTTGAAACAGAAAGAAATGATCGATCCTCAATCAGTCTGGACTAGTGGGAAACCATGAAGTTTTCCTTGGGTAGACGTGGCCCAGGTCAACAAAGGTAGATCCCCTTGTAGCAGTTAATCAATCGAGATCTACGACTTTGAAAAGCCATGGCCATTATCAGGTTTAACATCTAGTCCTACATGACCAAGCTCCATGTGATGCACCCCTCTGGCAGGTTCTAAGAACGTCATTTAAAGAAAATATATATATTACATGGACAGTAATTTAACAAGAAGAAAAGCTTATAAGCCCAGTTGCCATCTAGTGGAAAATGATAGAACCATCAGGCGACAGTACAGAAAGCATAAACGAAAATACTTCGGCATAAGCTTGCCTGCAAACAACCAGGTCCAGCCACCCATCTTCTAGAAAGAGTTGTAACGCGTAGTCTCATTTGACCATCAGTATGTTGATAGCTGCAGCATTGATATCTGTAGTCTGTTAGTTAACCGTCTCCCAAACTAGCCGTAGAAATTTCAAATTTTTCGGAAATGAGTCAAAAGCTACATTTTAATCACATACTATGTCAGAAACTGGAAATAAAACTGATTACTGGTGGGTTGACCAACTGCATCTGCACCATCTTTCTTTGCAATATCAAAAAAAATACACAGAGAAGTTTTCTTGTCAAGACCACACATTTTCCAGGCACTCGTATTTCCTTGTCCAACTACTGTTTCTGAACATAAGGGACCTTTCTACAGAAAATCAAAATAAAATAATAATTAGATGAGAGTTAGTGCAGGCAAAGTAAACAAAATCGTTTTCTAGAATACCTTTTCAAGGGAAGCGCAAGGACCAATGATACCTTGAACTTTGACATCCTTGGAGCAGCTGACCTCAAACACACCACTGCAAACGATGTCAAAAATGCAAAACTCCGTAAGCTTTTGTAGACGAAAGTCCAAAGGATGATATAATAAGCCACGCCACAGATTTATTGTGAACTACGCATAGCCTCTCTGGAAGACATTCAAACATGTTACCCATCGGTTGCATGACAAGCTCAGCAACGCTAGGTGCAATTTATATAACTAAAGTTACACAACGTGACGCAATAAGAAAATAATGACCATTATTACCTTTTTTCATCAAATAAGATCAGATAAATAATGGAAAGTATATCCAAAGAATGATTCTATTAAAACTTTATATGAGATTTGATGAGAATATGAATGTTCCGGGTCAAAGCACAGTGAATAAGATAAATAAAAAAGGAATTTGATACAGTCAATACGCAAATATGGTACCATCAACAAATGGCAAATTCGAAGCGCATGCAGACGAAGCCTTACTTGAATGAGAGGCCAAGATCGAAATCACTTGACTGGAAAACACGTCTGAAGGAGTCTTTGAAAACAGAGTGGCCAAAACTTTCTGCAAGCACAACAATTCCTCCCGTCCTTTCAACTGCAACTTTAAGCTCTGCTACACCTACCTGTGATGTAAAAAGTCAACTTCAGTGGATCCAAGAAGTTAATATAAATATTTAAGGGCTTCAAAGAGGTCAGTTACTTTATGATATCAAAAACTAGTGAAGTGTCAAAAAGCCAAGTACAACGTCAAAAAACATGGTGTTCCCAATAAATAACTGTACCATTCCAACTGAGATTGTTGGAAAGAAGTACGAAGCTACAATCTTTACTATCAGACAAGCAAAAAAATAGGGATTAGAAAAAAAGAGAACTCTGTATCTGAAAGCTATACGATATTGCACGAGACAGAACACGACAAAAAAATACTTTCTAATTTAAATAATTGGATTTATTAATTATTTCAGCCTTACACACCAAAATGAGATGTGTCTTATGCAAACCCCTCATATTTTCATGGACTATCAAACATCAGAGAAAGGTAGTGGCCAAGGCAACACCTTTTCTTTTTATGACTTAAAAGATTGTGTGATACGAGATGCGTGCAGCAGAGGTGCAATTAGAAGGCAGAACATGGAGATCATTTCTAGGTGACAACAAACGAATGGAGTAGATGAATGGGCATGACCACCCATGGACCAGTTCGACAAATAAAATGCACGTGATTGTGTAAAAAAAATGCCATTTTACGGGACAATAAATCGATTACGAATGAAAATATGAAATTATGCAGATAAGCATGGGAAAAGTAGAACATTAATGCCTCAAGGAGATCACCGGTGAGGATATTATCACACAAAAATAAGATATAAAAATTCATAAATTCATAGTTATTTGACTCCTTGTAAATAACTGAGAGAATAAAAAATCAAAGCACAAAATTTATAGTGGTTTGACTCTCCTAACGTACTCTACTTCTCACAAATATGTCAATCACAATAATCAATAGGAATGTCACTGTTATATAGTAGTACAGAACGAAAACATAAGGTTGAAATCACTCTCTTCTCAATATTTTATATAGCATTTGGGTTGGGAATAGTTTTATATGGGAGATTTCACTCCATATGATGAGTATATATGATTCAAAACAGATAGTGTCTTTTGTGAAGTAAAGAACGAGATAAAGACTTAATTGAGGAAGAGCTCTAGTGGCCATATTGGTGAAAATAGTTTGAAGTTCTGTTTAGTAATGCCTTATTCAAGGAATTAGTTCATTAGGTGAAAATCAGCACATCTAGTACATAATAAAGACACACCAGAACAATTTCACACCAAATTGTTGCACCATGACTAGAACAGAGTCTTTACATAAAATGACTTGAAATTACCTGGTCAAGAGCACAAGCAAACAAGTCCAATACGTGCCCTTGATGCACAAGCTGCTTTGACAGTCCTTCATAAAATTTAACAGCTTTACTATAAAATGGAGTTGAACCCTTGTCTAGATCCTTGTGGGAACGAATTGGTTCTGATAAGATCTTCGAAACAATCTAGAAGTTTGAATTCAGAGACTCAGTACGATCTGAAAGAACTAGTAGCTTAGTAAAAATAGAAAAATCGGCAGAGAAGAAAAAAGGTAGAACATTGGCATAAAATAAAGAGGGACCGATTCTGAACCTTCTGTACTATATCCCCTTGTAACGTTCTTAGTTCAAGGCATGCTTTGTTAGCATGAAGTACGGATAGGCCACCTTTGATCCATATCCAGCACAATAAATATCTTCTTACACAATATTGATATTAATATTGATATGCATACTGATACCTTCGTCTATTATATACATTATTGATATGCATAGGATCCGAGCACAATGGATTTTCAATGGCACTTCTTCTAGATTAATAATAATTTAAAAGCCCATTAGTCTGAGTTTAAAAACCAGGTTTAAATCTATCAATTCTGTAAAAGTATCTACCTGGAAATATTATAAACCTTTTGATCTCAAACCCTATTCCCCTCTAAAACTTGAAAACAAAATAGAACCCTTTTCTTCTAATAATATACATATATATTAAAGAATTAGAGGATGTATCAGCGCAAAATGTTACAATTCTATAATAAAAGATGTACGCTGAAAAGGACAAAAAGAAGACAAGGGAATCTCCACATCATTAAAACAATGACACTTACAGCTCCAAGTCCCTCAGTCGATGGCCCACCAAGAAAGGCCATAATCCTTGCTCCTGAACCAGGCACACAGATCCCTAATAGAGAGGCTGCCAAACTAAGAGCGGCGCTAGTACATCTTGATGGCCGTTCGTTTGTTGGAACAGGCCAAGGATCTTTCTGAAGCTCCTCCAGGACCTAACATCGAATTCATCAAGTAATTATTTAAAACATCTAAGGAAACGATAACAAGGAAAAGTAAAAAAATAAAAAATATTTATGGGAAAATAACATAAGACACGCGGACAGTTTTCTCCTTGTAGGCATCAAAATTACCAAATTTTACTCTCGCACTACAGATTAAACAATCACTGCTTAAAAATTATAAAATGAAGGAAAAAGCATAACCAGTCGACTAAGGCCAGAAAAATTCATCAAATTAGAACAATTAAAATGCAGACACAAGATTTGACGAAAGAAAGTTTCAGTCAGCAGTCGTTAGAAAAGGTCTGAGAAGCCCAAAGAACAGGCCTTGGCCGGAAAGAAAAAGTTCGCCAGAACAAGAAAGGGAAAAATACAAGATTCTGGCGTTCTTACAATGATGCACAATAAAGTTCTCATGAATCACGGACAAAACCATGTGGACAGATTGAAATCCCATTATGGACATGACGTGAGTAGTTTCCATGCGAATAAGGAAATAGCTATCAGGGAGAACCCTGAAAGAAGGAAAAAAAGGCCAACCCTTGTTGCAAGAGTAGTCCGTTTTGCATTAAATGTAGTACATTTTCTCAACCAGCTTACGATCCAGCAGAAGGCAGAAGGGCAGACTTTCAATTGAAGAGATAGATTCAGAGAAATGGATGCATTTCATCATCCTGGGTACTAGTGATTGTGCATGATCTAACCAGGTGTAGCGTATGAAATGACATAATGTCCACAAAATATTTGCATAATGGTTTTGTTCCTCTTCTTTGGCGGGCCAGGCGATTTTCTTATCCATCTAAGTTATGCTCGAAAATGAGCGCTTCCAAGAACCCGCACGTACTAATGAAAAGCAGCGGTTACACTTACAGAATTAAGGACGAACTCGCATTCAGAAGCTGGCACCAGAAATCGTGCAATGCTCTCCGCTGAAAGCCCATCTCTGGCTCCGGCTATCACTCCCGTCAGCGGCCTCGTTTTCCGCGAAAAGAAGCCCATCTGCTCCAGAATCTGTTCCTTGGTCACCTCCTTTGTTCCCTTGAACACATATGTCTTTGTTATGTGCCCAAATCCCAACTCGTGAACCTGACACCCAAATTCGAGACGTTCCAAACGTTAACAAAGCAGAAGAGACGATCGACGAGACGTAAGAATACAAGTTTCGCTGGGGAGGAGTGGGGGGGATGAAGAACCTGAACATAGGTGCCGAAGGTGATGAAACCGACGAGGGACCTCTCAGGAAGAAGTTCCACGGCCTGGGCCAGGGCGGACTTGAGGTAGCCCACCTCCTCCTCAATCATGCACGTGTCAACCACAAAGAGGTACACGGGCGGTAGCACAGCACCTGAGCCCTCTGCGGCGGACTGATATTCGATGGTTGTGTACTGGCGGAAGAGCTCGGCGGGTAGGCTATCCTCGGATAGAGAGGCATAGTGATGAGGGAAGTGATTGCGTTGGTAGCAGAAGGGGCAGATCCAGATCTTGGTGGCATAATCAACGATGGCAAAGGGGTTGAGGACGGAGCGGCAGATGCGGCAGCGGAGCGGGGCATAGGGGAGCAGAGGTGCCTCAGCCCCCGAAGAGGAGTCTAGTGGCTTCAGAGGCGTGTATATGGCAGCTGGGGGGACGACACAGGCGGTGGCCTCCTGCTTCGTCCCCGGGAAGACGTTCCACGGCATCCGGACCCCGTCCTGCGCCTCGAGCTCCAAGAATTCCGCCATCCGTGCACCTCCAAACGAAGAAACTAGACGGGAAGCGTGTTCTAAGGCGACTGAGCAGGCGGCAGCGGGGCGGCGGAGCAAGCAGCGGCGGCGCGGCGGAGCAGGCTGCGGCTGTTAATAAGCGCCCTTCCCCTCTGCAACCTCCACTCCGACAAGAAGAAGACGGCGACCGATCCTTTCCTTCCGTTCCTACAATTGCACTACAACCAACGGGCAAGCCCTCGCAGTACCCAGCCCAATCCCGAGCCCGACCTGAAACTGCATCTGGCCCATTACCATATAAGTTCAGGCTCTGAGCCCGGACGAGGGCCCAAAGCCCGGTCCCGGGCCTTATTTCATAGAGGGAGATTGGCAGGGAGAGAGGGAGAGAGAGAGAGAGAGAGACGGGCTGGGCAATAAGAACACACGAACTTCCAGCCCGGCCCAACTTGTCACCCGCCACGCTGGGCACTGGCCACGTCCCCTTTCAGTCACCCGGGCCCTCCCCCGCAGTCACCGCTCTATGAGGCCGTGGGCGGCCGCTGCTGACAGCACGTGGTAGCGTCAAATGTAGTAGGTGCGGTGGGCCCACGGGCCCATTCATACTGATCTCTTGGGTTGCCAATTCATGTCTTACTGGGCTCATATTGGGCCTACAATTGGATTCTCTTTCCCTCAAAGAAGGCCGAGACCGTTCCCTCTCCCCCGTCCGTACGTGCCCCACCCATCCTCCCTGTGTAGCTACCAGATATGTATTTATTTATTTTCTTATTTATTTTCTTGTTTATTTTTATATATAAATACCTTTTTTTAGAGAGAGAGAGAGAGAGAGAGCAGAAGACAGAAATCAAATCAAAAATATCAATAAAAGGTGAGAACAGCAGACTCACATGATCACAGCACCGGCTGACGCTGACTTCCATCCGATGCCCAGGAAGTCAACTCATGGATTTCCCTGGTCGGAGGCATATACTTCCCCCGCATAACGGCCAAGATCTTCTCAGCCTCCGTTGACTTCCCACACAGACATAGGCTTCTGATAACCGAGGTATAGAGAAGCACGGTCACAGAGAGTCCCCTCCATTCCACCTCGTGATACAGCCGCAGAACCGCCTGAAACCTCCCAGCTCTTCCGAACCCACTGATGAGATCGGAGTAGACCGACTCTTCGGGCACGAATCCCTTCTCCAACAGCAGAGTCAACATGCCGTCGGCTCTCTCCACGTTTCCGGCCTCGCACAGTCGGCTGATCAGCTCGTTGGCAGCTTTGCAGCTAGGCAGAGATCCCTCATCTACCATCCTGTTGCAGAACTCCAAAGCCTCCTGTAATCTGCCCGATCTAGAGAACCATTCGATCAATACATTATACGTCTCCTCATACAGGTTCAATCCTGCCTGCAGCATCTCTTGTAGCAGGAGGTTTGCTTCCTCTGTCTTCCCCTCTCGGCAAAGAAGCCCGATCAGGGCTGCGCAGACATAGACGTTCATGCAGTGGCCTCTCTTGAGCATATCATCATAGGAGTCAAAAGCAAGCTCCGAGTTGCCGGATTCGCAGTGGGCGTGGATGATCAGACTGCAAGCAACGTCGTCGAGAATCATGTTCTTCTGCAACATCCTCTTCACCAGCAGAATCCCTTCTCCCACCCTGTTTTGCTCGATGATCCTCAGAACCAGTGCTGCGTTGACAATCACAGTCGGAGAGCATCTCTTGATATGGATACTATCCAGGATATTTACCACTTTTAGCAGAGTTCCCGCTTTGCACATTGACTTTGCCAATATTTCAACGGTGAACTGATTTGGATATATTCTATTAACAACCATGTACTCATAAATCTTCCAAACCAGGTCGTTTTGATCGGATCTCTGCACCACATGCAACAGAGTGTTGAACGATATGAGACTCGGCAAGAACCCACGTTCCCCTAGATGGCTGCAAACCCTGAGGGAGAGGTCAAAAAGTCTTAACCTGGAACAGGTCTGGACTAGAAGGTCAAAGACTCTGGGACCAGAAAGAACGACTTCATATGTCGACAAGAGCGTCTCCACGACTGCAGATAACGAGGCATCGGACCCGGAGTTCTTCAGTATGACAGATTCCAGCAGTGCCCTAGCATCCACAGTCAACCCTGCCTGGACAAGGATATGAATCATCAGACAGTAGGACCTGACCCCATGATCGTGCTTCTTCCTTCGAGAACACCAGTGGAAGAAACCCAGAGATCTCTTTGCATTAATCGGTTCTCTCAGATGAACCAGCACGCTATCAACAAGTTTACTGCTTAGTTCTACTGATCCGAGCCTTGCATCGAGACTATCCCAGCTCCCACGTTCCCTTAAGAGATCACAGATTTGACCTAGTTCTCCCTCCGTGGTTTCCACTTTCTTCGTGGAGAATCGGATCGATTTTTCCCAACTCAATGAGATCCTCTTATCGTGAGCAAACGCTAATCCCAAGTCTTTTATTGAAAAATCTCGAAAATTTCTAAACAGACGATTCATAAATGCGATATCAACGCTCCAACACCAAACTGAAGATGGAATTCAGATCAAGTGAGCAGATGATATTCCGATCTCTTCCAAAAATACAGGAATCGACCCAACACCAACCGAATACACCAGACTCATACTCTGAAAAATAAGCAGATTAGCAGCCAGGAACATCATCAGGCCCACATTTCTTCTTCAAACAAGAGCTATGATCTCCAGCTACTTGAATCAGGAATTTTCAGAATCAGTGATGACTCGATTAAATAGCTAGGTCAACAAATAAGTATAAACTACCAGAACCGCGATCCACCCAGGCATGAATCGCCGCCGCAGCACGCTGATGAGGGGAGACCGTCTTCGGAGTCCGCGTGCGCCAGCCCTGCCCTCGCGACGGCCATGGCCATCCCGACGGGGAGGATCGCATCCGCAGAGTTGAGGCCGTTCCTGCCCCCGAGGACGAAGTTTCTGAGTTCTCTTTCTTGCTCACACTCCGAGAGAATACGTACTGGGCTGGGCCGGTAAAATGCCTCACCAGAGAGAGATAAGTTGGCCCAATTTGGGACTTTTTTTTTACCAACATTAATATATTTATGAGGAACTACATTTTATTGTTATAGTATAAATACCGACATGGCACAATGTCCACTTGGCGGTTTGCTATTGGAGGAGTATTGGAGAGAGAGGGAGAAATTAAATTTTAATTTAGAAAAAGGATGAGAGGTGAAATTATTTTCCACAGCAAAAAAAAGGTTTTTTTTATTAAAAGGGGAGTTTAGAAGAATACCCCCCACCGAGGAGGCACCACGCACGAAGAGCCCGGCAGCGGCGGCGCCGCCACGGCCGGCGGGCATCTGCTCTGCTACTTGTCGATGGGAGATCCGTTCCCAGCCGGGGTCCATCGTGGGCGCATATTAGTGCGACACGTGGTGAGTGTCAATCCGCTCCTGCGTGACGTGGATCCTGTGGGCGGAAGGACAGGGGATGCCTGAAGGATGAGATCCAAATAGGGAAAGACGAGGGGGACTCTTGCATATTTTCCCCGTGTTTTCCGACTTGTCCGTGATGACGAGGTCGTGCGTAATCTGGACCGTCCATCGGTCTCCTAATCTAGCATCGGGTCGTAATGAAAGTCATAGCTCTCCCTCTCTCTCTCTATCTTCATCTCGATTTTCTAGGGTTTGTCAGGATCTCTGGAACCTCTCCGATCAATCCGCGATGGGGGAGGGGAGGGGATGATGGAGTAGTCGCCGGCAGAGGGAAGGGCAATGCAAGCGCCGCCGCAGGGGGGAGCAGGAGTTGGAGGAGGAGATAGATTTGTGGAGGTGCGAGGGGAATGGATCTGAACCTGTACCTGGGGCTTCCCCGATTCTCCCGTCGTCTGCGCAGGGTCGACCTCGGATCTGATCTCGCCCTCGGCTCTCCCTTCCGAGCGGCCTCCTCTAGGGAGGAATCCGGCGACTCCGCCACCGATATGCCGAGGACGTCGGAGCCGCAGACCGGGTACTCTCACGCTCCATATTCCCCCTCCCGCGCCGCGATTGTTCCTCCGCCCGATCGGCCACTCGTCCCTTCCGATCACCCTTCACCGTTTGTTACCAGAGCCAGCGATGATCCTGTTCCGGGGTACTCGCCTCACTGCCCTTCGTATCAGCTCCTAGCCCCTTCTTATGCGCCGATCACTCCTCCGCCGGTTCTGTCCTCCTCCCGCATCACCGATGCCCCTTATGCCCTGTCCTACATCCCGGCTCAACCCTCTGATCGCGATTCAGCGCAAGCTTTTTCCGGGAGTGGCGACAGAACCAGTCATCTTCTATCCTCGTATGGTTCCCCCTCAGCTGATGCTGGATTGGGGGATGAGGCTCTGGTTGCAGGTGAAGGTGGTGGTGGGGGCACATCCCATGTTCGGTACTCCCCCTCATACATACCTCTCTCAGCAATCCCGGAGGGCCACGATGATGTCACCTTCAACCCTTACCAGCCGATTGTCGTCGGGTCGGCAGAAATCTTCGAAGCGGGAGATGGGCGTCCTCTGCACCAGGATTTTCTCGACCCCCAAGTTCGCTTCAGGAGATTGATTGAGCTTCAGCGCCGCTCCCAGGGGAGCAGGCCATATCAATTATCATACCCCTACGGAATTGGGCCTCCCGATTACGACCTTCTCCGCGAAATGAGCTCTGAGGAATCTGCAGAGAATTCTAGGAAGAACAATGTGGGCGAAAAAGGCATCAAGGACGAGGGTCTGGAGGAGAAAGAAGATGAGAAGGATGCTTGCGGAGTTAACTTCGAGTGCAACATCTGCCTGGACCTCGCCGAAGAGCCAGTCGTCACCTCCTGTGGTCACCTGTTCTGCTGGCCATGCTTGTACCAGTGGCTGCACCTCCACTGCAGCCACAGCGAGTGCCCCGTCTGCAAAGGAGAAGTGATCGAGGCCACCATCACGCCTGTATATGGGCGAGGAAACGCTGGGAGCAAGTCGCAGAAGGGGCGGAAGGATGTAGGAGACTCGGGCTTGAAGATACCCCCAAGACCCCGTGGCCGGAGGGTCGAGAGCTGGAGGCAGAGGATACGAAGGCCCGTGTCGAGAAGGCTCAGCATGGGTATTTCCAACACCTGGCGGCGCGTTCTGGGCGAGGAGCTGCCGGTGGCCGATGTAGCCGGCAGGGACGTCGAAGCCAGCCTGCAGGAGACAATCAACAGCGCCCACCGTCGAGTTGCAACCAGGTTGAGGGCCCGAAGACCGGCAAGAATGGAAGATAGCTCGGAAAATGGGTCCTTGGGGATAATCCACCCGTTGCCTCTGAGAAACTCTGCTCTGAGCCGACAGATTGAGGGGAACAGCAGCGCAATCATCGGCCGCCTGAGCAGCTCTGCCAGGTTTTCTTTTGGCGGCTTGAATGGCAGGAGCGCCAACTTGTCCAGAATACTGGGCAGCTTGTCTGCAGAGAGTGGTGACCATCCTGGAGCTTCTGCGTCCTCTGGGAATCCTCAGAACGCCGACGACCTGGCTCACCGGCACCACCACCCCACTGGGTCAACCCAGCAGGGTATGGACCAGGCCTCTGCCTCTAGCACCATGGCTGTGATACAGGGTGACGGGGTCAACGCGGATCTGGTGGCGGGGGCAAACAGTGCCGGATCTTCTAGGCCCCTGCGAAGTAGGGGGAGGAGCAGCAGCTCCTTGGATGTGGATGGATGCGGTCAACATGGACGTAAGAGGAGAAGAACGAACTAAAGCATAAATCTTATACTGTATCTGGAATTCTGCAAATTTGCTCGCACATTTCATTCAGGTATGTCAGCGAATCATTTATTGAGCTTTTTGATCTTGATTTCTGCTCTTACATTGATCGGAGACGCTGGTTTTGTGAATATATGATTCATAGAGCTTCTTCTTGCACTCCCCAGCTGGGTCCCCTCTCTTCCGATTGCTGTCCTGCCCACTCATCTCACACTTTTTCCTGCATTTTTCTTGGATGAATGAGAAAACCCTACTCGATCCACTTCATCATCTGCTTGTTGCGAGGGAGATTTCTTTCTAGATGGTAATTATTTTCCGGCACTTGTTGGCTGATCTTCTCTAGTAAGGGAGAACTTCTTGATTCATCTCTCTGAAAGAAAGCTTGCTGGAGGAGAGAGAATTTGTTGGATGGTTTGCAAATCGCCTGAGAGAGAGAGAGAGAGAGAGAGAGAGAGAGAGAGAGGGTCTAAACCAATAGATTGTAGAGAGAGAATTTGTTGAATGTTCAGGAAGCAAATTGCCTGAGAATTTGTTGGATTGTAGAGAGAACTCATCCTTCTTTGAACCACGGGCTCCAGCATTCTCTCTCTCTCTCTCACTGTCTCTCCGTGCCAGAAAAAGGATCGACTTTTAGAGAGATAAGAAGACAGCTTCTTCTTCAATAAAAGAAATACCCACGGAAACAGTAAAGGGAAAGTATGCCTTTTCAGAGACGATAGTCTCTCTCTCTCTCTCTCTCTCTCTCTCTCTCTCTCTCTCTCATAACGGGTAGCCGCAGAGAAGGATCGCTCGCCAGGTCAGCACTGGAGACGCCCCGGGCTAAAGATGCAGTTGTCGTCGAGTGTCGCCAACGCCGCCCTCTTCTTCTTCTCCTCCATCGCCTGCAACTGTGTTGACCAAACCAGCAAAAAGTCAACGAACGAGAGCCGCAGTGTCATATACTACACAGGCAACGTGATTGAAGAAACTCTCATTACCTTCTCCTTGACGGCGGCCTTGAGCTTCCTCAGGCTGGTGGCGCCGTTGTACTCCGCCGCCGCCACCCTCTGCTGCTTCTCCTCCTCGAGGGCTTCAGAGTTTTCCTTGTTGTCCTGGAGAACCACACACAAGTCGAATGCTGCGTTTACGACGGCTACTTCTCCGGTAGCGAGGCCGTCGGCCACCGGGGCGGCGCCGCCATCTTGTTCTTCACCCACATTGACGGCGGCGGCGGTGACCTCCGCCACCACCATCAGGTTCTCGGTTTCCATCGCTGGGTTTTGCGTCTCATCCGATTCCTTCTGCTCGGCTTCTACTCCGGCGGTAAGACCCTCCGCCGCCAGGCCGCCGCCGTCAAGTTCTTCCGGCGTCACTGCGGCGGCCTCCGCCACGGCGGTCAAGTTCTCCGCCGCCTCCCCACACGACGGCGTCGAGTCACCATCGCCGACGATGACGGCAACTTCGATCGGGAGACCATCCTCCACCAGGCCGCCGCCGTCAAGTTCTGCTTCTTCCGACGTCACGGCGTCGGCGGTGGCCTCCGCCACCGCGGTCAGGTTCTCCGCCGCTTCTCCATCCTCCGGAGTGTCGCCGACGCCGACGATAGCGGTCACCTCGATCTGGTGAACCGCAGGATCAACGTCGCCCTTCACATCCATCTCGATGTCAGAGTCCAGTGGAGCAGAGATCAGTGGAGCAGAGATCTCCTCCACCGTCGGATCAATGGGCCCATCGGAGACTTCAGCTTCCTCGACAACATCCACTGTTGGGGCGATTAAGTCCTCAACAGCCGTCTGATTGCTGAGCCCATCAGATGGAACTGTTTCGACTACAAAAGGCTCTTCCTGCTCCGCCATCTTCCCGTTCATCGTCTCCGGCGCCGGCGAATTGTCGTCCTCAGCGCCGTCTTCTTTTCCGGCGATGGATCCATTGATGGCAGGCAGATAGCCTATTGTCCATGGAGGCGGATTTTTCAGGGAGAAGCAAACAAGAGAGAGTAAAAGAGATGATCGGAGAAGCAAACCCTAGCCATACCCTTCGCCACCGTCTCCGTCTCCATCACCGGCGCTTCCTGATCAGCGGCCGCCTTCCTGGAAGACATCCTGGTCCGATAACGAGACGTCCTTGCCCCGTTCGCCTCCTCCGGTTGCGCGGCAGATCTGGTTATCCTCCGAGTCGAAGCCCTCCTTGCTGTCGACGCCGCCGGAGTATGGAGAGCTGCCGCATCGCCGCTGCCTGCTTGCTCTCCGATCGACGATTTCTCGACCTGAGCCGCGGCTCTCCTTCCCCGTGCGGGGCGTGCCACCGGAGTCTTTAGCAACTCGAGATCCGTATTCTTCCCGTCGTCTTCCTCTTCTTCCGGCACCACGCTGTCAACTACAGTCCGAGTTCGCCGGCCGCGGGCGCTGAGAGTGGTGGGGGAGTTGGGGATCTCTGATGCAACGTTCTCGTCCTTCATGGACGCCGCCATCCTCACCGTCCCACGGCGAGCTCTCGCCAGGGAGCTTCCCGCCGGGTTGCTCTTGCCGACGGCGGAAGTTCTCCGGCCGACGGTCTTCGGAGACATTCCCTGCAGGGATTCCTTGACGGCATCCAATCCTTCTACCTGGTAAAAAGGCAGAATCCATTAGAGACGCAGAAGATGCAAGAGAGAGAGAGAAAGAAAGGTATAGATAGAGCAGAGAGAGAGAGAGAGAGAGAGAGAGAGAGAGAGAGAGGGGGGAACATACCATGGAAAGAGCTTGGAGGGCGTCGGCCATAGCGATGTTGGTCATGTTGGCCGGGATCTTATTCATCTTGCAGAGGCTCTGGAGGTCCCTACGGGGCAGGCTGTGGAAGTCCATGGCGGCGCGTCTGGTTCTCGTCTACTTTCTCAGAGGTTGAGAAATCTGGAGTATCGGCTGATTCTGGGTGTGGGGTAGGACGAGGAGGGCTCTATATATACACCAGAGCTAGGGTTAACTAACCAAATTTGAAAAAACATGACCGTTGTGGCTCGCAGCCCGGTATTTTTGAAAATGCGACCGTTGCAGGGATCCGAAGAGATAGAGACCCGCTCGGTCTCCTCTACCCTCCCCAGGCGGACGGCCGAGATTCGGGGGGGGGCGAACGATGGCGCCACGTGGCAGAGGATTCAAAACTGACTACGCCCCTATTGGACCCCTCGAGCCCACTAAAGCTGCGGGCCACACATTGGGCCTTTTTCGGTTCGGGGAAATCGGACGGTTATTGGATTGGGGATGATTCGACGGCCCGCGGGGCACCGTACCGCGCACGAACCCAGTCTTCTTCCTTCCTCTCTCCTCCGGCCACCTCGCCGGCGACCGGCGATCCTGAGAGGAAGAAGACGATCGATGAACAACTATAGCTGCGCCGGGCACAACAGCCGCCCCTCTTTCTCTCTCTGGCTTTCTCCGTCAAAACTTCGTTCCGATCGACTTTACACGGGCAGACGGGGTGAACACTCCGAGGGAAGGACAATAAAAATCAGTAGCTTCCTCTCTCTCTCTCTCTAATCATCGAGATGGGGTCACCGGGAAGGGCCGTCGAATTGCTGGCCGCTCAGAGAGGAGCTAGAGGGAACGGAGGGGGGGAGGGAGCCGTTCTCCGGCGGCGGCGGAGCACCCCACCGCGGCTCGGCCTCCGGCGGCTCCACCACATGGACGGCGCCGTCGCTCATCCCCAAGGCGAACTGGTTGGGCTCCGCCGGATGTGCGGCGATCGCCACCGGGTACGCACTGCAGCAGGAGGAAGAAGAAGAAGAACTCGTTAGATTAGTCATCCACGCCAAAACCTCGGGGACGATCAGGAAGCCAACCAGGGGACCGGCGGCGGCGCCAGGTACGCCGACGGCGCGACGCGGCAGCGCAGCCGGAGGCCGCCGGCGTCGAGGACTCCGACGGCGCCGTCGCAGAAGCCGGCGTAGACCAGCAGCCCGTCGCAGGAGTAGACGGCGCTGGAGATGGGCGCGGCGAGCGAGTCCCTGGGGCACCACTGCAAAACGACGATCGCGGCGGAGGTGTGAGCTCAGAAAGTAGAAAGAAGGAAGCACGGCGGCGCCACCACTACCAACCGATCTCAGGCACTCGAGCTTCGCATCGTAGACGGCGAGGTGGGTCTCGTGGACCACCAGCAGCTGGGTCTGGTCGTTGTGGAACTGGACTCTGGTGTCGCCGGTCAACGGGCCCTGGCGGCCCGGCGGCGGCTGGATGAACCTCGACTTCTTCTTCTCCCACCCGTCGATGCTCCACGCGCAGAGCTGCGGCCGGCACAGAACATCTTATCACTATGACTGTTGATGGGCATCTTGATCATGCTCTGTAGCGAAGAAGATGGATGCTTTTCGGATGGTTGACCTGAGCGTCGGCGCCGGAGGAGACCAGGACGTTCATCAGCCGAGAGAAGGCGAGCCCGGTGATCTGCTTCTGGTGACCCTTGAGCTTGGTTTTGACCTGTGGCGAGGGAGAGGACCCAAAGTCGCAGGGATGTTAGTCAACTTTGAAAGCCTCGTCTTCTTCTCCAATGAAATGGGAAGGAGGCGGATTTGGATCGGAAGGGTTGACCTCGTCGACTCTGACGTTGTATATCTGAACGGTGGAATCGTCCATCCCAATGGCGATGATGTTGTTGTCCTGCGGGTGGAATGCCAAGAAGGTGGCCGACGGCGGCGGCGGCATGAAGGTCGTCATGACCTGGAGGAGGGTGATGACAAGGTCAATGAGGAGGGGAAATGAGGAGTCAACGCGGAGGAGGATGGATTCAAGCACCGCATTGGAGGAGGAGGAACCTTGAAAGTCATCATGTTGAACAGAGAGACCTTCCCCCCGGAGGCGGACATGATGTAGGAGTCGTTCTTGGACAGGGCGAGGCAGGGGGTTGACTTTTCGGGGGGGCTGACCTCCGCCGTGTCGTTCATCATGGGAGCTCCGTTGGCGGGTTGCCACAGCTGGGGCATGAAAGACGCGGTTGACTGAAATTGACGACCAAACACCCACCTTTAGAAAATATTCAACAGAGATAGAGAGAGAGAGAGAGAGAGAGAGAGATTGCCAACCTTTCCAGAGGGATTGCCCTCAGTCCGCTGCCATTTCCACAGTTTATGGGCAGCATTAGAACACAGGGCCAGCACAGCTGATCCAGAGTTGGTGTATAACAGCCGTACAATCTGCAACCCACAGAAGATCACACCATATTTCTTTAAAACAGATTTTTTTTATATAAAAAAAGTATTTTCTGGTTCCGACAACATAAACTGGCACTGATTTGACCCACCAAATCTACATATTTATGGAAAGAAAATCATGAAAATGGGAAACCAAGTCAGCTGCCGCCGCTTCATACCTTGGCTACTGCAGCAGTCGGATCTGACAACCTCAGGGCTCTGAGCTGATTTGGGTCAACGATGTCCACCAGTTTCCAGGCTCTGACCTTGTCCGAGTCATCAGGGAGCCTCTGCTTCACATCCACCATCCTGCTGCTGTCCATCGAACCCTGAGAAATTCCCCACACTCAGACATATATATATATATAACAAGCACACCACCACAGCCGCCAGGTGACGGCGAGGCAAGAGCAACTGTTACCATTCCAGCAGCCATCGGTATGGAAGGTAGCAGGGCTCTGTCGGGTCGTTCCATGGCGGCGGCCATGGGAGAAGAGAGATTCACAATAGGAGCCTACAAAGGGGAATATCGGTGAGATTGACAACTGTTTCAGATCAATCTGAAAGCCCAAGTGGGAAATAACGGGTACAATACTACCTTGCTGATCATAGGCTGAGATGAGGTGCGGGAGCCCTCGAAGGCTCTGCTCTCCAGCATCCTCATGAGGCGCTGCCCGTCAGAGCTCGCCAAGATCTTGACTCCGTTGTCATTGGTGGTGACTGCAAGCAGAGAACCCTCCCTGTTGAACCTCAGACGTGGGCTTGCCTGCATTTTGGGAGAGAAGGATGAGAGAAAGATCACAAGGAGCCCAATTTCTGCTTTGGGTAAAAAAATGATCATACTGACGGGCAATCCGCCCTCTGCGTCTGCAGTGGCGAGCACATCCTTATTGTCCATGTCCCAGAATTTGATCAGGAACTCGTCTCCGGCGGCTAAGAACCGGTTCTTCGTCGTGTCGAACTGAACCACACCGAGGGAGGATTTTCTGAAACCAGAGTAGGTCCTCTTGATGGATCCTTCAGTCTCGTTCCACTCGACCAGGTGAGATTCACCTTCTTTGCTCGTTCCACAGGAAAAGAGCCTACACAGTTGGAGATGTGAGGGTAAGTGTCCAGATTCGAATGCAAGGAAGAAGCACGCACACAACTTCACCTAGTGCCATCTGCGCTGTATGCCATTGTTGTGCACCAAAGCCCGGGAGCATCATAGTCAACCCTGGAGCCCAGGCAGTCGTAGAGCCACGCTTTGATCTTCCCGTCAATGGCTGTTGAAAAAATGAACTGAAAGTAGAGGCGAGAGTTAGAAGAATCTGCTGGTTCTCCCAAGATTCTTACTAAAAGGAGGAGCTGGAAATGATTTTGGGCTAGGGACTACCTGGATGTTCTCCTTGTAGTGAGGGCATACAGAATACACAGGAGCTTCATGACCCTCAAAAGTATGGCGCCTCTGCCCGGTTGCAGCATCCCACACCTGTTGAGCGTTGACCACGCACACCATGGTATGAGGAAGCGACTGAGTGGCACGAATGTTCTCCACAACGATCAGACTGCATTACCTTGATGGTCTTGTCGTCCCCACATGTGATTATCGAGAGGCTTTTGTTGGGATGAGAAAAGGCTATGTCGTTGACCCCGCCAACATGGGCATCAATCTATCCAATTATACAGAAAGTCAGTCAGTAGCCCTTCGATGGAAAGAAGCATATAAAACTTAGGACTTACCTCCAGCTGTAGCCTAAAATCACCATGGTTAAATGTATATGTCTGAATGATGTGCTTGGAAAATGCAACGCCTGCATGGAGAAAAAGAGGAAGGCAGTGGGTAAAGAAAACACTCTTTTGATCGAGCAGAGGGGACTATAAACAGAAGATCAATATTTTGCGATGTCATCCACCACAAATCATGCGAATTCTACCGATTAAAGATCCGTCAGGACTCCATAAACATCGGTTAACAGAAATGGTGGCATCCTTCACCAGTGCAGCCTGTACAGATTGATCGCCAAAAATGGAAAGACAGACCGTCAGCTGCAGATGGATTAGAGTAGCACATAGAATGCTCATTACCCAGGAGAGAGAAAGAGCAGACAGCAAAAGCATAGATTCACCGAGCTCAGTGAGGGCCATTACATGAAGAGTCACTGAGCAAGCTGAGATGTCCCGGACTTTGAAGGCCTTGTGGGCGATTCTTTCTCGAGACCCCACTTCCCAAATCCCAATGTCTCCAATGTTCGTTCCAACTGTTAAAGGAATCAGCTTTATGGCATCCCAATGACGACCCAAAGGAACAGTGATGCTTTTGCTGTAATGCAATGAATTACCGAGGAGGATCGTCTGTTGCAGTGGATGGAAGTCCAGGCTAAGGACGCTGGAACCCTGGTTCAGTGCCCGAACCACAGTTCTGGGGAGATCATCGAGTGAATAAATATTCGGAGAATGTGCAGAACCTGAGAACGATACCTTGAAAATCACAAAAAACAGGTAAGCAAAGATGCCCACAGGGGCCACGAGCGGTATGAATTATTCATCCTTCAGACCTCTTCCAATTGGCCAACCCGCATTCGCTTCATCAAATGTTCCGAATCAGCCGGCTGGTAGTCAATGGCAGATGCACTGGTTGGCGTCCTCGGATGTTTTAAAAACGGACCTGTGGGCGAGGCAAAGGCCAGATGATGGATAAGTTCACCCAACAAGATAGAAGAATCGCAATGAAAATGGGTAGGAATATACGGAGACCTGCATTAGGATGTGGCATGAGACCCAGAGGAGCAGTAGCCATAGCAGCATGAGGCAGGGGTGGATTCCCACCGCCCATCCATCCTGCAAGGGCGTTTGATGGAGAAAGGACCGGCTGGAATGGCTACAGGCAGAGCCCATACATAGCACATGTGTCAACACCAAAAGTGTCATCATGGATTTAATTGTGTTTTCAAAGGCTAGGCCAGCTTACACCATGAACACCAGCAGGAGGGTACGCCCCGGGCTTGGGAACGGGCCCAAGAAGAGGGCTGTTGGCTGGCGGCACCACACGAGCTCCACCGGCAGGTGCACATGAGTGATCGATGAATAGCGTCTTGATGTCAGGGTTTGAGCGTGGGTTCTTGCAGAGCTGATGCTGCCAGTTAAGACTTGAAAAAATAGGAAACAAGTGAGATCCCACCAAAGTGCAGGATGGTATGTATCAACAAGCAAGAAAACTTCCCAAAAATCTACTGAAACCTTCTACATGTCACATAACACATATGGACAGCTTAATTCAATGAATTAATCCGTCCAAAAAGCGAGAAAAAAATGACATACAGTAACTATCAACAAGCAACTGCTGAATAAAATGTTTATTCCACATTTAAGGCTCAGGAAAGAAAAGGAGGATATGAGAAGCTTAATTGAACACAAAAATTTTATAAATAAATGCATCCAAACCACGAGAAAGCATGATGTGTACCGATTATAATTGAGATGTCAGGCGATTCAAAATTCATAGTACGATAAACCCCGAGGAAAGAAAAATAGGATATGGGCGACTATAGCAGGCACGAAACAAGGTTGGTCAAGGTTCGCAGTCAAAAATGATGATGATGATGATAATGATGATAAGGCAGGCAAAAAATAATAAAATGATGATAATGATGATGATGATAAACCTCTGGTTGATCAAGGTTCGCAGTCGAGATGCTTTGAATGCTGGAAGAGCAAGCTTGTCACGAAACAATGGATTCGCCTCGATCAACTTCTTAAGCTCCATGAGCATGATGCTCCTAGCAGACTTAGTGTCTGTATACTTGGAAAGCTGTTCATTCTGTCTGGTGTGTCAAGACAACATATCAGCAAGAATTCCATGCGATGAACATCTAGCAAAAGGGTCAAGTGATGAGGTGAAAGAACCTGAAATTCTCAAGTGTAAGAAGTTGAGTGATCTCCTTAAAGAGATCTTCGTTAAAGGAAGCGAAAACCCTAAGATCCTTGACAAGCACCTCCACAGCTTTAGCTCTATCTTGGCTGTGGAAAGCACATCACAATAGCTATTAATTTCCAAATATAGAGAACCTTGCACAGATGAACCACATGATGGGAGGTAGGCAACCTGTCGAGGGCCTCAAGATACTTCTGCTTCCTTATCTCGAAGAAGATTTTCATTGAATAGCGATTGTCTTCGACTTTTGTGAATCCGCTGAGGTACTTCTCCACCTCGTCCCACTCCCCTGCCTGCACCAGATCCTCGAAATACTTCATGTCGAAGAAAAATCCCGACTCCTGCTCCAACCTGTGAATTGCAGAGATCAAAGAAATGCATTAAAACCCCTCGAGCAAAAACGGAGTATTGCTCTTATTCTAATATTTTCTTCTACTGATAGTTCCCAATGAATTTTTCCTTGAAGGAGACGGATGGTGAGTAACCTGTGGACTGTCTCCTTGAATTTTTCCTCGTCCAAGAACTGCAGGATTAGAAAAACCAGCTCCCTGCTCAAGGAAGACATGCCTCCCGGAATCTCTAACTTCTCCAGGGTGACGGTCTTATCGAGAAAAGAGGGAAGAGGCGAGTGAATGCGAGCAGAGCCGCGCAAGAAAAGCGCAGAAGAGCTTTCCCCTCTTGATAGTACAGTAGTTGAAAGCCAGAAGAGTCTCCGAAAACCCCAGGAGATCCCAGATTGAATGGCTTAGAACCCTAGTTTTCCAGATAAATCCCAGGAGATCCTTTCACATGAAAGCGCAGAGGGATTAACCGGAAATGGCACGAGGACCGCTCCCCCACCGCCTCCCCGGCCGCGCACACACTGGATCCTTCACTTCAAACCCTTTCAGCAGCGGTAGATGAAGATAATAGCAGTGCCAGAAACCTCAGCCGCCTGTAGCTTTGCTTTCACACGGAAAATAAAGCTTCAAGAAAGCACTCCGAAGGCAGCACGATCGAGATCCGCCCAAAAGGGGAGACACTCCAAGCAGCGATAAAACCAGAGGGCATCCGACTGCAACCAGGCAGTTCCCACCTCGCCAGGAATTTCAACCACGATCATGAGCATGAGCCCTCGATCTAGAGCCGCCCCTCTCCGACGATAAAACCTTCACTCCGAGAAAGTGGAAAGTGGAGGTACACAGATAGGAAGGAGTGCTCGGCCAAGAACACGATGGGTTGAGAAAGCTCCACCGCTCAGCAGAGCTCCCCTCTCCCTCTCTCTCTCTCTCTCTCTCTCTCTCTCTCTCTCTCTCTCTCTCTCCCCTTCCCACACCCTACTTTCCCCTCCCTGCAAGCAGTGCCTGCTCCTGCTGAAGCCGCCGGATTCCGTGCTCTCTCTCCCTCTCTCTCTGTTCTCTCTCTCTCTTCTCTCTCCCTCTCTGCCTTTTTATCGCCCCACACTCCCCCTGCCCCCTCTCTCTCATCCCCCGTTAAATCATCTCTCTCTCTCTCTAGAAACTATTTATTCAATGCCGCCATGAACTGTTCTGGGCGTCACTTAATACCAAACTACCACCAATAAGCATCTCTAATAACCATTCTGCCACTCTATTACCATCACCGTCTGATCCTCGAAGCCCCCGTCCTCTCACGTGAGAACCTAAATTCAGACACTCCTCTGCCGTCCAATCGATAGATCTTCTCCTCGCCCAAGAGGGTAGAACCGCCATTGTTCTTCACACATTAGCATCTGCCAATTAATGCGCACTTGCCGACAAGGATTATCTTCTCATCTCGCGGCTTAGCTGTCACCTAGATAAGTAGAATAACGTATCCGTGGGGCGGAAGGGATGATAAGCAAGTTTACTTCTCACTCTGACACGTATTCTTTCCAATTTTGTATCATTGCGTACGGCAGATTCTGACACCCATCGCGCCCAAACTGAAAGGTTCGTTGTCAGCACGGCACGTGTATGACCGTACATATTGCCGACAGAACGCTGGCTTGCCACGTGCGCCAGAAAGACGTAGGGGGCACTGATGGCGGATCCGTATCTGAGACGCCTCCATAGCTGCCCGTCAGAATGACCGCTTGATCGGTGGACCCAACCTACGAATGATAGGCTGATCCCGCCTGCCTAAATTGCGGATCTTGTTTTTCGGGATATCGGGTCCACTCGGCCAAAAGGAGCATGATTGGGCCACGTGTGGTGTCGACCGTTGCCGATTGGCCCACGTCCGACCTGGGAGGGAGATTCCTGGGCGGGCGTTTGGGATCGATTCCCCGGGGTCTCCCGGATTTGGGAAGGATTTACTTAAAGGATGAAAAACCAATATCGGATATCCGTTAAAAGCGGTGTTCGAGGAGTCCTCGGGATCCAACACGAATCGCTCGAAGCTAGCTCTGAAAACAAACGGCCAGGATTTCTGAACCGTTGGCGTTCCCGATGCCGTAAACTTACTCGCGGTACATTGGCGGCTTATACTGATCTCCTTTTCCCCCCGTTTACCGACTAACCCCGCGTTTGGTTCCTGGGATAGGGAAGCCCTTTTCCTGCCTCAGATGGCAAGGTGATGTAAATTTTAAAAGTATGAGGGTTTATGTTTAAGGTTCATTATTGGGCCACACGAACTGGCCCAGAGCAGATTTTCTTTTCTTTTACTTTTTTAATGACTTGTATTACCCGCTATTTAATACCATTTTCTTACCCATTCTCCGGGACGTAGAGAGGGTGACACTTGACGTCCTATCGGCAAAGGGGTAGGTGGAAGAATCTGAACCGTCGAGGCGAAATCCAGTGGTTCTCCTCTGAGGGAGCAGTGCAGCTACCCAACCAGACGCATGGCGTAATTTCTTCACACCTCTTCCAGAATAAGAGGAGCAGCGCCCTCCTGCGTCTCCGCACACCTCCGACTTTCTCTCTCATGGTTCCCTCATCTGTGTCAGCGATGGTGGTGCGGATGGTGATGGTCACGGCGGCGGTGGTGCTCCTCATGGTCACGGGGGCGCCGCCAGTGAGGGCGGCGGTGGACGTGCCGGCGTGCTTGCAGCCCCTCGTGAGTCTGAGGTCATGCCTGGATGACGTTTCCAAGAACCCGGCGGCGCGGTCGCCGGCGTGCTGCTCCTTCTTCGTCCAGCTTCTCAACGCGACGCCGAACTGCCTCTGCGACGTCCTTGAAGGCGAGGGCGGGCGGTGGCTCGCCATCACTATCGACGTTGCCCGCGCCGTCGCCGTCCTCGTGAACTGCTCCGCTGAGATCCCTAAGCTGACAAAGTGCCCCAGTACTCTCTCTCCCCCTCCCTCCCTCTCTCTCTCTCTCTCTCTCTCTCTCTCTCTCTCATAAAACTCATATGGTGTTGCAGATTTAACGTGGATGCCGCCAAACAATACTGCAACTCCGGCTAAACCTCCATCTCCTCCTGTAACTCCGGTTACACCTCCGGCTCCAGCTAAACCTCCATCTCCTGCTGATACTCCGGCCAAATCTCCATCGCCAGCTAAAGCGCCTGCTCCAGCTCCCGCCGGAGCTCCATCTGCCACTTCAGGTATCTTAGACAAAGTCAACCAGAAAAAGACGCGGCAAAAACAAGTTATGCATATAAATATACTCTTCTCGATAACTGGAGCTAAAGAACCAGATCAGTTAATCTCCGGGGATTATCTAATCGTGAAAACTAGAAAAAAATTCACCATCTCTCTCTCTCTCTCTCTCCCCCAACCTTCCCACTGTTCCCCCTGCATCTTGCCCATGAACGTGAGCTAATCCTTTCTATCCACTGGATGCAGGCGCGCCACCCCTCGCGAGTCTCAGCAAGCTCGTCCTCGTCCTCTCCCTGGCAGCGTCCGCCGCCCTCGCCGCCGTCAGAGTCTGACCCCCGCCGGACCCTCGCCGCCTTCTTCAGCCGTCATCCTCCTCTCCGGCCGCGGTCCATCCGTCTATCAACTGTCATCACTATAAGTAACTATGTAATGGAGAAATCCACCTCCCCGACCCCGTCTTCCTCCATTTGATCTGAGTTATAAGTCAAATTTCCGTCTCGTGAACTTCTTGATCTATCGTTTAGTCAACCTCGGCGCTACCGTTACGCACCGGAATGCAACACTGAGTGGCCTGTGAGCCCACAGGATTACAAGCGCCAGTGGGAAAAAAAAACCTAAGCTTTGACTTAGAGCCCAACATCTGTGAATATGAATGTATGGTTCCACCGAACCTTACCCGCTGTGGATACTAACATAAGAGCTAGTTCATAGTCAACAATGGGTGGGGGAGAGGAGAATAGGTTGCGGCCGAAAAGGACCGGAATAGTATCCAGAGACAAGCTTATACTGTCGCCATCATAGCTAGATTCATGAACTCACTTTAAAAAATAAAACCTTACGATTTCGTTTATTGTTTGGGTGAACGGAAACTATCCTAATCTAGACTGCCGGACTTGTAACATAATCTTCTAATTCATTACTGAGTTATCTAATTTTTCTTAAGTACATGATTCAGACTAACGTGAAAGTTTGAGGTCTAACTGAGGCATATGATAATGCTCATCTCTCTCTCTCTCTCTCTCTCTATCTCGCTGTCTCGCTCTTTCTCTCTCCCTCTCGTAGACATCCGCTATGTGGTAGGCGCTCTAACTTGATAATGGTCGAGCCCATGGCTTATTTTAACGGTTTCTCTGGATATCAAGAAAAGGAGTCTCCAAAGTTTAATAGGTTCCTCCAGTAGGATAATAAGCACAATAATGCATCTCCGGATTGAATATTCCGGCGATGTAGACGTTAAACAAGTTGATTTCCCATCGAATATTATAAAGAGGGAACACTGATCTCCGTCTTGCCTATAATTAGACTCCCCAGAGAAAGAGTAAACGATCTTATCCGGTGGCTAACAACACTCTTAATGAGATCATGGGAGGATCAACCTTCCTATAATTGGGGTCAACGATGATTTGTCTAGCAGACTTGGGACCACTTTACTCCGGGTCCCCAAGATACCATCCGATGGCAATAGAGATAGACCCACTTTCGTTGACATTCTCCCCCGAGGAGACCGACTCCCTTGTTTGGTGTCTTGCGGCTCGTCTGACTCGGCCAAAAACATACGAGAAACACTGCTCTTTAGGGGAAAAATTACCGAGATCATTCATCTGGGAGCCTCTCTACGAACCGCTATTCGGGAAGGAACCGAAAGATCGGTTCCTTGGGATTCTTCCTTTAGTCAAATTGAACGAACAGAAATGGAATCAGATGGATTCCGGAAATGCCTTTTTCTGATCTTCCTCGATGTCCCCCTCAGGACCAGGAACCCATTCGTATCTGTCTTTTAACTGTAGTCACCTCTGTGGGCACCTGCCCCTTTAATGCATTAAAGAAAGATGTTCACGGTGGCCAGAAAGGACTCGGAGACCCATTCTTGGTTGGTTTTTCCAACCAAGAAAGACACTGGATGCACCGCATCGAACCATCTTTCTCGAGTTCGGTAGAGTTCTGGTGGGGAACTCTCTAGAGAGGGAAACTACGGAGAATGGAGTCAATTGAGAGGAAGTCTCGAGCAAAGATGAGCTGGTGGCGGCCAGATGACCAGTAGGGTCGCCTCCCATGCGCTTCGGATCTGAATTCGTGTGCTTGACTAGAATAAAAAAAGCTATTATACAGGCGGCGCTTTATTACGCGTCCATCCATATATAGAAGAGGAGTAGAGAATGAATGGTCCCAAGACCACCTAAAACTAGCCCGTCGCAGTCCCCGTAGTTCTTCCACAATCTTCCCCATTTAATGCTTGAGCTTTGACAATAATCTAATCTGGCTCCTCTTGTCTACGCTACGTAGCAATCAATGCAAACTACTAAGCTAATAATGGGATTCAAGAAAACGGAAGAGTTCATCATGTCAATGAGCCGTGCAAATAGAGAGCTAACTCGGCCGTATTTCACTAAAATCAGAGCACAATTCGCTGCCACAGGACTGCCCATATCGTTCATCTCTCTTTCTCTACCCTCTCTTACCTCTGTCCATCTCTCTCTCTCTCCCTCTCTCTCTCTCTCCCCTCTCTCTTTCTCCCTCTCTCTTTCTCTCTCTCCCCTCTCCCTCTCTCCTTCTCTCTCTCCCTCTCTCTCTCTCTCTCTCTCTCTCTCTCTCTCTCGCTCTCTCTCTCTCTTCTCTCTCTCTCTCCCTGTCTCCTTCTCTCTTTCTCTCTCCTCTCTCTCTCTCTTTCTCTCTCTCTTTCTCTCTCTCCCCTCTCTCTTTCTCCTCTATCTCCCCTCTCTCCTTCTCTCTCTCCCTCTCTCTTTCTCTCTCTCTCTCCCCCCTCTCTCTTTCTCTCTCCACTCTCTCTCTCTCCCTCTCTCCTCTCTCTCTCCCTCTCTCTCTCTCTTCCTCTCTCTCTCTCTCCCTCTCTCCTCTCTCTCTCCCTCTCTCCTCTCTCTCTCCCTCTCTCCTCTCTCTCTCCCTCTCTCCTCTCTCTCTCCCTCTCTCCTCTCTCCCTCCCTCTCTCCCTCTCTCCTCTCTCTCT